AAACAAACAGTCTGACACATAGACTCAGGTTTTTATCTTAATTGTTAATGTTAAACTAAAGTAAGAATGCAGCTTATCTGAGGCAGGCACTTACATAAGTAAACATTACAGGTACCAAAAAGTCGTACCTGAGACAAGAGAAAAAGTGCAGGTGTTTTTTGGGGGGCGAAAAGTTTCTATTTTTGGTACAGGAATTTGTTTTATTGATGTAATTGGTGTATTTTTTATGTAATAAGACCTGTATGTTGCATTTGTGTTGTTAGTATGTTGGTTCGTTCAGGGTTTTAATTAGCATATGTTTGTAGTTTTAAAAAAAGGTATTTCATCACAATTATCAACAGTGTCGATAAGAATCATTAAAACTATCATCAAAGACTGTCATAATCATCACAACATGATTGCCACTATCCACCATCATAATCATCATAACATGATTGCCACTGACCATCATCACAACATGATTGCCACTATCCACCATCATCACAACATGATTGCCACTATCCACCATCATAATCATCATAACATGATTGCCACTGACCATCATCACAACATGATTGCCACTGACCATCATCACAACATGATTGCCACTATCCACCATCATCACAACATGATTGCCACTGAGCATCATCACAACATGATTGCCACTATCCACTATCATCACCACCACAACATGATTGCCACTAACCATCATCACAACATGATTGCCACTGAGCATCATCACAACATGATTGCCACTATCCACTATCATCATCACCACCACAACATGATAGCCACTGAGCATCATCACAACATATAGCCACTGAGCATCATCACAACATGATAGCCACTGAGCATCATCACAACATGATTGCCACTGACCATCATCACAACATGATTGACACTGAGCATCATCACATGATTGCCACTATCCACTATCATCATCATCACAACATGATGGCCACTGAGCATCATCACAACATGATTGCCACTATCCACTATCATCATCATCACAACATGATTGACACTGAGCATCATCACATGATTGCCACTATCCACTATCATCATCATCACAACATGATTGCCACTATCCACCATCATCATCACCACCACAACATGATTGCCACTAACCATCATCACAACATGATGGCCACTGAGCATCATCACAACATGATTGCCACTATCCATCTTCATCATCATCACAACATGATAGCCACTGAGCATCATCACAACATGATGGCCACTATCCACCATCATCACAACATGATTGCCACTTTCCACCATCATCACAACATGATTGCCACAGACCATCATCACAACATGATTGCCACTATCCACCATCATCATCATCACAGCTTGATTGCCACTGAGCATCATCACAACATGATTGCCACTATTCACCATCATCACAACATGATTGCAACTATCCACCATCATCATCATCACAACAACATGATTGCCAATAACCATCAACATCACCACATGAATGTCTTTGATCATCATCATCATCATTACATGATTGTCATCATCATCACAACAACATGATTGCCACTGACCATCAACATCATCACAACTTGATTGCCAGTGATCATAAACATCACCACATGAATGTCTTTGATCATCATCATCATCATCATCATCATTACATGATTTTCATCATCATCATCATCATCAACACATGATTGCAACTGATCATAATCATCACTAATCATCACCATCATCTTCTTCATCACAACATGATTGTCACTGTTCATCATCATCATGGTGGTCATTTCCATAGTCTGAATTTTGCTTCAGTCTTACTGCTGAAATGTCTACTTTCTTGGAATTGCATTCATAATGTATTTATGTGATAGCATAACATAAAAATTCTGTTTTGTGATGTTCGATAACAAGGTATATAGATGGCTTTTATAAGTTAGATATGATACAATAATACAGTTTCATAATGTGCAATAACTGAAGGTATGGTTATAGAAATTACATAGGAACATTCTGTTAGATATAAATCCACCTTAATTCTGTTACCTTCACCACATATGATAGTTATTACAGAATGGAGAATGTTTTTCATACCTCTTAATGAGTATTCATGATTGTATGACTGCAGTTATTGTTTTTCTTGATGTGTAGGTAGAAACGGTAAGGCCCGGGGAAAAATATGTCTGTTTATTGTGTCTTGTCTGAAAACCAGTAATTGGTCAGTTGAATGGCTTATAATTCTGATGTGTATGCTGTAAAATGTTGCGGTTGGTATTGACAGAATTAGTTAGAATCTTATTCTACTTAATTTCTTAAATTTTCGTATTCAGCTCCCATTTTTAGAACACTTCATTATCTGTTTTTGGTGATTTCACAAATTAGAAATTTCAAAGTTATTCAACCAGCAATTAAAGCTTGGTTAGGCCTCACCAATATGCAGGGCTTTAGCTGCTCTTGCTCTCTACTTAGTGGCAAAGGTTTATCGCTTACGGTCCAAGGGCGATAACATATTTAAATCTACAGGCTGAAAATACAACAGATTTTAACCGCATTTCAACCAATGATATGGATCGCCATTCTGTTAATAATAAAAACTCTGAGGGTAAGGGTTAAGGATTGGTAGAAAGGCATGAAACATACATTGTTTTTGGCCTTCTGTTATAACATGTGTATATACTTAGATGAGTTTGGAGGAGTACCTGCCCTAGACAATGTAATGCTGGAAACTAGTGCAGGTACTGCAAATATTGACGTGAGATATTGGTAGAATTTCTTACCAGAAAATACCTGATGGAACTGGTTAAACTTATGAGTTTAGAGAGATCATCTTTAAGTGTGTCAGTGAACTTGAGAATGTTTATGCATATTTTTAATACTTCTTGTTTTATTCATTATGCCAAACAAATTTAAACAGATGATTTCATACATTGCAACCAAGACAAAATGGTATGATACCATGAAATCATCATAGTTTGGTGCCTCATTTACCCAAGTAAAGGTCAAAAAAGAAACCAAGTGGGGATTTTTCATATCACATATTGTTTATTTATTAGTCCCCTACCGGTTTAACCGGAGGGGACTTTAGGTTTACCCTCCGTCTGTCTGTCCGTCTGTCAGTCCGTCCGTCCACAAAACTGGATCCCGCGATAACGCAAAAAGTACTGAAAATATTTTTATGAAACTTGATATATGGATAGATGGCAGTATGGAGATTATGCACGTCTTTTTTTTTTCTTCCTATGTTGAAAATTCTGGTTGCTATGGCAACAAATAGTCTGAAAATATGGCAAATTTAACACATAAACTGGATCCAGTGATAACTCAAAAAGTACTGAAAATATTTTTATGAAACTTGAAATATGGGTAGATGGCAGTCTGGAGGTTATGCACATCTTTTTCTTTTTTTCTTATGTTGAAAATTCTGGTTGCTATGGCAACAAATAGCCTGAATTTCAAGATTTCTGATTTAAATTTTTCAAGATTTTTCACTATATGTTCTTTATTTCTTAAGGTGTTTACTTCAAACTTTAAATATAAGTTTCTGGTCATCAAACCACATCATATGTGACAAGGTTTATAACTCTAGCACAAAAAAATATCAGTATTACCTCCCTTGAACTTAGATTTTTTAGGGGAAAAAATGTTGTCTTTTTTAAATAACTTCTTTATTTCCTAATGTATCTACTTCAAACTTCATATATATGTTTCTTATTATCACTCGACATTTTTGAGAAGGTTAAATACTCTAGCAAGACTATTTCCAGAATTATGTCCCCCTTGAACTTAGATTTTTTTCGAGATACTGGTATTTTCACTCCAACTTCTTCATTCCTTATAGGATTTACTTTAAAATCACACATCGTAATAATATGACAAGGTTGTATAAACATAATTTTCTTACTAAGCATGGAAACTTAACACATTACTGTGATATAGACAAACTTATTTTATTATGTTTTGTGGTCGATATTTTCAAATACAGACTTCATCCTCAAATTCATTATAAATGGCAATACACAGGAGTGTATGACAATTAAAGAACTTTTTGAGAGACCGGTAGGGGACTACTGTATTGCCCGCAATACTATCAAATGCTTGTTTTTTAATACCCCCCCCCCCCCCCCCCCTTCCGCCAACAGAAAGAAAGCGAGAAAAACAAACAGACAAAAGATAAACAAAACAACAAAAAACATTATGATATTTCATTAAAAGATTGGCTTTCATTGTAAATTTTATACTTTATATAAAGAATTTAATTGTACATTTATACATTTATTTTGGTATTTTCTCTCTGACAGGGTTTTTACAGTCTTACAAAGTTTTAAGATAAAAGAAATGTTGAAATGAACTTATCATGTTTTTATATTTAAAAAAAGACACAGATATAGATAAAGATAGCCTATATTTCTAAGATTTTATAATAATACGACAAAATAAAAATTGACCAATTTAAGTATGTAATTGATTTACCAAAATTAATGGTACTAAAAAGATACTAAAAATTTTATTTTCTGAAAAGTGGTCAACAAAAAATTTGAATTCAAAATTACTGGTAAATGGAACCAATTATTGTTATACTGTAAATTGAAAATAATATTCTTTCAATTAATGTAATGATGAATTGTAACCAGTTACTTCTATTCTAGAAAAGAATAATGGATTTAAAAAAAATCCTTTTTGATTTACTTCAGGAGTTTCATGTTGCTACTTGTTATAGTGTTTTCCATTTTGGTGATAAACTATGATTGTAAACACAGTAATGTGTGAAATGCAATAGTTATGACATTTAGTGGTCATTACACAAAATACAGATTTAATGCTGTTAATCTGTCACAGGCAGTAAATCATTGCCAAACTTTTACTGGTTAAAAAATTATTTCCAACCTTTTTTATACTGGTAAACAACAGAAAAACAGTTGACATATAACACTAAATTGGATGATAACTGTTTGTATGGAATAATGACAATTTTATTAAATTTCCATTCGTATATAGATATTTTACATGGTAAACTATCTTACATTGCTTCATTATTTTTTCAGACAATCTCAAATGGAAATGTTTCAAATAATAAAGACAGTGTACTGAAAGATTTACGTGATCGTGATCATGAGAAGGAGAACACGGACATTAACATTCAAAATAACAGTGCTACACACACTTTAGATACTCTTTCCTCCTCCTCAAGGGAGAGTCGGACTAAAAAGAAAGATAACTCTAATAGACAAAGTAAATCTGTGATACCTAATGCAAATATACCAAAATTTCATTTTCCGATGGGTCGTCCGAGTGAGAAGGACGATACGGAGGAAATATTACTACGGGTTTCTCAAGAATTCTCGAAAGTGGAAGGCGGGAAAATATCAAAGCAGCAAATGGCCATCGTTACCAAGGTAATGTACTATTTCAAAGTTTTTGGTAAAATCTACATAATTACATAGATTCATAGAAGTTTTAGTTCACATTGCCAGAGCCAGCTTCCAGGATAACTCACTGTCTGTTCATATTTTATACCTCCGCAAAATGTGGGGAGCATACTATGAGGGTGTTGTGTGTCTATATGTATGTCCCCCCATGTTACTCTTTTCAATTTCTTGAGACAATATAAGCCGAAGCTGGTGAAACTGAAGGGAACATAACCCATGGCCAGTAAATACCTGTTGATTTTGAGATCTTTAGGTCATAGATCATATTCTCTGTGAAACTTACTGTAAAACTCTTGTCCAATCATTAACATGAGAAAAATGATGAAATTATATTATGCTAATCAGTCATCACTTTTTAAAAACATTTCACTTTTGTTTGATTTCATTATATAATAAATAAAATCATAAGCTATAAGACTTTTATCCTATTCTTTTTTCAGTGAAATACTTACTTATTTGTGAAGTAAACAAGTGATATCTCACTGAAACATTTTAAATACATTTTTGATCAGTTGATGTTTGTAAAAAATATAAGAAATAGTTAAGTGAATAAATAAATGGATAAAATTTTCCATGGTATCGGACTATCCTGAAGTCATAAAAACGTAGTAGTATGCAGTTATGCATCATCCTTCTTCTTATATGTCTGCTAATTGACATTCTTCCCATTTAACATTTAAAATACTTATGTTCCTAAAATTCCTATCAGTAATTATTTGAAATTCAGAATTTTGTGTTTTAATAGTTTGTGAAGACTTAAAATTATTTTCATAACTAAACTTTTCACCAGTTGTGTATTATATGGTGTCATTTGGCATCAATTTTGTGAATGTCTGACCAGTATTGGTATAAAAATATGAAATATGTTCTAAATAGTAAACAGTGTGTCAATCTATCTCTGTTATGAGTATGGCTCACCAATTTGAAATATATTATTTATTATTTTTTGTTTATTTTAGGCATGTGGTCTACCTCTCTACTGGAAATGTCCATTGTTTAATGCCAGTGGAGGGAGCAAACAAGGGTTTATTACATATCAAATGTTTTCCTCAATGTGGAAAAGGTGAGTTAAGTTTGAGGTGAACCTTGAATTATTTGATGGTTTCTTGGTAATGCATCATATAAATCTTCTATGTAGTTTGTTAGATTCTTGTATCTTAGTTTGCACACACCAATGTCATAATAAAGTTTGTCTAAATTTCTGCTTGTCTTTTAGCTCATCTTTTCAAAGAAAGTGAGAGCTATAAACTCACCCAAGGCATAGGCATCACACTTTGGTTATGATTTTGCGTACAAGTTGGTATCTCCAAAAGTACTTAAAGGAATGGGTTCGAACTTCATTCACTTATTTTGGAGCAAAATAGGGTGTCACTGTCCAAGGTTGATAATTGGACATTGGCTTTGACAGAATTCTGGCACTTTTTTTAACTAAGAAATTTCTACATTATACTGGCTCTTGTTTGACTAGCATGCTGTCATACTGAGAGTTCTTGTTTTTAATTAATGATCAGTTCAATGTTATACACTGTTGTTGGGCTTAAAGGTACTTCCTTCCTACCCGTATAACAATCATTTTACACAACATTAAAGTCCGTGCTATGATAAGGTCCCCAGAAAAGTTGTTTAACAGTGTTAGGAAAACAAACAACAAACATTGGGTGTATTACGATACAAAAGGTTCATTGTACCCTGATTTCTATTAAGATTTTTTTAGTCATAGATTAAAAAGTAAAAATTCAATCAAAGTACCGAATCACCTGTGTAAGTTAGATATTTAACCTGTGTTTTACAGCTGATATGTGAAGTGAATGCTTTATTTATCACCCTATTTCCTGTAGGTGGTATATCACATTTATTTATGAAATCTGGTGTGCTATCATATAATTGTTTATGTTTTTCATGTTATTATTGGTATAGATCCTATTGGAACCATTCCATGTGTTTAAATGCTGCGTAGTTAAGGAACATTGGGGAGAATTGATTGAAACATGTAATTGATTACAGACGTGGGTGATTAAATGAAAATGCAATATGAAATTAAATATATGAAAGTTATCTTCAAATACTACTTAATTTCTGACAGGAACATTGTCAGTTTAATTTTATTGTGAAATTGAAAATGCTTTCAAAGATATAAATCTGTATTTTATGAAAATGGTTTGTTTTTTCTCTTTATACACATATTTTGAAAATTTCTTTTAATATAGCAATATCATATGAATCTTTTATAGTTTAAATATTCAGTTTTAACACTTGGCAAAGATTGTGACTGTTTTATATTTTACATGATTACTAAGTATATGTTCAAACTTTAAATTAGATATATTTTAAACAAAGTAACTTTGTTTAAATTAGACTAAAGTGTACATTTATTGCTTTTAATTAGAAAAATACAGTCATTCACTTTTTCCCATCTCTTTGAATTATTGAATTTTACTTCCACTTAATATAAATACTTGGTGATACTTTCTGACTTGAAATTTTACAAGTTAGTCTTTTAATTACTGGAAGCAATCTGTCTGCTTGAATGCCAGGAAATGCATAGTTAATTGGTTGATATTGAAAGCAAGGTTGGGGCTTTTCTGTGTTTATAAATGGTTTCCACCTTGAAGGTTGCATGAAAGTTCAAAGGTTTGTGGCTACTAAATCACAGATTGTACTTAATAAGAATAAAGAAATTTTCCACCTCATGTTGATTTAATGTTAATGGTCCTGCCTTTGCTGAACTAAAAAGATTTTTTTCCCTTATCAGTTTTAAGAACTTATAAAATTGATGAAATTAGCCCTTAATACGCTATATTTATTAAGTGGACTTGTCCATCTTTCAGTCTTGAAATGATTATTCAACATTTTTAGGGAAAATTCAACATTTTTAGGGAAAATTCATTATTTTTAGAGAAAATTCAATATTTTTAGGGAAAATTCATTATTTTTAGGGAAAATTCAATTCAATATTTTTTAGGAAAAATTCAAAATATGCACTGACAGATTAGCAAACAGTGCAGACCATGCACATGCATGTAAGAAACTGAGCTTGCTCTGTTATGATTTCTTATTTCATATGTTGGCCATGAATGCATGATAATATATAGTAGTGATGATAAGGATAATGTATCTTACCTTAGTATCATCTCATTGATCAGTTTAGAGTTATTTTGTAACATCTTATATATTTCAGGTTGAATCAGACATGCCATGATCAAGCCTCACTATTTGTCATGCTTCTTGCAAAGCCAGGGACCAACTACATAGAAGATGATGATTTGGTTCCCCTCTTGCAAGTAAGTTCAGTTTTACCTGGGCATTGTAATTGGCCATTTCCATAGTAATTGTAACTGCTTAGAATTCGAGAATAAAAAAGTTTTTTCTTACTTTGTGTGTGTATTTGAGTTTATTTATACTCGGCATCTATTGCCCATATGGGCCAGTCCCCCAGAAGAGTGTTAGTCATTTTATATTTTGGAGGATAGTGCAAGATACAGACTTAGAATGATGCCCCAATTTCAGAAGATTCTCCTGGTTCTTTCACATGCCAAGTGTTTAAGCACTTATACACGGGACCTTGATGTAAAGTCTCATCCGAAAGACTGATTAGTAATTTTAGTAGGCCAGCTCGGGAATCGAACCCATAATGTTGAGATTACAATTCTTGCGCTCTAACCGTTTGAGCTATGCGGGCTGGCTTACTTTGGCTCAGTTAATCAGGGATTTTTTAAAGCTCGATTGAAATGAAGCTTGATGGTTGAGCTCATGAAGTAATAGCTGCTGGTGTTGTGTACGAGGAAACGTGGTCATGTCTATAGTAGGGCCTAAACTTACGATACCTGTATTAAGAAGCAGATACTTTAACCACTAGCCACTCATAACTTGTATAAAGCAATGCCTTGAATTTATAGTCATCAATAGAGAAAAAAATTTCAAGAAATGATGTTCAAAGTAAAGTCTTTTTGTAAAAGGTTGTTAAATTAACTTTAAATGTAAAGCAGTGAATTGATAGGTATTCATATCAGGCAATTTGTAATTATCTTTTCACCTCAATTTTGTTAACCTCAAGATTTTTTCAAAGAATGTCATATGCTTGTTAGGGTTTTAAATCAAGAAACAATGTAGTTTTCTGAAGAAAAATGAAAGACCATTTTATGTTAATGAAAAATAAATGTAATTGTATACTAGGTGAAGACAATTTCTGTTACAGGATGTTGTGGACACTCATCCGGGTCTCACGTTTTTACTGGAAGCTCCAGAGTTCCACTCTAGATATGTTAACACTGTAAGTATATACTGTAGAAAAAGATTGGTCTGGGCTGGCACTGAGCTCGAAATATGGAAAATAAATCTTTCTTGGAATTTGTATGAATTTCATAGCATTTGTTGGCCAAGATGCAACAATCCATTTATAACTAACACTGATATAAATAAAAATAAATCCTTTGCCTGCCAGCAGCAACTGAATCTACCCAACCAACATCTGTTTCCTCTGATCTTTGTATAATGTGAAAATTTCCTTTAAAGGGTTTTATCCATATTGAAAGATGGACAAACCCATTTAAGATATTATGTGGTAAGGTTTTACATAATGTGATGATCATATGCAATATGAATTGGTTATGTTTCTTCTTTGTTACATAACTAAACTTCTTACTTTCTTCAAAGATAAGTAAAAAGTATATAAACAAGTTGACAAGTTTGCTTTTGTTAAGCTTTAGCCTTCTGGAACAGAAATTGCTTTGTCCTTGTTGTTAGTATAAAGCCAGACCAACCGTATAAAGCACATCCATGCAATCTGACCAACTACAAATTTTAATCATCTTCATATAAAAAAAAAGATTATGGACAGTACTAAAAATAGAAGCTTCAGGCAAGTTCATTTAAGAAGAAATTTAGTTAGTAGAAATGGTAAAAAAAAGCATTTCTTGGATATAATGGGCCTTAAATTCAATTAATCACATGGTTCAGTACACATTTAAAAAGTGCAATAAATATTTAAAAATAAGTTAATTCAATTTTGCAATAAAACATGTTGAAAATTTGGTGAAAATTTGAATGGTTTTTAGCTCGACTATTCGAAGAATATGAGAGCTATTGTAGTCGCCCCGGCGTCGGCGTCAGCGTCCGCGTCGGCGTCTGCGTTGGTTAAAGTTTTTTGTAAAGTCAAATATCTCAATTATTACTTGAGATATTCAATTGAAACTTACAATACTTATTTATAGTAACAAGGTACATCAGATTGACAAGTTGGAAAACTCTGCCTACAATATTGACAGAATTATGCCCCTTTTTAACTTAGAAATTTTGGTTAAAGTTTTTTGTAAAGTCAAATATCTCAATTATTGCATGAGATATTCAATTAAAACTTACAATACTTATTTATAGTAACAAGGTACATCAGATTGACAAGTTGGATAACTCTGCCTACAATATTGACAGAATTATGCCCCTTTTTAACTTAGAAATTTTGGTTAAAACTTTTTGTAAAGTCAAATATCTCAATTATTGCTTGAGATATTCATTTGAAACTTACAATACTTATTTAAAGTAACAAGGTACATCAGATTAAATAGTTGGATAACTCTGCCTACAATATTGACAGAATTATGCCCCTTTTTAACTTAAAAATTTTGGTTAAAACTTTTTGTAAAGTCAAATATTTCAATTATTGCTTGAGATATTCATTTGAAACTTACAATACTTATTTATAGTAACAAGGTACATCAGATTGACAAGTTGGATAACTCTGCCTACAATATTGACAGAATTATGCCCCTTTGGAACTTAGAAATTTTGGTTAAAGTTTTTTTTGTAAAGTCAAATATCTCAATTATTGCTTGAGATATTCAATTGAAATTTAAAATACTTTTTTTATAGTAACAATGTACATCAGTTTGCAAAATTGCATAACTCTGCCTGCAATATTTGCAGAATTATTTGCCCCTTTGAAACTTAGAAATTTTGGTTAAAGGTCTTCAAAGATATTTACTTGAATCTTTGCACATGCACTTAGGGTCATAATTGGAGGGTCATAATTGTATGTCACTGACCAAGTTCCATAACTCTATCTTGCATTAAGGCTGATTCATATCCCCTTTTCTACTTAGTCTCTTGGTTAATGTTTACATGCAAGTTTTACATATCTCAATAACTATTAAAGATATTTATTTAAAACTTTACATATGCATTTAGGGTCATATATGTAGGTCACTGACAAAGATCCATAATTCTGTCTTGCATTTAGGCTGATTTTTCTCCCCTTTTTCAACTTAGAAATTCATGGTAAAGTTTTGCTTGTACGTAAGCTGTTATCTCAATAACTACTGAAGGGTTTGTGCCTTTTTTGGGACAATTTTATGCATTCATAATAATAAAGCAGTGATTTACTTTATAAAACATCTTAATAACAAGCCTTGGTACCTTTTCTGTCAAATTTATGTATTCATAGGTAATTTGTATTATTATACTCAATAAAACACCCTTTTGACAATACCTTCCGAAAAAGTCAAGCCAATACTGTATAATTAGACTCTCTCTAAGGCCTATAACATGAATTCATAAAAAAAATTTAGCCCTTATGTGAACTTAAAAAATTTAACATTATCAAGGCTCTTTTACTATCAAGCACTTAGAATAGTCGAGCATGCTGTACTACTGACAGCTCTTGTTATACAAGTAGGAGCTATGTATTTCAGTAACACTTTTGTTTATAGCTAACACATTTCCAAGGTGTTCTCATTTTATGATTAAGAAATAACTCTATTGTACTAAAATGAGGAGATTTAAGAAGGGTAATAAAAATGTAAAAGTGATCATCATAAATGTCATGATCAATTAAATACAGGTGCACTAATTGGTTTAATACAGGTGCTCTAATTGGAATAAAGCTTAATTGGATATTCTAATGTCTGTTTCAATGTTCTGCACTCATAATGATTAACTGTTCTATAGTTTGTTTCAATATGATTATCAAAGTGATTTTGATGAAGTTTTTTTAGTTTAAACATATTTATTTAAGCTCTATTACGAAAGAGGTTCTTGCAAATTATATAAATTTATTTAACAGGCTGTCCAGCGTCCCTAAAATTCCTAAAAAATCCTAATTTTTTTCAGTTTGGCTAAAATTCCTAAAAAAATGAAAAATTCAAAGGGAATTCCTAAAAAAGCCCTATTTTTTCACTTAAATTCCTATTTTTTTATCTTTTGTGATAAACATATCGCGAAACAACCATGTTTCAATCACAACTTAAATTCGAACACAGTCAGTGGAGCTGATGTCATGTCTGACTAAATTGCATAAAGTCACATGTTGTATTTACTTCAACTCCTGCAGAAATGCCATACTTGATTAATTACCAGATGTTATCAGAAAAATAATAAGAAACTGTTTGTTTTAAATAGAACAATGAAAATTGTCCGACTTTGACTATATCAAAATAGTCACCAGTTTAAAATTGTGATAAAAAATTTTCCAAGGAAGTTACATTTTTATTGGCTACAGAGTTTTACCATTTACCTCAGTCTTAGGTGTATTTAAAGCAACTATTTACATTATGAACCACTAAATTTCATCAAACTTTATGTAGGGGTCCTTATTAATAAAATCTTAATTTGTAATCAAGTTATTTTCAAGTGATGACTGTAGAACAGATCTTTGGTAAGTGATACCAGCTGGCAGATCTAGACAAGTTTCCATTGCTAATTATAAAGTGGGTAAGGTAAACTGGCAGTAATGATTGGATGCTTTAACCATTTTGCTTCCCAATTAGGGTACTAAGAAGTGACACATTCAGCTGTCCGTTTTGTACACATTAACATGTACTGAACATATGTTATAACATATAGTGTAAGTTTTTTTAAAATCTGGAAAAAAACTGTTGAAAATCATTTAAATACTGACACTGTTGGATGTTGGATATTGGATGTTCCGGGATACTTATAACTTTGAAAATGTTTTCATTCTAGTTATGTTTTAATATAGTTTTTCAGCATTTTTTAAAGGCAGTTAACCAGTGAATCCATTTCTTCACTGGTGACTATGGAACACTGGTAACACCTTTGCTATAACCAAACTAGAGCATTATTTGTGAGTTACTTTTGTGTCAAATATCCAAAGTTAAGCCCTTACCATGGTCTTTGAGGCCATAATTAAGTAATGAAATTCCAAATTTGAGCCCTAAAATTTCTTTTATTTACCATAAAATTCCTAATTTTAGCCCTAAATTTTTTAAAAAATTGCCCTAAAATTTGCCCTTATTTTTTGTCAGAAGGTGCTGGACAGCCTGAAATTACAACTTCCGAGTCCTCATTCTGGAACTAACCTGTACTGGTGCCATACGAGAAACCCTGGTACAATGTATTGACCCAAGTAGGGCTTAAACCCATTATCCTTGGGAGAGGTGGACACCTTAACCACTAGGCCACCACTCCTTGTTATTCTCAATTCTTCCTACATTAATGCCCTATATGAGCACCTTCTCAAGAGATATACTTAATTATACTTCGAGAGGCTTTGTGAAAAGAAAAAAAGATTGTTCATTCTTGGATAATGTTGTTATTCACCAATTAACACATATGAAAGATCTCTTGTAATTTCAGTTGGAGATTTTGTATTTTACTTTCTCAACACCTTTATGCATATAAATATTACCACAGAACTGTTTGCTGATTTTATGTGTTTCCTATTGTTGACTTTTTGATAGTCTTTTTCATAGAATATATTTTGACTGTTTCAGGTAATAGCTAGGATAATGTATTGTGTAAATAGGTCATGGACAGGGAAGATAACTATACAAGAACTTAGGAAATCCAACTTTTTACGAGTAAGTAGATATTTAATTTATTGTATATGACTCTGAAATATCGGCTAAGGCAAACATGTTTCCGACTAAACGCCTCACAAAGATTTGTATGTGCAGGCACTTGGGTTTGCTCAGCGAGCAAAAGAAATCAGTTTAAAAAATGATTTATGAGGCTAAGAACTTTAACTTAATTTATTAATCAGATTATAAGAGTATTATAAGTCAATGACCTTGAAAAAAAATCATGTTTGTAGAACTGATGTAACCTTTGGAAATAAAACTGTTTAAATGAAATATTAAACTTTGGAAATCAAATTATAATTGTAACATGTAATTCAGAGGTATTGAAAAAGAATTGTAACAATTATTTTGAATGATCTAGAAAGAAGCAGTTTATTAGATGAACGTTTGAAAAACAAACAAAAAATAAACTCACTATTTGGAAGGCATCAGAACTGTAAAAAAAAATCAACAAAACTAAATATTGCAGTATATGTAATGGTTTGACCCAAACAGAATCTGAAACAAAAGATATTTACCTACCCTTGATTTATGTCAAATGAAATATACAAAAACTCCTTGTCTTGTTGAGGTTAATATTGCACATTATTGCGTCACAAATTGACATATATTATTATTGTTTTCAGATTTTGAGTATCATCGAGGATGAAGATGACATTAACCAGATAACAGACTTTTTCTCTTACGAACATTTCTATGTGATATATTGTAAATTCTGGGAGCTCGATAAGGACCATGATCTATTTATAGACAAAACCGATCTCGCTAGACATAACGAACATGGTAAGTTTATTAACAAAGCCTTAACCCTTACCTTGCCGAAACTGAAAGTGATTATAGCATTAGTACAGAGTAAGGTCAGCCTGTACATCCAAAATTAAAAGAAAAAATCCATTTAAAAAAATCAGCAGGTTAAGGGTGGATATTTTAGTGATAAATCGATTTATAAAACAGTATTATAGAAAAGTAAAAACAGAGAAAATATGTTACATTTTAAACACTACAGGTAAACACAGTATTATTAAATTAAGAATTTTCTAGATTTCAGGAAATTTCAGCAATAGAGGTATTTATTCCCAAAGATGTGTTTATAATTATGACACTTTAATCCAATAATCTAAATATGACGTAATATTTATATTGTTTGTTTACCTTTTTTTCTCCAGCTATTTCTACACGAATGATAGAAAGGATATTCTCTGGTGCTGTAACTAGGTTAGTAGTTCACAAAATACATATTCTTGTAATGGGGGTAAAATATTGCTGGCAAATATATTGTACTAGCTTTTAGCATAATGTTATAGTAACAGAGAAGTATTTATGTTGGCAATAAATTTACCTTAACTTAGTAATACCAAAGATTGATAGATACATGCTGAGTTGACTTCAAACCACTTGCCCCTCACTGCTGTAGGTTTGAGTGCCGCCAGGTACTGTGGATTCAGTCAAGTAAGGAAGCTATCAAGGTTGGTGGTTCTACTCAGATGCCTGCTTGTGCCCGTAATAATGCACAGAAGGGCACTTGAGGTCTTCCAATACCTTCACCATATGACCTATATGTAAAACCCATTTATATTATACACAGCTACTGTAATTTTGTGAAATAATTTTTATTGAAATAGAAATATGAGCTGTATTTTAAATTAATTTATAAATAACTGTGAAAGGTTATAAGTATATACTGTTGTTTGCTAATCACCTTGTGTTATAATAATGGGCCTTTAATTCAATAATGGCTTCAGTATAAGACAGACAAGGTCCTGTACACTGAACCATTGTTGTCATATGGAATCAAAATACATATGTTATGTATTCTATTACAGGGGTAAAACTTTCGAGGAGGGAAAAATGAGCTATCCAGAATTTGTGTGGTTTTTACTGTCTGAAGAAGATAAAAAACATCCAACTAGGTAAGTTAAAGATATCAGCGCACCAAAAAGAAGAGAGATGTGGGGCAACATCAAAGAAAATGTTAAAATCATTTATTCAATTAATGTGTAAATGAATTGAAAAGTAATGTATTATAACAGATAACAGGTAATATCAAGAAAATGTTCTTCAAGTTAACTCTATTTGATATTAAATTAATTAGTTATTTCGGAAACTAATTCTTTAATGAATTATGTATCAGGATATAGCTGTACATACAGCTGTTTGTGCTTTCAGATAATATGTGATTCCTATGTAGGAGAAAAAAGAAAGGAAAAAATCTATAGAATTCACATATTTATAAATAGCACAAAAACAAAAAGTCAAATATATTTATTTCTTCCTGTTTTAATTGCTTTGAACATTTCTTTTTGAGTGATACTGATTAAAGGATATGGTTATATTGGGTTTTTTGTGTGTGTGTTTTTCTGGCTTTTTATTTTTTTTTGCAAAAGAAAAGAAAATTGGCATACAGGTTAAACTGCAGAGATGCATATAAAGAAAAGGTTTTCCCCGACATCTGGAATGTTTTTCAATGTTTACCCTACCTATGATGTATATCTTGTTATCACCAAGAAACAGGTGTTCTTTTTCAAAAATATCGACAGATTTCATCCATGTTGCCACATTCTGATGTTGATTAATTACATTATTTTGAATAAATCCAGTGAATTTTATCTTTGCAAGAACATGCAATCTTTGAGGTTCCAAGAACTTTTCATCTTGTTCGCATCTGCCAAATAAATTTGTGCTAAATGGCATCGTCTTGAAATCTTTAAAGTGGTAAATGAGGAAAGTGTATACTATAGATATAAAGTTGCAAACATTATTGCTTTGAAGTGGTTACAAGAGACTTGAAATAAAAACTTGTATTGGTTGTATGGTTGTAAACAGACTATCAGCTTCAGCTCAATAGCTTTCTGTGCTACATTGACTTTTCTAACAGCCTGTGCTTTCTAGCAGTCAAGTTCTAACAGCCTTGACTCTGAATACTTATCATAGATGATGATTGTAGCCTATGCAATATAATAGAATATTAATAATTTCAATAGCATAATGTCAAATAAATAATGCCAATAGTGTAATGTCAAATACATGACAACAAAACCTTGTGCAAATAAAGCAAATATTATAAATTGGTCTCACATATTTGTTGGGTCACAGTAAACTTTGTTTATACATTTTGTTGTTGAGGGTTAATTTATGGTATATTTTCTAATTACAGTATAGAATATTGGTTTAGATGTATGGACATTGATGGAGATGGGCTTATATCAATGTACGAGATGGAATATTTCTATGAGGAACAAATGCAGAAAATGGAAGCCCTGGGTATAGAAAGGTTGCCATTTGAAGATTGTCTATGTCAAGTATGCTTATTATTATTTATTAAGTCTTGTGAATTATATTGCTGAGTACCAAAAAAAAAAAACAACAAAAAACAACAAATTAATGTAAAATATTTGATTTCTTCAATCTGTAACATAATATAAAAGGGACAAGCAAGCACCGGATAGATTTGCTGTCTAATGTTTGTGTCCAATTGACATCTGTTCAATAAATAATCATAGTGTTTAAACTAAGGTGATGATATGATAAATAAACAAATTGTTGTTGCTGGAATCAAAATAATGAATATTGTATCTATGAAATATTTTATCAGTGATTCAAAACATGGGCTAGTTGTTTGTATTATTTAAAAAATCAAGCCATTGTGCTATGCACTTGTAACTTGTAATGCATGTTGTTATTTCGTCAGTTGTTCAGTAATATTTTCACCATGTACTTGCTCAACTATTGTCAAAGTTTCCATACTTTACTTTATAAATGGTCGATCATATCTACTGTTACAGATGTTAGACCTTGTACAGCCGGAGTCAAGACTACAAGTTACGTTAAAAGATCTGAAACGTTGTAAGATGACAAATATTTTCTTCGATACTTTCATGAATCTCGACAAGTTCCTCGAACACGAACAGAGAGATCCGTTTGCCAATCTCAGGGTTTGTTATTACATATATTTTTGGCATATTTCACTAGTGTCTTAAACAATAAACCTGTAAATACTGGCAGGGTGTTTGGCTGACTTATCACAGTGATTTTATAAGCATTTTAGTATTTATCTCTGAATTTGTTAGTGATATTTTTAGCGTTTAAAGGTAAATCGAGTAAAAATTTGGGTGCCTTTTCCAATGCAAACACTAGAAATGTCTACTTTGGTCTAAATAAAACACAAAGAGTCACATGAAGTATTTATTCACCAGTTATGTCGATAAAAAGTTGCTGTTTAACACAATGGTAATGTGACAATAAAATGACTATGATGAAAGATTGACTTCAGGTGATACCAGTGGAAACAGAAATTGAATTGATAAGCTTTTCAATCATAGAATTGACTATTTAAGTCCCGTAATATTATAATATTCTGTATGAAGACCTTGTGCATTGGTCAACTAGTAAAACAAATATAATTCTTGGAGAAATCTTAATCACAATTGGTAATATGTTTCATTTTAACATTGTTATTTATTTCAATTATTTTCTTATTCAACAGGACTTGGAGAGTGATATCCCTGAACCTACAGACTGGGAGAAATACGCAGCCGAGGAATACGAGATATTAGTTGCCGAGGAAGGAGCCAATGAACAAGAAGAAATGTACGTATTACATGATCACGTGACATGTATCACATGGTCACATGACAGTATCAGAAGATCACATGACGTGTATCACATGGTCACATGACAGTATCAGAAGATCACACAACATGTATCACATGGTCACATGACATGTATCACAAGGTCACATGATAGTATCACATGGTCACATGACTTATCACATGGTCATTTAGTGCTGGGATAGATTTAATATGGCACCTGTGTCACACAGAAGTTTGGACTGAAATATGTTTTCACATTTATTTCAAACTACTCTAGCAATGCATGTGTTTGTGAAAATTTTGTTCTAGATAAAAATTTTCTATAATGTTCTCTTTACACTAGAGCGATTTCTTTACTGTAATAAATAATTGATCATGAAGAACACAGTACTTCAGAGATAAGGTTTTTACAAAAGGCGTACTAGTTTTCTTTCTTTCATATATAAAAAATGAAGAACTAGTAAGAAAAGGGTTGGGATAGAAATCGGTGACGATTCAAAGATTTAGAATGCAAAATGTAATGCATGCAGTATTTATATATATTTATATACTGTAGTAATATATGCCTGTTTTATTTTTATTTTTTAAAGATTTAAAGAATTATTTTAGTTGCTATTACTCACACACAATGTTTAACATAATTATGATGTCTTGCCAAATTACTTTATGTATAGGCTACTAAAAATTTGAATGTCAGTAACTAAATTCAGTCTATTTTTACATAAATTTGGGTAATTTCCGTACATAAATTTCAGTATAACACTAACAGAATTATTACAAAATTATTACAAAATACAACAGTCACATGATTTAAAGCTGCCATATATTGGTGTGAATTATCCCTTAACCTGCTAAATTTCTATAATGGATTTTCCCTGTTTTGAATTTGGAACAGTCCATTTAAAGTTTTAAGGGATTTCAATATTAAAAAAAAACAACATAAAAACTACCAGCAGTAATTAGACTAGTCAGACTTCATGCAGGCAAGCTTGGCCTGGCTCTATTCTAATGGCAAATCCAAAAAAACAAACAAATATTCATGATATGAAACTTTTAGTATCTTGCAGACCTATACCACTTGCTTTAATTGAGACAATGAATTTGGACAAGCCAATAATTCTATTAAGTTTGACGAGATTGTTTAATGCTCAGGTTTTTAAATTTCACCATCTCATTGAACCCACTATTTATAGGAAAGTGTCAAATTTATGCCAGAAAGTAAATTCCAAATATCCAGGTTGTATGAAACACCAGTTTTGTAAACCTGCTATAATTTAAGTTAAATTGAAATGCTCTTGCAGGTTTATGTAAGTTAAGGCAAACTAACATGCCAACTGTTGAAAAAAAGGAAGTACTGATAGAAGGGATGTGCATTTTGATTTTATAATAAAATAGCTATTATTTGCATTATATTTTTATTTCATTTTATCTGCACGCAGCAAGGAGTTTTATTGGCTCAAATGGTAATTAAAAAAAATGCCTCTTTTTAGTTTTGGTACTGTTGTGTTGTTGACACCCTATTTATTTCTGTTGTTTTCAGGCCTGTACCTTTTTCCATCTCTTGTTGACATGTGACTTTTCTTTGAAAGAAAGAACCACCCTATCTTTAACATTGCTTTCTGACTCTTTTAATATAGTAACTTCCAACCATGAAAAAATCCCCATTGCATGCAAACCTGTGGTTGGGAATCATTTGGTCCTAGATGTAGATCATACTAAATTTGTAGTGTTAAATTGTCTTCAAACCAGGAAAACACCAAAAAAGATTTTTTATAGAAGGGCATATATTTCAGCAATAATATATTTTTCATTACAAGTAGTAACTAGTAAGTAAAGTTAAATAGGAAGTAACTTATATAAGAGTGACATTGTGTTACGTACAAAGTGTTAAAATTTAAATTACAAATGACAACATTTGATCAGAATCAGCTAAAAAGTGGCTTTAAATTATACTAATGTATATATTAATTTCCTGAACATGAATTATAAACTATACAATGAAAAAAGAAAGGTGACAGGAATTTTAATATTTAAAGCATTTTATATGGGGAATATATATTTATTCTTGATAGTGAAACAAATTTTATTTACTTAAATTAATTAAATTCCCTTGAACCAAGCAGTATTTGTCACACAAAGAAATGTGTCCTAACCCACAATAAAATATTGCTAGATTATTTAGCACTTACAGATTGACCATTATTAGGCCTCCAGGCAGAGTGGTCAAGGTTGCTTGACTTGTCCCTCACCAATGGTTAGGTTTGAATCATTACAGGCACTTTTGAAGTCTTTACATGAAAAACCTATCAAAATATATTATATAAGGTTGGTGGTTCTTCTCTTGTGCTGGAATTTATACAAGGACGGGAATGGTTACCTTAGGCCCTCCTTCAACAGTAAAGATTGATAATTTCATTAAGACCTTTACAATGCAGGTGTGTTTTAAAGCTAAAATAAATTTGTACTAAAGTAGGAAAGGTTTTGATAGAGTCATGAATTATATATTACCAGCACTGCCATAGATTTGTGCACATTCTATCTCTGGCTGACTTATATACATGTATTATTATTGTACCTATATAGGATATAACAAAGATGCTGATTGTAAATACATTGGTTACACTGTTTCTTTAAAAAACAAGTTACAAATAGAGTTATTTCTCATCAGGGATTGAATCTGTCATTAATTTGTTGATAAAACAAATTTTTACTTAAAGAATAGAAAAATAGTCCCTGATTATCATTTATTGTTAAAAATTAGTCTGAACAGAAATTAGAATACTGTATTGTATTAATTAAAAAAGGGTTAATTTCATGCATGTAGGTAAATAAATTTTGCTTTTGTGAATTGATTGTTTTGCCCTGCTTTATTACTACATGTATGCTTCTTTACAAACAGTTTTAATAATAGTACATGTAATGCATTTGTTATACAAAGATATCTTGGTACAAGAGGTAGGTTTTTTTGTCTTTGTAAGGAAATGTAGTCTTTGGTGAAATAGCAAAGGAGTATAGATTATGTTAAAACTTTAAGCTCTATAGCTATTGCACACTTTGCTTGTGAACATTTTAAAAGCAAAAGTTTTCTCTTTTTTATAATTTTATTGTATATAATTGAATGTGTTGTTTTACAGTATCAATCAGATTTTGTTTTCAGCTGCAATTTTGTATTTGTTTATCTATTTATTTATTTTTTTTATCAAATTTAAGTTTTATATCCAATTTTTAAGATGTGTGTCAAGAGGTTTAAATTTAGTGCTTAAAGGCCCATTATGCCCCAGAAATGCTTTAATTTTTATCTCTTAAAAGCTTTTTATATTTGGTGTCCTGATATAATTTCTAAAACATCTCTTGGCTTTTTGAAAATTTTCACATTTTTAGCTATTTAGTATTGTGTATGGAAATCAAAATGCTACTTTGTTTACATTTTCCTACTTTATGACAAATAATTTCACATTCAGCACTACTTCTTTCATGTATTAAGTATATAACTTACTTATAAACCATTATTCAGACATTATAAATATCATGTTTGTCCTTTTTAGAGAAGGAAAAGAGTATTCATTTCTGAGGCATAAAATGCCTTTAAAATCTAATCTACTGAAGAAGCTTAATAAAGCAAAACATGTTTTGATAAACTGTTTTTTGTTTATGAATCTATTTATCATATATGCTTAAAAGCATCTGTGATGTTGTTTTGAAGTGTGGTTTGATTTTATTCTGATTTTAATGAATTTTGATGATGAATATTTTCAGACACTATGAGGATGATTTCGAACCCGATGATGACGAAGCCATTCCGGACGGTCTGACCTTGAACTCTGGTGATAAGAGATCTAACGAGCCCATTCAGGGACGTGGGTTAGGTGCTGGCCAGTCGGTACACACTATAGAGGATGACATTTACGATTTTAGTAATTCTTCAACGTACTGACAGCTGGCAAATTGTTAGCTGAATGCTAAAGCGAAAGATTAATATTGTCAAATATAAAACCAGAAGTGGAAAGTACTTACAGTAATGTTCAAATGGTTAAAATTTTAAATGTCCTAATTATAGAATGACAAAATTCTCATTCAACTTACTTTTATACCAATGTTAGAAAATGTCTGGTTTAAAGAATGAGATAATGATTTTTCATTGTGGTTGAATGAAACATTGGTTTGAATTATTTGTTTAAGTTATCGAAAAAAAGACTTTGGATGAAAGATTATATATATATTGTTTCAACAATCTAAAAATCAAAATTTGAATGGCAATTAATAATGGTGGTAGACATCTTTTGTGTCATTAAATGTTCATTAAAGCTTTTTTAGCATTGAAACAAGTTGACTGCTTTTCAGGCTTTGTCTACATTAGTTCTTACAGAATTTTACTTTAGTTAGAATGTATAGAAAGCTAGAAGCTTATAGGCACACTTTTGAATCCAAACTTAGAACTGACCAGTACTGAGCAATCAGTGTAAAGGTTCTTGCTCAAGGAAACAATGGTTTGCTCCTAAAGGGGTTTGAACCCTTCATGACCAGCAATCATTTTATTACTTGTCTGTTTTGTTAAAGATTCAACCACGCCACCACCAAATAGTTAAGTTTTTGATATTATTAAATCAATATTGCTTAAAAAATTGTGCTACTTAATATGCTTAAAGGTGAATGAAATCATTGTGAAATATCTTACCTGTATTTGTCACCACTATAGGAACCTGAACAGTCTGCACAGCATATGAAATCTGCCCATGCTTTATACTTATTAGCAGCTTAACGCAGCATGCCTCCAGATTTATGCACATTTTTATGAAATTTTTGAAAATGTATTTAAAAGTAAAATATTGCTAAATGAACAAAGAACGTAATTTACACATGACAAACCGCATTTTCAATCTATGTAAATTATCAAAAATAGTCGAAATGGGCAAAAATAGCCCTTACTGCCTTAGTTACACAGTAGAATTATACATTTATGATGATTAATAGAGTGAAGTCAGTCAATAATTACTTGAATATTGAATCTAACTTTTCTTAAAATCTTGGAACATTTTTTTTAAGTTTTATTTTGTCATCAGGAGGCAAGCAGCTTTAAGTAATAATTGATTGGTCAAAAGGTCAAGCCTTGATAATGAAATTATGATAAAGTTGAATTTATTACTTAATAAACTACTGGTATCAATAGTAAAAACCTAAATCTTTTTGTGAACACTGACTTGGTTTATTGTTGTGCATTTTATGTAAATAATCATGTATTATTTATTTCATGTACATATTACATGTGTTGTATTTCAATTGTATAAATATACATCTGTGATTTGAGTTTCTCATTATATTTTATAACCATAATAATAGTTAGTTGATTTTTAATTTTGAAGGCAAACAAAAGTGGGATTTAAAATTCTCTAGACACAAGTTGAATAAAATAATAAATATATAAGTATAATAAAGTTTTTTTTTGACACCAATTAAATTTTTCAGTGATTGGAACAAGTTTAATATCAAGTTTTTAAATATCAGCTGAATTTCCAGTTTAACCTGAAGTTGAATTTCACTTTTTTTCAAGGACATTTGTTGCATTTCAAGTTTTTAGGCACAAGAGGAGTTTCGATTTAAGTGCAAATTGAATTTCTATTTTTCAGACAAAAGTTGATTATTTATTCTCTAGATGCAAGTTAAGTTAAAATCTTAAGACACATCAGTTTTTCAAGGTCTATGTGTCTCTAAGCATGTGCAGACTTAATCAGATTTGTATAAATTTTCTCTGTATATTAGAATTAAGACATTTTAGGCTATCCAAACTTCCCATTTTGTAGATATTCATATTTATTCATCGTTACAATTTCCTTGTGTGAAAAAATGTGTTCTTAGGTCAATTTCAATTATACATGTATACAGTCATTATTATACGGCTCTTATTATTCCTATATAGAAATTTGTGTTCTACATTTTTAACTCCAACTATTCAAAGAATAGGGAGAGCTAATGTACTCACCCAGGTGTTGGCATTACCCATTGGTTAAGTTTTTGCATGTAAATTGGTATCTTCAAAAGTATTGAAGATAATTGTTTGAAACTTCAGACACTTATTTGAGAGCATAAGAGGAGGTCACTGTCCAAGGCCCATAACTCTAGCAGGGATTTTGACAGAATTATGGCCCTTTTTGAACTTAGAAAATTTTTAAATTTTACTTCATTCAGGCTCTTGTTTTACTATCAAGCAGTGAGAAAAGTAAAGCCAGCTTGACAGCTATTGTTCAATTAATGTTATGATTCCTTTCCATTTAGCCATAAGATTTTGTAGATTTTGCTCAATCAAAACAGATGTAAATTTAAAATAGATAATTTGTCCACATTTTTTTTCTTTTCTTTTTTTGTAAACAATTTTATTTATTTTTATAATTATTTCAGTCAACTGCCAAAATGTAGTTATTTTCATGATTTTCATTTTTACATTTTGAAATATAACTGTATGTTTATTTATTACAGGATTAAATACTTTTTGTAGCATTGATTGAGTGTGAAAATTTATTATTTCAAAATGAATTTCTTGTGTAGTTCTCATATTTTCTGGTTTGATTTATCTCATTTTTTCCCCTTCTCATTTTGTTAATTGGTTTAGTAAAACCACGAATATGAATGAAATAGTGTGATAATATACATTGTACATAGAAATATTTAAATTACCTATCATATAATTGGCTTCTCTACTGTACAGATGTAACCTTTTACCTTCTGAATTTGTGTAGTGGATTTGCCCAACTCTTTCAATTCGGAACAGTCCATTATAAGTTTCAGGGAATTCAGTATCATATACGAAAAAAAATTAAGTAACCAACGTCCTGTCCTGGCTTTATACTTGTAGGTCCAGCAGGTCTAGGGTTAAAATAATATTTGGAATATGTAATTCCTTTTAACATTTGAAAAAGAAAATAGAATTATCATAAGGTTAGATCACTTCTCAGTTTTGCTTTTTCAGATATAATAACCCAAAGTACCAAAATGGGATCTTAAAACCTTTTTATCATGCATTATCTTAAATTCTAACATACTTCACACTGTTCCTTTTTCCTTTATCAAGTACACTATTACACAATATATGCACAGCATAATAAACAAATGCTTAAACGTCATGTGGTCATATTTGACTCCAATGCAAAATGACGTCCGGGGGGGGGGGGGGAATAACTTCTGTGCTGAATGTAGTTCCAGCATATTTTTATCAATTCTCTTTTTTATTACTATGTAAGAATGGAAATAGATAGTAATTTTTCATGCAATGTAGTATAATAATGCATGGTTTATTGTTCTAATGTTTTGTTAGACTTGAAGATTATATTCCTGCGCATTTGAACTCTAACCATGCATTATTTTTTACAATAATGCAGTCAAAATTGACTTCCATTTCCTAAATATATAATTTTTGTGTGTGTTGTCCTCACTAGAAATCCACAATGTCATAAACTTTGTTTTTGAAGTACTGAGCCTGGGAAATGCACAATTAGATTTATACAACTAAAAAAAGTTTAAAACACAAAAGATCGTTTAATCAGTTTAAAATTATAATTAATGTAATTATTGTCATTTTATATGTGTGTTGTTTTCTTCTTTTCTTCATTTTGCTTAGTTATAGAAATAAATTTCAAAGATAAAGGAACTTAAATACTTACAGAAATTGATGTAAAATTTTTTATCACTTTTGGCCAAAGGGTCAAGGTTACCAACAATAAATTATTTGCCCCACTTTGTTGTCGGTTTAAATCTTACAAGGGTCTTTGTATGCCTTTATACATGATGAATCTATCTTTTATTATACAAAAAGACCCAACTTTTATTGGAATATTTAATGCAAATTTTTTTATACTTTTGTTTTAAAAAAAAAGTCAATAACAATTTGATGTAATGTCTGTTCAAGACTGTCATTTACATTTGCCTGATTTGTAATTTAGTAATCATTTTTCTTTTTTAATAACATTTTTTTTCTCTCTCTCAAATTTCAACAACCTTCACTACTGTGTTTAGTCATGTTACAAAGGAACTTTTCTCTGTAAAGCGAAAATAGCACATGTCTTATCTCCATATATATGATAATTGAGCCGCGTCACAACAAAACCAACATAATGGGTTTACGACCAGCCTGCGCATCCGCGCAGTCTGATCAGGATCCATGCTGTTCGCTTACCAAATCTATTACAAGTATTGAAACTGATAGCGAACATCATGGATCCCGATCAGACTGCGCGGAGGCGCAGGCTGGTCTGGATCCATGCTGGTCGCAAACCCATTATGTTGGTTTTGTCATGACGCGGCTCATATAGATTTCTTATTTTTCTGCATGTTGATTTTTCTTTTCTTTTTGTATGAAGTATTTTGTTAGAGGATTCTGATTATGACAATTATGTGAGTTTAAATAAAGTAAAAAAAGGTAAACACAATAAAAAAAATGTACAAAAAATTAAAAATTAAAATGTGTTAGTTTATGACTAAACCCTTTCCATCTTCACTGATTATCCCCCGCCGATGGAATCGGGAGGGGGATATAGTTTTGGCGTTGTCCGTCCGTCCGAATTTCGTTTCCGGAGTAGTTCTCTGCAACTACTGGCTGGAATTCAACGAAACTTTATGGGAATCATCAATATCAAGAGGAGATGCGCATATCGTCGGCTTGTTCCGGTCCGACCCTTTAACTCAGAGTTATGGCCCTTGATTAGTTATGTAGTATGCATATAGAGTAAAAATCGTTTCCGGAGTAGTTCTCTGCAACTACTGGCTGGAATTCAACGAAACTTTATGGGAATCATCAATATCAAGAGGAGATGCGCATATCGTCGGCTTGTTCCGGTCAGACACTTTAACTCAGAGTTATGGCCCTTGATTAGTTATGTAGTATGCATATAGAGTAAAAATCGTTTCCGCACTACTTCTCTGCAACTACTGGTTGGAATTCAACGAAACTTTATGGGAATCATCAATACCAAGAGGAGATGGGCATATCGTCGGCTTGTTCCGGTCAAAAACTTTAACTCAGAGTTATGGCCCTTGATTAGTTATGCAGTATGCATATGGAGTAAAAATTGTTTCCGCGCTACTTCTCTGCAACTACTGGCTGGAATTCAACGAAACTTTATGGGAACCTTCAATACCAAGAGGAGATGCGCATATCCTCGGCTTGTTCGGGTCAGACACTTTAACTCAGAGTTATGGCCCTTGATTAGTTATGCAATATGCATATGGAGTAAAAATAGTTTCCGGAGTAGTTTTCTGCAACTACTGGTTGGAATTCAACGAAACTTTATGGGAATCATCAATATCAAGAGGAGATGCGCATATCGTCGGCTTGTTCCGGTCAGACCCTTTAACTCAGAGTTATGGCCCTTGATTAGTTATGTAGTATGCATATAGAGTAAAAATTGTTTTTCGCACTACTTCTCTGCAACTACTGGCTGGAATTCAACGAAACTTTATGGGAACCTTCAATACCAAGAGGAGATGGGCATATCGTCAGCTTGTTCCGGTCAGACACTTTAACTCAGAGTTATGGCCCTTGATTAGTTATGCAGAATCCATATAGAAAAATATTTGTTTTCTCGCTACTTCTCTGCTACTACTGGCTGGAATTCAATAAAACTTTATGGGATACTAAGAGGAGATGTGCATATAGTCGCCTTGTTCCAGTCAGATACTTATAACTCAGATTTATGGCCCTTGATTAGTTATGTAGTATGCATACATCTCATTGGCATTTCCAGATTTTACTATTTAACACAAAGTTATGGCTCTGTTTATGCCCTGAATAATATATAAATAAAGCCTTATGTTTTCAGTTGTTGTGTTAATAATAACCAGTACTCGGCGGGGGATATAAATTCAACGAATTTGCTTGTTATACAAGTAAGCTTCGTGTCTGATGCTGTTCTTTCAAGGTGCTGTATGTGATAATGGACTGGTCTACCTTCCTGGAATTAGCTTGTGCTGGGGCCGTATAAACATGAATATGTCGAGATTAGGGCTCAAACCCATGATCCCCGAGTTAAGCAGTAGGCAGCATTAAAGATAGGTCGCTTCTCATCTTGTACTATTTGGCAACTCATTTCATTTATAAAATCCCTCCTAGTTACAAAGGATAATTCTGAACTAAAATCTTTATTATTAGCTTGTCTGTTTAGTAGAAAGAGTCGAGCTATTATGATTCCATGCTGCGGTAACATAGACGATAAGCAAAAACTTAACTGTTGCCTATTAGTCAAACAATTTTAAAGGTATCTATATAGAAACTTTAAATGCTTGCTGGTCATGACAAGAGACAGTTGTAAAACAAATATGAAGGCTTCATTTCTGGAGTTATGCCCCATTTTAACTTTTTTGTCAAAAGTGGTTATTTTAACAGACGTGCATTATCATTTCATTCGGTGCTCTTGTATACTTAAGTAGGGTAAAAGTCTTATTAAGTAACCCTAGTAAAGTCGCCTTTGTGGCCTTTATGTTAAGAGTAAAGCCCTTAGCTGGACATCTTTTCCTTGAGGCATAGTAAGAATACATGTATATAGAATTGTTTTACATTATTATAATTATTGAGATCATCCCATCACAAAACACTCAAAATCAGACTCCTTTTCAATGTTATGGTAAGTGAGATAAAATGTTAAAAACTGTGTTGGACAATAGGTTATACTAATCAGGAAAATTTTAGTAACTCAAAATAATCTTTCAAAGAGGAAAAAGACCGATTCACAAAACATTTTATCTTATCCTCCTGATACTAAATGAACTCAAGGGTGGGAGTTTTTTTTTACCTACGGTGCATGATTCATAATTTGAAACTTTTTATACAGCAATGATACATACTAGATATACATGTATAAGTTGTGTGCATACTAGTTCCTCAAAAAGATAAGTCGTGTTTTCCTACATATTAGTATTAGTCTGCATAAAGCATGTGACCCTTGGGAAGGGCCAAATTTAACCTCAGTCTTTTGTAGAAGACAACAAATTGATGCTACAAGTTCTAGAGTTTGTAAATTTCAAGATATGCTTATAATAAATCTACACAAACAAAATGACCCCCAAGGGTGAGGCAAATTTTTCCCTCTAGGTCATGATCCAACTCCCCCCCCCCCCCTCGAAATAAATCTAGTAACATTTTTGCCAATAAGTAATATCTTTTTATCTGTTCAAAAGATAAAAATCAGACACAAAATTTAAATATTCATACCTGACTTAGTGTGACCTTGACTTGGGAAGGTAAAAAAACCTATGCTCAAATTGTGTCAATTTGGGTAACATTTCAATTGAGTTTCAATTTTCTTCCACTCATTCAATCGATACGGGGCTGACACAAAATTGGTAACAGACGGGCACACAACCAGGTGCATAACAATATACGCTGGAATTTATTTTGGAGTATAAAAAGCAATACCAATATTATGACAAAATTTATGTCAAAATTATTTTAACATAAATACTGCAAATATCCAAACAATGCATTATCATATAATATATGTATCTCTTAAAACTTTGTATACAAGTAAAAAAGAAAAATGCAAATCTTGAATCTAGCATAATAATACATGTATAAAGGCCTCAAGTTTTAATAACAAACATCACCGATTTCTGTCAATTTATATAAATACTACACACACTTTAATTTCACTTTTCAGGCATTTTATCCATATACTTGTATAAAATACATTCTTTGATGATAATTTTTATATTATTTTCATATAAAAATATTTCATGAAAAGTGTAGAGTGAAGTTTGTCAAACTAGTAATATAGATACAAAATCATGTTTACCCAGATAATTCTATTTCTATAATTACAGTTGTTTGCTGGAGTATACAGAAGAGCCACTTGTGTTTTATTTTTATTTTTTTCCTTCTGAATTTAGTCAATTTACACCTGCGTTTTTAATTTTGCGAGACACTCGAACCCTGTATAATGCACAGCAAATCTTCTTCATGTCCATCTTCAAATATCAATATTTTGTTGTTGCTATTGTTTGGTAAATCACATTTGTTGCTGGTCTTCCTTTGTTAACATATTTTTACTATTTTTCTTTATTTCTATAAGTATGATACTTCTTTATCAGAGCCCGCTTGTAGGCATCAAAATAAGGTCTGCCATATTTAATGTAAAACAACCCGAACAAGGTGCCGCCTAAATGTCCCGCATGATCGAGAAATCTCCATCCCATCGCTAAACCAACAACGTCTAATAATATGATACCTATGAGTGCTGATTTTGCTGAGAAACTATGAGGAAAGATCTGGTCAACAAATGCAATACTGAGTCTACCGTTTGGAAATTCTACGCAAATGATCGCTATAAGAGCTAAAAGTGCTCCGAGCACCCACTGATGGTATCATTCTACCACTCATTACACGATAAATACTGCTCGTAAGTCCAGATATAGTTCCTCCCGCAAGGTACACGGCCAGCATTTGTTCTTTTCCTAAGAAATTACACACTGTTCCACTAAATGAGTAGAGAACGTACATGTTGACAAATAAATGCGTCCCTGATATGTGACTAAATGCTGATAACGTTGATCCAAGTACTGAATGTGCTGAAAAATAAACAAATGTCTATTATATAAATTATTACACAATGACTAATTATAGCCACATTTTCATGCTGAGTATAGCTATGAAAAACTTCTTTCTTTTTTTTTTTTCTTCCCAAGAAGGTATTTTATGTGAAACTGAAAAGGTAGATCAGTGAAAGGATTTGGTGTGTTGAGGTTTTAAGTCACACATGCCACTGTTAGTCTTATTTAACCTTTAAAGCTGTTAAACAGCTGAAAATAGACCTAAGGTATACCTCAATGTTTAAACCTGTGATATTCTATCTTTTTTGACAATAAATTTACATCTTGATGGTTTCTTGTTGTTGTTGTTGTTGTTTTTTAAGCACACCAACACAATGTAGGTAATATGGCGCTGAAACAGGAAAGATGATTTTGGCTAACCTTGGATGTTAAAAACTAAAAGCAACACCAGAGGTCAAAACCACCTCAGCTGATGGAGGTAAAAGATGCAGTGACTCCAGTTATTCGAACCAATTCAGTCGCCTCTTATGATCACACAGGGATAACCTGTGGCAGCAATTCTGATGCCTCAAACCCTTTAAGCCAACCCCTCAGCCACAAGGGATTATAATCTTGTATGTATTTAAAGCTTTAACTGCATCTGCAAGTTAGAGTTCAGAGATTTTAAATAAATCAATTAAAATCATTTTGAAAAGTTTACCTTTAGTTGGCAAGCATATGAAGTATCTTGACATGATAGGAAACAAAGGCTTGACTTTAAACAGCATAAATACAGCAAAATTAGCTGCTATCATCTCCCATACTAATTTTCTCCCTGGTGATAAACTGTTCCATATTGCATTTAACTGGAAAAAATAAGGTGCATCAAATGTTTAGTTTAATGAAGTTTTAACGTTGATTATACTGAAAACTGTTCACTAATTTCAATGTTTCTCAATACAACTCCAGAGGCTATTCTGCATTTTAGTTTATACAAAATTATTTAAGATCAATTGTGTATGAAGCTATAAGCTTATTGAAACACTTTCGAATCCGTTCCTGGAACCAACCAGTACTAAGCAATGAATGTAAAGTTTCTTGCTCAAGGAAACAACGGCTTGCCCCGGACAGGGTTTGAACCCACGCGGCCAGCAATCCTTAGATTACTAGTCTGCATTATTCTGCATTTGAAAGTAGTATGCATACAACATGTACCACATGCAGAAATGAGATGCTACAAAGGCTCATATCATTGATTCCTCATTGGGAGGAGGCATTAGCCTCTTTATTTTGGGAAAATTATCACTAAAATTACTTATTTGGGAAGTAGAAATTTAGATTTTAGGGAAAACAACATTATTTTAATGAAACTTTCCATTGGGAAGAGGTTTTTTATAGGCCTCTGTTCATTATAAGGTGAAAAATCACTGTTCCTTTGTTAAATCATTGGCTTTAGCTGGCTATCACTAATAAAGTAAATCTGGGGACAAAAAGGTGTGTGTTTTTTTTTTGTTTTGTGTTATGACAAAGCCAATGTCAAGTTGAGTTGAATTAGTAATATATTTCAAAAGTCGAAAAAATCAGCTATTATAATGGTGATTTATCAATAATTGATAATGAAAAATGTTTATGTTACATTTTAAATACTACCTAAATTATAAAAAGACTGCCCCACTCTTTTTAAAGAATCTAGCTTTACAAATACATTTTGAACAACATTTATAGAAATTTCCCTTTGTCACCTGGATTATTTATTATTTGTTCATAATTAGAAAAAAAAAAATAACACAATTATGGGCTAAAGCCCTCGGGTCCATTATTCATTTTGCGGGCCGATTATCACCTTCCAGCCCTACTCTGACGTGTATTAATGTTTTTAATACACTTGGTAGATCTAATAGTAGCATTTTTAAAAAAGAAAAGAAAAAAAACAACAACAACAAATAGAAATCTACTTTGAAGTTCTTTGGTTGAAATTCTTGTGTTCTGTACGGAGATGTTTACTGTTTGTGTGTTCAAAGAAGCAAGTTTTATCGGATTGAATTTGTCGTATTACTTCTTCAAATTTCAACAGTAACAAAAATGTGTTTGTACTAAATACGATGTGCTGTCAACCTACTTTCACTTTTACAGTTAACTGTTTCATAACGTAAAATATGACGTCATTGTTTCAGTTTGTGCACGTGCACATGTTCTGCGGGCTGATAACTAGTTCTCGGCCCCGGGCCGCAAACTCATAATAGGTCACGTGACACTCATAATCAGTTGAAATCATAGGCAATTTTGTTACTATATATAGTAACAAGTGTATTAATTATTATTTGTTCATAATTAGAAAAAAAAAATAACACAATTATGGCAAAACGTCAAAATATTTCATTTTAAAATGAAAAAAATAAAAGAATAAAACTTGCATTATCACGGAATCCTATCTGTTTCCCAATCTCTGACTTCATTGGGTGTATATGACTGGCAGGCTTTTTTAAAATTTCTCTCACATTTTCATATTGCCATATCGCACAACCTGTGAAGAATGCTGGAACTGCCTGCAAAATGTTGTAGTGTTATGTTATACTAATAAGAGTTACAAATGTTTCAAATCACATCCGAGAAATTTGTGCCTAGTACATAGCAGCTAATGATTCAAATGAAGAATTGCAAAATAGGACAGTATCATATATTTTTACAACACATTATACATCTGTGAATCAAATATACTTCTCTATTCATCCAGTATTTATGCCATGTGTCCCCTTGAAAATATAAAGTTTCAAAGGAAAGAAACTATCATTATTATCATTGAATAAATGATAGGCTTTTTATTTATGCAAGAACATCAGGGTTCTCGGGGACGCTTATTTCGGCGTCCCGGTACGCATGTTTATTACAGCTGGACGCTAATATTTCAGAGCAAGGATTCCACGTACGCTTAATTTTGCCTGGGGACGCATAAAAATTACCGATTGTTTACAACCACAAATACACAATTACGTCAGCGCGTGTCAGTCTATAGGTAGGCGGTCCTATGCACATCGACCCGTGAAGCGATTAGCCAATCAGCGATAACGCTTCCGATCATTATCACGCAATAGTGATCAGACTAATGTATACACGCGCTGATTACCAGATATAACACGAGGTGATAATTTTATATCTTTGATCAACAGTTGATTGGAAATTAGCAAATTTTACCGACAAAAGGATAAAATTATCGACTATTTACGCCGCCTGTTTTCTCAAATTACAAATGAGTGTAATTTTGAATGATTGTCGAATATTTTCGGCATTTTCTAGGCCAAATTTTGCTTTATTTTCATTCTTGCAAAAACTTTCTATAAGAGTATTAAGAATTTAAGATATTGTGCCGAAATGCCAGGACAACAAACCAAAGTACACATACGCTTTTCTTTGATATTTAGATTCTATCCAAAAATTGATCCCGAACATCGGCGATGTACACGTTCGCCAAAAACCCTAAAATTTCGCGAAAATTCTCAGTTTCCAAGCCAGACATGCGAATGAATTGTTCCTTTATTATTTAATCAACATTAAATCTTTAAATATCGATCTTAAATTTTCCCCCTTTTGAATATATTTGCTAAAATAATTGTCGATCGGATGGATCTGTTACACACTGTGTGAAGCTGTACACGATTTTCCTATTCATTCCGTTAAACGCTGCTTACTGGCAGTATATACATTTAGTTGTGGTTTTTACAAATATAAACTTTTTGTCTTTAGAGTGGACTTATTTAACCAGAATAAAATTTGATTTGGTATAAAAATGAAAAGAAAAAAAAACAAAAAAAAACGATTTCCATGTGTTGATGCATTATAATGAAATAATTTCATAATAAATATTAACAACAAAACAATAATTATACTATGTAGTACAGAGTTTCTTTTGAATAACTATAAACTTTGAAAGTCTCTTGAAGATTCAAAATATCAGCAATGCTATTGTGAGCATTGAATGACTATAGTATCTGTAAACATATTAATTGCGACGCGCTTTTGGACTCCAACTTTTTCAAGGTTGGGAGTCCATGGACTCCATGTTTTAAAGTCCTAGTGAGAACCCTGGAACATTTACAACCACTGCTATTTGTACATTATGTATATTTTTGTTTGTTTGTTTGTTTGATTGGGTTTTATGTCAATACGACACAGTATAGGTCATATGGCAATGTTCCAGCTTTACAGGTGGAGGAAGACCTCAGGTGCCCTTCCTTGCATTATTTCAGGCACGAACAGGCACCTGAGTAGAACCACTGACGTTCAGTAAGCTAGCTGGATAGCTTCCTCACATGAAAGAATCCAAAGTCCCTGTCGGGATTCGAACCAACAGCGGTGAGGGCAAGTGGTTTGAAGTCAACGACCTTAACCACTTGGCCACGGACGCCCCACATTAAGAATATCTTGTAAAATATGCATTATTGGATGAGCATCAGATAATAGTTTTTTTATATATGTATAGAAGACACAGACAAAACTTTGACTATCACAATTAAACATATTTTTAAGTTTCAGAGAACTGAAACTTACTGTGCTCACAGAAATCTTCATTTTAATATTTATGAGCAGCTCTCAGATATACCAAGAAACCTTAATTAACTGAGAAATTTCTGCTACCAAGAAATTAAACTTACCAAAACTGCATAAACAATATATTTCTGTAGAATTCTTGAATCTCCTTTCTGGTTTGTTGCAAACTCTTCATAATATTGATCCTTTTTTGGAGATTCCGTTTCTATTTTAGTTTCTGACTTTTTTTTGGTTCTAAAGTTTCTTACAGACTGCCTCTGTATAGTAAGTTGTGAGAACCTGGGTGATTTCCTGCAATAAACAAAAGATACATCTATATATGACGCTTTCATATGAACAGTAAGATCAACAAAGAATACCTTTTTACAGCATTGGCACAATAGTAAATTCAAGTATGGATCCAGAAATTTCAGGGGGTGCTTAAATTTGAAATAAAAGCAACCCCTTAGGCCTATTAACAGGTAGCCCTTTTACAGGGAAAAACTAAAATCTGCATGTTAAATAGTGGCTTCTGGTGCATTTCAGGTAAACATTTAATTTTTACAAAAATACATATGTCTTACAGACTTAATAAACATTCACTGACACATTTGATGTAGAGAAGGTCACTGCATGTTAATTGGGGCTTCTGATTCATTTTTCCTGGTGCATTTAAAATTTGAGTTTCTAATAAAGGGCATTAAATACTATAAGAATCTTACACCGGCTGCCGGTTCAGACTGGAATATCTAGCTCGAGGGTGACTGTTTATGGCGGTAACGAGGCTCTGCCGAAAGCTAGATATTCCCGTCTGCACCGACAGCCGGTGTTTGATTCTTTTTCTTGCATATTACATATCAATTATTTTAGGACAGAAATAACGAAAACTGACATTCTCATTACGCACTTTTTTCTAATAGTAGCGTATGAACTTACAGCTTCATTCATAACGGTTAAGTGACGTCATCCTAAGAACGAAATTCATTCATAAAAGGCGCCCAGCAATAACTTCATTTTAAGCAAGCGCCTTGTCTTACATGGGGGGTGTAAGACAGGGTTTTCTAGCACCGGTGTAAACGGTAGATAATCCTGTCTGATATGCAAGAATAATCTCTCTGTTTTGGAACTTTTAATTTACACTAAAATGAGTGATGATGTATAATGTAAACTCTAATAGAACTCTTAAAGACTTAATTTTGATTTGTTAAAATTCCACATTTATGCTTATGTCATTTTAAGTAAATCAAAAGAGTTCAAAAGTAAGGAATACTGCTGGCAAGAAAAAGCTATCACATGCCTTATTTGAGACAATATGCATATTTATCAAAGATGTTTGCCCTTTCATTTACTTTAAAAAGGCAGATTTGACACCAATGAAATGCCTTGTTCCATTATTGTAGTCATTGTAGAGTATGCCAGTTATTCATATGTGGAAAGTTTGAGTGGGCCCCACGAGGGCTGTACCATTCTTAGATAACATTATGAATAATGTGTATTGGTTAAATTGAAATGACATAAAATCAATTAAAAAATATAAGTTTAATTCTAACATGTTTAAGAAAAATCCTTAATTAGCTGGGCACTGGCATTTTGAAAATCTTGGACTGGTTCTATATTTGATTTCAGGAAGTTTTTAAAAAAATGTGATAACACATATCAGATGGTTGCTAGAAGACAAACTTGCCATAATTTTCAGTCTAATTTCTAATTTATTTTTATTTTTTGGGGGGGGGATACATAGTGGCATACAATCTATATTACCGGTATTTACAACTTGCAAATTTAATGGCAACATAAGACAAATTGTCAATAATTATTAACAATTTCTCTATCTTTTTTTAAAGCATTAAGGCTTAATTCAATCAGTTACAGATTAGAAATAAGCTATGTAAAGTATGGACAATAAGCCATGTTGTTTGGTATAAAAAGCTGAAACTTTTGCCAAATCCTGTACATAGACTTTATCACCTCATATTAAGTGGTAATTTTCATGGGGTTCTAGCACCAAATGGAGTTAATAATGGCCTGCAGGTGGATTCAATTTATGCATTACAGTATTTGACACCTTCACTCACGATGTAAACATTTAATTAATGTTTTAACTGATCTAAATAATTACCGATAATTGTTAGTTGGAAGGGGAACATAGGTTTACCAATCAAAGGATTAGTGTCACCATAGTCCATTTACTGTATATTGCTACACTGTATGGGGATCATCATAGCATTATTAGCATTCTAGAATAGATAATAATAACTTAATAATAAGATTACACAAAAATTTAAAATTTACGGCTGCAAAGTAGATTTTAGATTTTCATTTTTACCGGGACATAAATCATCTCCGGGAAACCTCGAACGCTTCAGGGCAGACACCTGATTTTTGGCATATTGTAAAAGACTGCCGAATCACACCACCTGTAGAAGTATGTTCGGATTATTGCAATAATGGTGATGACATAGTACTATTTCACTTACGTGAGAAGAAATTGACTTTTTAAAAACAACAAATAATCTTAACTTAAAACTTAAGTATGATTAGCCCAACAAATTGTGCGCTTTAGGTTTTTTTATTATATAGATGATGATCGCCCTACAAAGACGGACATCTATGAAAAATCAGATTATAAAATTGGCCGGTCTTGCAGTCGAAATATTGAGACTAAAGTAGCTATGATATGCGCAGATTATATAACAACAGTTTCTTTACTTACATGGATTTGTAACGTTTTCTAAGAATATTTTAATTTTATCCACTATAATTTACTAATGAGAAATTATTACAAATCTTGGTCTTTACTTATGAGCAGTGCTCTTAATCTTAAAAGTTTAAAACATTTTATGTTACATCATCAGATCACAAGTTTTTGAGGTCAGATTTTAGAAGGGATTAAATTGAATGAACTTGTTATGCATGTTTACCATCATAAGAAGTAACAAAAATTATATCTGAAAAATATGAAAAATAATATGAACTGATAAACCTTAGAAAAACATGAGAAATCATTGACATTCTGCTAAGGACTGCCATCTTGTACAACAGACGCTTGATCTTAAATAATCAAGCAAGCGCTTTCCCCCTAAAAAATATTTCGTTAAAATTATTTCAATCTAAATCAAGAAGCTATCAATTCCACAAGTCAGTAAATTCATATTTTTAATATTTTTTATAACCTAAATATTTATCTAGATATATTAGTGCCAATCTGATTTACCTATTGAATTGTTTTTTATTGAAGATAAATTCGTTCAAATTTATTTTCTAAAATAAAAAAACATGGCGACCACGTCACTTCCAGGTTTTGACCAGAAGAAATTACGGGAGCGTTTATCTTTATGGGACAGTCAGACGGATCCAAAAGCACCATTATCGACTCTACAAAAAGATGTCCTCATTGAACTTACAAATTTTTCAAATGACAGGCCTCTCCCTTCGAATGTATGTAATTTGTTTACTTTTTCATTTCACAAATATTGTGGGTGGGGTACGCTCTATGGTTGTGTAAGTTTAAATTATTTAAGGTGATCAAATGAAATCAAAATTTATTGTCGGTATACATATATAACATTTTACAAAACATAACCTATGTATAACTTTTGACCGACATGTGATACAGCCTTGTCCGTCGTATTTGATTTCACTATGTGGGTCCAAAGTGAAAGTAGGCCAAAATTCATTTAAGAACTAAGCTCACAATGTAAAATGATGAACAATTTGCAAATTAATATGAAAAAATCAAAGCAAAAGCGAGCTCGACTTCCTTTTACCATGAAATAATATAAAATAATGGTTCAATTTTAATTTTTACATTTTCCGTTAACTGTCATTCGGTATTTTATACACTGCTTCCGTTCATTCTGGTTCCCAGGTCCCATTATGGTTCCCATAGAAGTGCCCGGGCTACCAGTCTACTCATCCATTTTTCAGTAAGAATTCCTCGGTTTTTATCATTATCTTGTAATTCGAAAAAGTTGCGATGTGTCTTTTCAGTACTTCGGACGAAAGTTTTTAAAACTATCACTTTTAGCAGGTACTCGCGTTACCATAAAGCTCGCTTCGAGCTTGCTATTACACTTCCAGGTCTATGTTTTCTACTTCTTCTATCCTCTTGTACTTCTACATCATACTGCTTTAAGATGGTTATGATCACTCTAAGCAGATATACATTGTATACATTTAAGAGACAGCTATAAGATACAAGGGAATCCGGGAACCAGTCCCTAGCTCTTGTTGAATAGACCCCTTGGTTCTTTTACATGCCCAGTGTATAGCACTGATACATGCGAGGATTACCTGGATTTCTTACTAGTACAGTGATTCAGATTGGATCGGCCCTTCGGTCAATGGCCGATAAAAGCTACAGATGACCGGAAAAAACAAATTCAGTACGTCAATCGGGCCGAGAAAAATTCAGTTTGTCAGACAATTTGACCGAAAAATTTCTGTAGCAAACGGTCAAAACTTCATTTTACAATTTAGCCTCGATTATAACAGATATTTTCGTCCCTATCTATGCGATTAAAAAGATAAAGTACGAAAATCGTTTATTTAAAATAATCCGAGTCATACAGGCGCTTATCGGTACCCGGCGCTTATTGATTTAGTGTAGTGCGGAACGCTTCGATGTTTATCGTTGTTGTATGAAAAATATGGCGGCGAAAAAACCTCTCTTTGATGCAAAACAACGATCTTTATTTAGTGTTGGTTTTAATAGTGAAAAATCATCAAACCAGCCGCCTATCAAAGAAAAAGGTAGTTCATCTGATTCTAAAGTACCACGTTCATTTCAAAATAAATGGCTTCAGGCCCACAAGTGGCTTAAGTTCGATACAGAAAAGCAGTTGATGTTTTGTACCCTTTGTATTAACGACGGACGCGACAACATATTTACACAAGGTTGTAATAATTTTAGAACAAGTACTTTTAGTGACCATGTTAAATCAAAAGATCACCAGAGATCTTTAGCGGCAAATGCTTGTAAAGATGACTTTAAAAGTGTGATGAACAAGCACTTCTCTGCCAAGGAAGAAGCGGTTCTACTTGCCTTAAAGACAGTTTATTACCTGGTTGAAGAAAATATACCGCTCAGTAAATTCAAATCACTCGTTGAGTTTCAGAAAAGTGTTGGTGTGAGTGGCTACAATCATCTGTCTGTATCTGACGGTATAAGCTATGAGTCGGACTATGCTAGTCATGAATTTTTGAAAGCTGTATCCGACACTGTGGAGACACATACTGTACAGAAACTACAGAAGTCCCCATTTGTTACACTTCTTTGTGACGAATCAACAGATCGTACTGTTACACACCGCCTAGTCATTTATTGCCAGGTTTTGGGGGAGGATATGTTTCCTGAAACATTATATTTATGCAACATTCGCCTAGATGAAGGAACAGGTGCAGCTATTTCTTCTGCACTATACAAGGAGTTGGAAAAAAGGGGAATTGGTCCTGAAAAGATAATGGGTCTTGGCACAGACGGAGCTAGTGCAATGACAGGTACTTTTTACAACTAAGCACAAAATTTTACTGATAAAAATGAGACCAATGTTAATACTCAATGCACAATAAATCAAAGTTAAATTTTTATGATGTGACACATGGTGGTATTGCTGTTATAAAAAAGTTGACTTTTCTTTGAAATGCAATGATTATTCCTAACACATAGTGACTTGTAATATTTAGCAATTCTACAAAATTTCAGGTAGAGACAGAGGAACTACAGGCATGATGCTGCGTCAAAACCCACATATCATGAATGTACACTGCATTGCCCACCGACTAGCGTTGTGTACAAGTCAGGCGTCTGATTCTGTGCCACCAATGAAAGCATATCAGGAAGTCATAACATGTAAGTAATAATTATAACTATCGATAAGCTCATTTTTTATGCAGTTTACTAAATTTTGATTAAATTCTTAGCATAAACCAACAAATAAAAAATTCTTTCAAACCAACAAATAAAAAATTCTGTCAAATTCAATGCTAAGATATTTTTATAATCTTGTTTGTTTCCCAAGTCTGATGTAAGCTTACTTCAATCAACAAAGTATTTAGTTTTGATTTTGTATATAGCACATGACATTTTAAGAAGAATAAGTTATTTAAGAATTGATTAATCATTTCAGCTATCTTTTACTACTTCAAATTCTCTGCTGCAAGAGTTGCAAAGTTACAGGCCATTCAGGATGTCTTGGACTCCCCCCGATTGAGATTTAAAGAGGTCCATGCTGTTCGGTGGATGTCGTTCTTCTCTGCACTTGAAGCAGTTTACAAGTAAACTATTTAAAAACTTTAAATTTAAACATATAACATGATCATCATCTTTGCCAATGTGCATAAACAGACTTCAATTTAAAACATATAACATGATGTTTTTTTCCAATATGCATTTTTATGTTTGCTATTGTGAATAAAATCTTTGATTGTTTAAAGCAATTTCAGTTATAGACAGACCAAGCCTATTTTAATATCAACTTATTCCTTGAAAATCCTAAAACACAAAGTTCATTTGCATAAAAGAACATAATTACAGCAATTTAAATGTATGTTTTTTTTTTAATTTCAGGGGCTTGGATCCATTGATTACTTATCTAGCTGCCACCCCAATGAGTGATGCCAAAGCACAAGGATTGAAAAAAAAGGTTGTCAAATTGTTTCTGTTGCAAACAGGTTATAAAATAAAATATACTTGTTTTCTAAATATTTTCAGCAGTTTTGAAGTCATTTTTTTACAACTGACAGAATAAAGCCATTGATCTTGTGGCTCATGCTATAAACAATATTCAAATTATTATTTATGAATTGACCTTATTGATTTAAATGCAAAAAAAACCATTAAATTAAAATGCTGAAAATAACCACATGTTCAGAGTTAGCTGTTTTGTTATACAAATTTTAGTTTGAATGTTCCTATTTTATTTTACATTTCAATGTATGTTATTTAATAGATGTTTGCTGCTGTTGGCTGTTATAGTTATTTTGGATGAAATCACATTGTTTTACAGTAAGTTTGTTACAACTTTATATCTTTTCACATATATGTTATTGTATTGCAACTGTGTGTTTTATTTTCTAGCTAAGATTTCAAAATTATTTTTAAATTCAATTTCATGTTAATTAAAACATTTAATTGATAATTTTCTGTATAAAAAATACTTTGTCTGAAAAAATATCTTGTTGATTTAATTGACCAACAACAATAATAATGAAACTTTAATCATTTCAGATTGCCACACTGAAGTTCATATCTATTACCTACATAATGATGGACATCATTCCAATTGTGACTCAGTTGAATCTTTTCTAATCCAAAAGGAAATTACAGATGTAGCATTAGTCAAGGTAAAATTCGCTTAAAAGTTACTTACAAAACTTGCTAATGCTTGAAGTATTGATTTATACTTGGTGAGCATAAAAATAATTCAGATTGCTTCATTCTTTAAAACCATGCAATAAAACTATTTAAGAATCAAACCTTTATTAATAGAAACATTATTATAAATAAATAATTATTAATAGAAACATTATTATAAATAAACATTATTTTTGTCAGGTGAAGATTGACCAGACATTGTCAGACCTACAGCAGTTGATAAGCACTCCAGGATGCCATGAGCAGAAGTTAGCTGAGGTCATTACAGACACTTGCTTCAAGGAGCACACTATCTCCCAGTGTCAAAAAAGTGACATAGCTAGTGCCAAGGAGAAATTTATCACTGCACTTGTTAATAATATTGAGAAAAGGTAATTCATTGCATTCCAAGACATTTTCCACACTAGTATAAAGTATCTAAAATGCAGATAGTATTTTTACATGTTATTATTTCATATGACATATAAAAACTATAATTGTTTATACATAACATAACATATAGGTATATTAAAAAATAGTATAATTCTGTTTTTCTTGTATAATTTCAGGTTTCCAGATACTGATCTTCTATCCTCATTTGGGGTACTCTCAATGAGGCCCATCACACTGCTGTCAGATGTTGAACTGAAAACCTGGGGTGATGAAAAAATAGACATTCTGGTCAATCATTTTGGAGAGGAGAAAAGTCACAAATGGAAGGTTGATGGGGTGCAGCACACTAAGACCAGCTCTCCAATCATAGATCCAGATGCAACAAAAATGAATGGAAACAGATTAAGATACTTGTTAAAGCAGAAATGTATCCCCGTGATGATCTCTTTAAACTGTGGCATCTTATAAATAAGTTTCATGGTGAACAGTTCCCTAACCTTTTGATATTGGCCAGTCTTGCCATCATATGTCCTGTAAACACTGCAGGCTGTGAGAGGGGGTTTTCTGTTCAAAATCAAACTCTTACAGCTTTGAGAAACAGGCTCAATCCTGACACTCAGGACCAAATCATGAGGATAAGGATAAATGGCAAGCCTAGGGAAGATTTCCCATTTGAAGATGCTTTAAAAGCATGGAAAGCAGCTGTACCTAGAAAATTGTTTAACTGACTGAAATAGAAATGAATGAAATATTTTCCAAACAAAAGGGATATTAATAAAGTAAACTTGAAAGTGTCAATAATGTTTTATTATTCATTTGACTGTTACAAAAAATGTCTTAAGTTTTTTTTGTACTTTAGGACAAATGACCTAAAAAAATATGCCCATTTAGGACATCTGTCCTAAGGAAAGTGTGTCCAATCTGAATCACTGTAGTACACCTCTAGGTAGGTGGAAAACACTGACAGTGTCTCTGAAAAATTCCAAGGTATAACCCAGGATCGAACCCGGGATGTCAGGAGTGATAATCAGTGGTTTAACCAACTGAGCTATTGCGCCACCTGTTTTAAGGACTATGTGTCATACAGTGTACTCATCTGACCCATGGCTATATTATGAACAAAGATAAAAACGATAACGATAACAATAAGAATAGTTACCTTGAATATGCTAAATATCTGAAGAAGTAATGCCATTATTCATGAAAATATTATACTGTTAAATTGGATTTGTTTAAATTACCAACACATAAAAAAACCCATGGGTATATTTATCCATATTCGATTCATAAAATAAAACAATAGTGGAAAATAACATTTGACCAATTGAATCAGTAACCCATGTTCACAATTTTGACAGTCCCTACATTTTCTAGTCTGACTGCAACTTTTACTTTTATATATACTTCATGTAATGTATAACTACTTGTGTATTTATTTTAAAGCTTCCAGTGGATGATGGGCCAGCAACAGTTTTACCACCAGTGTTTAACACGGACAGCAAGTCATCAGAATCAAACCCTGTACAGAAATTTCTTGCAGGAACAGATGCTGAAAATGGTGGGAAAATTGAAAACTCTCAACAGGTACTTTGAATTTAAAATTCAAATTTCCTATTTCATTATACATCCAGGGCTCTTATGACATGATCATCATGTCACGGTTCAGAGGGGAGAGTATGTGTAAGTGGCAGGAGAGCAAAATACGGTATTCCGAGGGTCCTGGGTTCGAGACCCGATTAGGCTGCACATTTTTCTCACCCTGTGACAATCATGAAATTTAATGTGGGGTGAAGATTGTCATCAGTTGAATCAATTGTAGATCACTATCCAAGGGCCAAAACTCTTGTTGAAACTTAATACATGTGTTTTAGATCGTAATTAGAGGTCATTTTCTAAGGTCTATAACTCTGACATGGATTTTTACTGAGTTATTGCACTTTGTGAATTTAGAAAATATTTGGTTTAAGTTTTGCTTGCAGCATTAATATTCGCTTGATTCATTTTTTTTAAATTACAATGCATGGTCACTTTCCAAGAAAGGTTACTTTTGAATGGATTTAAATGAAATGAGGCCATTTGTTACCCTAACAAGATTTTTTTTTCTCAGTAGCCAATACTCATATCTGCAGGGTATGTCATGTTTATTATATGTATTATTGTGAATTTTATCTATGTTAAGATTTATTTTTTATTCCAGTTTTTCTCGTGGTTTTCTGAAGTCGAAAATGAAATAGAGAAAGAGGAAGATCTGCCGTACAGGTATGTTGGTATTTTTGTAATACATTGTATTGTGATTGAAACTGAATTTTCTCACTTACCAGATAGAAAAATCAGTAAATGTTACTAAAAAAAGCGGTGTTGGAAAATCTTATCTCACATGGGCTTATCTCACACTCAACGTGCAGCACTTCTTAAAACGGTATTCCTACACATACGCGATTCACTCCTATTTTAACAAAAATGAAACATCAAAAGGTAAAATGTATTAAAATATGTGAGCTAATCTATTAAATTTTCCATGGGATCAAAATAGATTGATATTAACTTTCACACTGAGTCCTACTCTACCTAGGTCCGCTCTTTTCAATATCGGTATGTTACTAAAAATAGTACACTTTAAAATATCGCAAAATTCTTCGTAAAATCGGATATTATGACACTTTGCCTGAAAAACATCGATGTTTTCTGTTATAATAACGATGCTTCTTGATGACAAATCTCATTTTGATATATTTTAATTGAATATTCGTCCAAAATATCCACATAAGTAGAAAAATCTTTGCAAATGGTTAACGCTTTTTGTCAACCATTAAAGTATGGACTGAATTCCTTATAAACACTTATATTATGACACTTTCCGACTTTAATATTGATGTATTTTATCATGAAAACCTTGCTTTTTGATGAGGGATCTCATATTTGAATTTGTTTCATTGAATTTTTCACACATAGAATTTTTTGCGGATGTACATAATGCATAGAAAGTCAGGTGCCTAAGCCCCGCCTAGGTTCGTTGTAATGCGCATAGCAAGTAGTTTTACTGATATTTATATTTTGTTTCTTGTGTGTCCAGGTGAATGAGAAAAATAATCAATCATTGGGTTAGATAGAGGATAGGGAAATCACAACCCTCGGGCAATAAGTTCCATCGGGAACTCGCCAAGGCTGGTTCCCGATGGAACCGATCACCCTCGGGTTGGGATTTCCCTATCCTCTATCTTACCCAATGATAGATTCTATTATGCCCACAAAATTAAATGAACTAACAGTATTAGAATTTTGTAGGTGTCATATAGAGGAGCTAGAATCATTCCGTGCACAATGCGATGGTGTACTAGATGAAGTATCTTCCGGACTAGAGTATCTCATGAACCTACAGCAACAATATATCAATGTGTCTACAAAAACCAACGCTCTACATGAGGCTTGTGAACATCTCTTAGCAGAACAGGTTGGTGATATTGTATAAATTGATTCCTTAGATGTGATATTGTCCATACCTAGGATTTTAAAATATGTAAAGATTGTTTGCTGGATAAATTAACATTAAATACTGTATTTTTATGACAGTCTTCTAAGTATCTTATTTAAGTTAAATGTTTTCTTTTGAGAAATTTTGTGGCGGTGAATTTTTTCCCATTTTAGGAACGAGTTTTTGTGAAATCGATTTGTATTTGGAGTTGGTAGGGGATGGGGAATGTTGAAAAATGCAAAATTTTTATTTCTGAATAACTTACAGCTATGATTGAAAATGCAGAGCTTCTGTCATAATCCATGCATCAGGGTAGTCAATGTTGACTGTCAAATGTCAAGGTTACTTGAAGCGGTAATTAGAAAAACATTAAAACCAGCCATTAAGTCAGTGCATCAACCTGAGAACCAGATGCATTATTATGAGTTTGGCCTGCTATGCCCATTTCCTTGTTAAAAGGTCAAAGGTAACCTTTGCCTAAAATTACCTGTTTGTTAAGATGTGTTTATTATCCTGCTTTGAGAAAGAGGTGCGCTGCTTTTCAGACAGCTCTTGTTTAAGAAAGTTTTGAAATAAATGTTGAAAAAAAAACAACAACATAAAATATTTTAATACAGTGTATCTACAAATATAATCCATTTCTGTTTACAGACTCGCCTCATGAATACAGCAGAGAGTATCAGTAACAAGTTGTCCTATTTCAATGAGCTTGACAGTATTTCAAGTGTAAGTTCAGAAGTATATTCTATATTTTATATTCCATATTGTATATTCTTATTCCATTATTTTAATTGAAACTTTGATATTTTACTTTTATAGGCATGTACATTTTATAAGAACAAGTTTCTTTGGTGATCATGTAGCCATTTAAAGCTGCACATTATTTTTTATATTAACTTACTCCAAAATAACTTTTTCATTCTGAAGTCAGAAGAGTTTTGACATTAACCAAGTACAAATGTTCACGGCTTCACCATTCATTCTGAATTTAAAACAGTTTCAATTGTTGGACTCAATTTGAACGGCATCATCATTTTGAGTGACACACATCTTGTTTCAAAACAGATTTTTGATGATTACATATTGTGTTTTATAAATACATCTTTTTTATCTTTAACGTTTTACATTTAAAATGATCGTGATACATATTGTTTCTTTCAGAAATTGGGATCACCACAGCTTACAGTTACGAATGAATCATTTGTTCCGATGTTATCACGGCTTGATGAATGTATTCTGTACATTAAAAGCAATGTAAGATTTGTTTATATATCTACATACAGTAATTACCAAATTTAGATACATTTGCTTGTTTCACTTTGCAAAATTTGACCGTTTTGCACAGTTATATGTCAAAATAAAATAGATTTGTATTTTAGATATTGATAAAAACTATAAAAATGTATAATTTGGATATTCTTATGAAATATTTTTTGAAAGAAAAAAAATAATTTAGTATAAACTTTTTTATGATGAATAATAATATTTTGTTCCAGAACAATTGATTATCTGCTTTATAAATATATATATATAATATCTCACACTTGCCAACAACATTAATGTACATATATAATTCTATCATGGTTTGTTGTTAGGTGTAATACTAAAATACTATCAACATGATTACATGTATTTATTGTATAACAGACCTTCTATTATAGACCAGTTCTCTTTAATTTGATGTTTACTGGCTGTACAGTTTACATTTGTAAAAACATAATTTATATTCATATAAGATCAGTGCATAGAAATTAAATGAAACATAATGGTTATGTTTATTAATATGAGCCACGTCATCACAAAACCAACATAATGGGTTTGCGACCAGCATGGATCCAGACCAGCCTGCGCATCCACGCAGTCTGATCAGGATCCATGCTGTTCGCTATCATATTCTCTACTTGTTAAAGGGTTGGTAAGCAAACAGCATGGATGCGCTGACTAATCTGGATCCATACTGGTGGCAAACCCATTATGTTGGTTTTGTCGTGACGCGGCTCATATATATTTTACAGCCACAGTACAAGGAGTCTGATGTATTCTTGGCGAGGTTCAGACAGTGTCTATCTCGAGCGCTGAATTTAATGAAGACACATGTGATGAATATATTACAGGCAGCAACCCTTCATGTGAAAAATGCTAAGGTACTTGAAATCTAGATACCTCTTTTGTTTTACTGAAAAATGTATGAAGTGATCTTGAGAGTGGAGGTTATAGTTTTTAGTTTGACTATATGAAGAATAGGGAGAGCTATTGTACTCACTGAGGCATTGACGTCGACCTAGCAGTTAAGCAGTGAAGTTTTGCTCGCAACTTGGTATCTCAAAAACAACTGAAGGGAATGGGCTTAAACTTCACACAGGGATTTTGACAGAATTATGGCCCTTTTTGAACTCAGTAAATTTCTACATTACTAAGACTCTTGTTGTTGTCAAGCACTGAGAATAGTGGAGCATGCTGTCTTTCAAATAGCTCTTGTTTATCTGAATGAATTGACTCACAAAGCAAGTGATGGTGGAATTTCCTAAGAAAAAAGCTGTTCTGTTGGACCAAATTACCATGACAATGTTGATATACAACCCATACTTACATAGCATTGTGGTTATTATCCTTAAGTACTGTACACTTCTATAAACAGCTCATTGCTTTTATTTTCTTGTCAGTCAGGAAGCTATCTAGATAGCTTATCATATGCCTGACACTTGGTCTTATCAGGTGCCTGTTCATGGCTGAAATTATGTAACTAAGGGCAGCAGATATGCTGTTGAATAAAAAGAGTAAGTTAACACTTTAACATTTTAACTTGAAAACAGTGAGCACTCACATGAATTATGCTGATGTTGTGTATATTAGAAACTGTCATATAATGTTTTATTGTATATAGGAGACAGGGGCAGAGAAGAATAATGCTTTCACATTGTTCTACGGGAAGTTTCGGGCAAATGCTCCACGAGTGAAATCTCTGATGGAACAGCTGGAAATGAGAACTGATAAGAGTCCTGAGTATGTATATAAAAACATGGTAACATTATTACATATGTTAAAAGATAATGGTATATATAGAGGGTATATTTACTGCTAAATTTATTGGACAAGTTGACTTAAATCATATTAAGCAACCCTCTGGCAATAATATTTGTTAAGTCTGCATGAATGCTGTGTTTGTTAATAACGAAAATGACATCACATCAAAGTGTTATTACACTAGTATAATATTGATTTGTTATGTGGCTTTATAACACTCGATTTTTAGGGCAAAAACCAAGAATATCCTTTGAAAATATAATTTTAGAAGAAAAAAAAACAGTGAAATAACTCTGATATTGACCTGTTATTTGTAACAAAAAGTTACTTCTTAGCCAATCAGAGAAAGGCATTTCAAAACTCTTTATATATATTAAAATTATAATAATATATGTTTAATTTCAGATATGAGCAGATTTTGAGTGACTGTCACCAGTGTTATTTCTCACAGAGAGAAACATTACTTGGTCCTAGTATTAACTCTACCATCAATGATCTAGCTACAAAACATGTTCGTGACCACTGCTCTTTGGTAGGTTTGTCACTTAACACGCATTATTATTATCATCATTGTAAGCCCTTGACTCTTCAGTCCATTAACACATTATTATTATATGCTCGAAAGAATTTCGGACATATTATGTTATACCCCCTGGCGTCCGTCCGTCCGTCTGTCTGTCTGTTAGCAATTTGGTTTCCGGAGCATAAATTAAGTTCCATTTGGCCCACAACATTTAAACTTCATAGGATGATTGTCCATATTGGGTAGAAGACCCCTATTGATTTTGGGGTCATAAGGTCAAAGGTCAAGGTCACTATGACCTTAAAAGTGAAAACAGTTTCCTGAGCATAACTTAAGTTCCATTTGGCCTACAGTGTTCAATCTTCATAGGATGATTGTCCATATTGGATAGAAGACCCCTATTGATTTTGGGGTCACAAAGTCAAAGGTCAAGGTCACTTTGACCTTAAAACTGAAAAGAGTTTCTGGAGCATAACTTAAGTTCCATTTGGCCCACAGTGTTCAAACTTCATAGGATGATTGTCCATATTGGGTAGAAGACCCCTATTGATTTTGGGGTAACAAGGTCAAAGGTCAAGGTCACTATGACCTTAAAACTGAAAACAGTTTCCGGAGCATAACTTAAGTTCCATTTGGCCTACAGTGTTCAAACTTCATAGGATGATTGTCCATATTGGATAGAAGACACCTATTGATTTTGGGGTCACAAGGTCAAAGCCACTATTACCTTAGAACTAAAAACAGTTTCCGGAGCATAACGTAAGTTCCATTTAGCCCACAGTGTTCAAACTTCATAGGATGATTGTTCATATTGGGTAGAAGACCCATATTGATTTTGGGGTAACAAGGTCAAGGCCACTATTAACTTAAAACTAAAAACAGTTTCCGGAGCATAACTTAAGTTCTATTTGGCCCACAGTGTTCAAACTTCATAGGATGATTGTCCATATTGGGTAGAAGACCCCTATTGATTTTTGGGTCACTATGTCACTATTACTTAGAAATTGAAAACAGTTTCTGGAGCATAACTTAAGTTCCATTTAGCCCACAATATTCAAACTTCATAGGATGATTGTCCATATTGGGTAGAAGACCCTATTGATTTTGGGGTCACAAGGTCAAGGTCACTATTACCTTAAAACTGAAAACAGTTTTCGGAACATAACTTAAGTATCATTTGGCCTACTGTGTTTAAACTTCATAATATGATTGTCCATATTGGGTAGAAGACCCCTAATGATTTTTGGGTCACAAGGTCAAAGGTCAAGGTCACTATTACCTTAGAATTGAAAACAGTTTCTGGGGCATAACTTAAGTTCCATTTGGACCACAATATTGAAACTTCAAAGGAGGATTGTTAATTGAAGGAGGTAATACTTTATTTAATTCTCATGTCTTACAAATGCTTCATCTTTACTATAAAAAAAAAAATCACTTTCGGGCATATAATGCTCCGCCTAGTGGTGCTCTTGTTATCATAATTAGTAGCCCTTGACTCTTCAGTCCGTTAAATCTTTGTTAGAAGACTGGTAGAGGATTTGGTCCCTATAATACATGTGTTTTTGTAAAAATAAATATGATATTTTTTGTGTTGATTATGTTTTCTCAGCATGTGTACATGGACTTCACACTTAACCTTTGAGCATCTGTTAGTGGTGTCTGTTGGGAAGTGGTTAAGATCTTTGAATAAAAACCACTTGCCCGGCACTGGTTTGGGTTCAGATCTTGCAAGGGACTGCTTGGATTCTATATGAAAAGGCTATAGCTTACAGAACATCGGTGGTGCTGCTCAGTATCCTGGTGTTACCGGAAATAAAGCAAGAAAAGGGAATCAGAAGTCTTCCTTGTTTATTTTCACACAGCCTGTAGAACATGTTTGATGCAAGAAATGGCTTTAATTTTCTTTCAGTAGAGATCAATCTTAAATAATGTAAAAATGTGTATACAGGCATTATAGGGAAAGTCTTATGCTGGTAATTCATCTGTTATTAATGTAATAGGGGTGATGCTGAAATTTTTGATAAAAAAAAGTTTGTTTAATTTCTGAAACTATTAATTGCAGATTATATATAAGAGAAGACATGTTTTATTTCAGATGAGAAGTGGTTGTGCATTTATGGTTCATGTTTGTGAGGATGAGTACCAGTTATATCTCAACTTCTTCTCCAAGCCTACCATCATGCTTGAGTGAGTATGCAGCATCTATATCAGTATATATAACTTGTATTATCATAATTTCTTCTTTAACTCTTACCCTCTTGGAACTGAAAGTGTTTAAAGTTTGCCATCAATATAGAGCTTGGCCTGCTTGTTCATCCGTACATAGAATCTGATCAGGTGACTTTATAATGTAAGCAGGGTAACTTCAAATTTGCATCTTGGTACTTTTAAAATTGATAATGGATAGTTTCAAAAAAAAGAAATTTAGCATGGTTAAAGTTAAAACTAGCTTCATGTTTTTGAGGGTGGTGGTGTTCCTATGTGTGCTCTCACTTTTGTGTCACCTTCTCCATGTCAACGCTTGTGTCTGGGTAAGTTGTATTTCCTGGTACACTATGTGACCAATAAGGTTAAAAAAGAAAAATTAAAAAAAAAGATTAGATAACAAATTTATATATTTAGGGAATATTTTCCTTCTGGATGGCAGAAATTATAGGTAAAGTAGCACTGACAACTTGCCAACTTTACTTTATGATGGAGTTATCTGATGCCCCTCTTAGAAGATACCAACCTCCATAAACTAGCTGGATAGCTTCATTATATGAGAGAATCTGAAGTCTTGTGCAGGATTAAACACACACAGCTGTGAGGGGCAAGTGGTTTGAAATGGCGATTTTTTCACTTGGTTCCATTAAGCTAATAAAAGTATATGAACTTACTGCATAAATGGAAGAACATGAAGTGTGATTTTGAAATATGAACATATATTGATTTGCAGACGAAAAGAAGAAAATTTTTGTTTTTGTATTTTGTCAGTGAGATGTTGGAGAGGTTATGTAGCGCCCTCTATGACGTGTTCCGGCCCCTTATTATACATATAAATCACCTGGAGACACTAGCCGAGCTGTGCAGTATACTAAAATTAGAGATGATTGAAGAGCATGTTGAGCAGAATCGTAAGTGAAATTTACATATTTTATAACTCTGCGTTACTTTAAGAAGAGTTTAGTTAAGAAGTTGTTTCCCTTTGACTTAAGTTATCCATAAGTGTTCATCTTTTGTCTTTGGTTATCCATAAGTTGTCTCCCTTTGATATCTGCAATTATTTTCCGATTGACATTTGTTTTCTTCAAAAGCTAATTTTGACACTGTCTCTGTTGAAAAAATACATTGTGCTTTCTTTATCTTATGCTTGCATGCATTTTCTGAAATATACGCCAATGTTACGTACAAGTGACCGAGTCTTTCTCTCATCAAACAATGCAGATTTTTTTAAGTGATAAAATACAATTTTTATTTTAGATTAAAACATATGTCAAAAAAATTTAAAAACATGCTTTGAGTATTTTAGTAGAGGCTTATTTTCTATGTGACTAACTTCCAATTTAATTTTGACTATACTCATCAAGACAGGCATATTATTAAAATGTCAAGATCTAATTTCATTGACTGATATGTATATTTTACAGCACAAGAGTTGCGGGCCTTTGAGAATGTGATAAAGCAGTTATTGATGGACGTACAAGAAAGATTGGTATATAGAACATATATATACATACGGACAGACATTCTCCAATATTCGGCAGCTCAAGGTGACTTGGCGTACCCAGAAAAACTTGAAATGATGGAGGTTAGATTGATCAGGATTTATTTTATACTTACTAACAATTTGGAATCTTTCATGTGTGGAAGCTATCCAGCTAGCTTATGGAACGCCAATGGTTCTACTCAGGTGCCTGTTCGTGCTTGAAATGATTTAAAGCTGGAACATCGCCATATGACCTATACTGTGTCAGTGTGACATAAAACCCAAATTAAACAAACAAACAAATGCTTACTTACAATATACAAGATTACATCAGTGGGATAAATCCAATATCACTCACTGTTTATCAATCAGTGATATAACACAGTGACTTTCATCAATAAGTTATAGTAAAAATAAATTTAAACTATTCAAGATACTGACTTAATCAAGTTGTAAACTAAAGTATATCTTATGTTCCTGAAAATCATTTGCATAAAAATTTTACTGGTATAGATAAGGTTCAACTTTTAAAGATATTTTAGACAAGATATTCTAGATATTGAAACGGCAAAAATAAGCAGATTGATAAATAAAGTACAATTTATTTATATAATACAGGTAGCTTGGTACTCTATTTTAATTTATTTGATAGCCAAGCCATTTGTTAAAGCCATTTAAAAGTCTTTGTTTTTTCCATTTCCGTGTCAATTAAGCAATACATGTATAAAGTGGCATTTCCAATTCACAAGTGATTTTTTACTTTTTATGCCCCCACAATGTGGGAGCATATAGCGTTGCACTTGTCCGTCCGTCCGTCAGTCAGTCCGAGCCAACATTTGATTATTATGAGCTTCATTCCGTAGTTAAATAAAGAACATAAACTCATAAAATTTAAAATTAAGAGTTTTTTTTGTTTTTATGAGCTTATTTTGCTTATGGACGTTGGTCCAGGTGGTGTTTATGAGCTCATTTGCCTCATAAACATCAAATTTTGGTATGTACGTCTGTCCGTCCGTCCGTACGTCCCGAAATCTTGTGAACGCAACTCCTCTTAAACCGGATGGCAGATTTTGCTTAAACTTACAGGGATGAACAACCTTAATGTGTAGATGGTAGTAAAGGAAGGAATTTTCGCTGCGACCAAATTTAACAGAATTATGGCCCTTTGTTGATTTTTAGCTCGACTATACGAAGTATATGGAGAGCTGTCCTACTCGCCCCGGCGTCGGCGTCGGCGTCCGCGTCCGCGTCCAGATTTTAGATTAAAGTTTTGGTGCAGTAAAATATTTTTCACTATAACTTTGTCATTTCTTAAGGTATCAACTTCAAACTTCAAATATATGTTCCTTATCATCAACCACATCTTAAGTGACAAGGTTCATAACTCTAGCACCAATATTTTCAGATTTATCTCCCCTTGAACTTAGAATTTTCCTTAAAAAATACTATTTTTTACTGAAACTTCTTTATTTCTTAAGGGATCAACCTCATACTTCAAATATATGTACCTTATCATCATCCTCATCTTATGTGACAAGGTTCATAACTCTAGCACCAATATTTTCAGATTTATCTTCCCTTGAACTTAGAATTTTCCTCAAAAAATACTATTTCTTACTGTTTCTTCTTTATTTCTTAAGGGATCAACCTCATACTTCAAATATATTTACATTATCATCATCCCCATCTTATGTGACAAGGTTCATAACTCTAGCACCAATATTTTTAGATTTATCTCCCTTTGAACTTAGAATTTTCCATACAAAATATTATTTTTTACTGTAACTTATTTATTTCTAAAGGGAAATATACTTCAAATATATTTACGTTATCATCATCCACATCTTATGTGACAAGGTTCATAACTCTAGCACCAATATTGCAAGAATTATCTCCCCATAAACTTAGATTTATTTACTAGAAAAATGTTATTTTTATTTTAACTTTTTTATTTTTAAAGGTATCTACCTCAAACTTCAAATACTTATTCCTTATAATCATTTACATTTTATGTGACAATGTTCATAACTCTTGAAGCAATATTTACAGATTTATCTCTCTTTGAACTTAGGATTTTCTTTAAGAAATATAATAACTTCTTTATTTTTTAAGATATCTACTTCAAACTTCAAATATATATTTCTTATCATTACACAAATGTTGTGTGGCAAGGTCCATAACTCTTGCATGACTATTTCTAGAATTATTCCCCTTGATCTTGGAATTGATGTTAACAAATGTTATATTTTTACTAATATAACTTAATACTTAATTATACATAATTGATTTTTCTTTCATAGTTTTGTCCTCCTTACTGCGTCCAGCATTTTATTAGTCGAGCTTCGCTGTCTCCTGTGACAGCTCTTGTTTCACTATATACTATGTAGAAATTTTGTGAACGTAACTCCTCTTAAACCGGATAGCAGATTTTGCTTAAACTTACAGGGATGAACAACATTAATGTGTAAATGGCAGTAAAGGAAGGAATTTTTGCTGCGACCAAATTTAACAGAATTATGGCCCTTTGTTGATTTTTTCACTATATACTATGTAGAAATTTTGTGAATGCAACTCCTCTTAAACCAGATGGCAGATTTTGCTTAAACTTACAGGGATTAACAACCTTAATGTGTAGGTGGTAGTAAAGGAAGGAATTTTTGCTGTGACCAAATTTAACAGAATTATGGCCCTTTGTTGATTTTTTCACTATATACTATGTGGAAATTTTGTGAACGCAACTCCTATTAAACCGGATGGCAGATTTTGCTTAAACTTCCAGGGATTAACAACCTTAATGTGTAGATGGTAGTAAAGGAAGGAATTTTTGCTGCGACCAAATTTAACAGAATTATGGCCCTTTGTTGATTTTTAGTTTTCAACTTGTGGCACATGTATGATGTAGTCTAAAAAATGTTTGACCTAGAGTCATAAGATTGACAGAACAGTGGCGTGTGGGGGCATCCGTGTCCTATGGACACATTTATAGTTTTTGTTTATTTCTAATACAGTGATATTTTCAAATATAAAATTGTTCTGTTTTCCAGAGTATTGCAGAAGGTATAAAGAAAGGTCAGATAAAAGGTCATTCTCGTACTCCCTCCAATGCCTCAAGCACAAGTGCCGAGGTTGCTAGGTTAACAGGTGCCGTAGATCCTGACTCTGTATCACTGGAGAACGTACCTCTACAAGAAGATCCAGCGACCGGCTGGCAGGATGTCTCGGCTGGACCAGGTAAACTATCTGTGCTTTATTCAATTACTTTTCTTAATCCGGCATGTGTTTAGAATTTTTTGGTTATCCCTAAGTATACACCAAAGTATCTATTCTTGCCTTCTTATCTAAAATAAAGTTTGAGGGATCCTGATTGTTTTTCCTTTACTTTGGAAGTAAGTCCGTCCTTATATTACCTTTACTATATTGATTATTATGAATTTGTCCAAAAAATATAGTTGATTAGTCATTCATTATAATAATAATAATAATAATTATAATAATAGTAACAATAATAATAATAACAATAAGAAAACTGTCGTTTTTAAGATGTTTTCTGTTACGATCTAAAAGCAAGTTTTATTTATTTTTTTCATCTTTTTTTGTACACAAGGATTTACCCAAACATTAAATTTAGTAAAAGTGATCCCAAATTTATACTTTTCAGGTGGTAACTTGACAACGTCGATGCCGATGTCGCCAGCAGATTTACACGGGATGTGGTATCCCACAGTACGACGTACTCTCGTCACATTGTCTAAACTGTACCGCTGTATTGATGTAAGTAACGTTAGTGATGATGATGATACATGTGCACTTGAGATGCATAGAAAACTGTTGCTCCATTTACCTAAAATAGATTCAAATGCCTGTATAACTAAAGTGACATTTTTGCACATATTTTCATTGACAAGTTGAGCTGAAGTAACTATATATTTACAAAAGATTGACTGCTTTAATGGTGATTGACCAATGGCTGATATCGAAAAATGTTAAATAATATAAAAAAAAGAACTGCCCCTCTCTATTAAATAATTGAATGTTACAGGTAAAATCCGATAGATATTTATAGACCTTTCCTTGGGCCACATAAGTTATTTATCGTTTAGAAGTAAATTATAAAATTGAAAGGAATTCTGGCAATTTGAAAACTTATTTTGACTTTCACCTGTTCTCTCAGTACATAACCCTTGGATTGGGCATAATGTCACTTTAATTATCTTAAAATTAGATATTTCTTTAATGAAATCGATTTCAGTACAGTTGAATTTAAGAAGGGAAAGATATGTGAGTAAAGTGAACAAAATTATCTTTAAGGATACTTAGTGAAAAAATAAATGTAGACAGAGAAAGGGGAAACACATTGTTTTGTCAAATTATTTTATGGTTATTTAACTGCATGCCTTACAAAAATGTTGTAAGACTTCTTTACTGCATTAAAAAAAATCTGTTTATGGTCATGATGAAGAAAACAAAGTTTGTCTGATAATTTGAATCTCATTAACATTTTGTTTTGAAGTAATAATATAAAGTAAAAACCATATGTCCTCTTACATTGACAAATTTATATGTTTATTTATTTTTGCTTGTTTCTGTTTTTTTTCCACTAGAAAACAACGTTCCAGGGTTTATCACAGGAGGCTCTCCAGTCATGTATACAATCTCTAATCAATGCAAAAGAAGGAATCACAAAGAGGAAGGTATGACCTTAATAAATTAGTAAAACAATATGTTATGATTGAACCTGCTGATAGTTTGTGTAAGAAAAAAAAAGCAACTTTATTTAACAAAATTTTTAAAGAAGTGTTTGGGATATTTTATGGGAAGAAAACTTTGATCAATGAAGTTTCTTTACAAAAGAAAATGTAAAAAAAGACATGTAATGTAACCTCTTTTATTTCAATTTTGTGGCCTAGCTTTTCGGTTTTTGGACATGGTTTTTGATTTTGTCATGAAGAAAATATATTTTAATGTTTTGTAATACATGTTTTGCTATTTCTTCACAGGCAATATTGGATGGGCAGCTGTTCATGATAAAACATTTACTGATATTAAGGGAGCAGATCGCGCCATTCCAGGCCGATTTTTCTATAAGGGAGACTTCTCTTGATTTCAGCAAGTTTAAAGGTATGTTGTAACATTGACATTATAGTCAAAAATAAAATCTGATGTGTTTTACTTTTCTTTCAATCCTAATTGCTTACTGAGCCTTTTTATAGTTTGAACTGTGAACTTCATGCTCCCTGAAAGTTTACGGTGGAGCATATAGATAAAGTTGCTGGCTTAAACTTCTACTTGTCCTTGTATCACACTTACTATTTTTATCATAGATCCTTCAATTATTTATTGATAAATTAGATATGAATGGGGGTTGTTTGGAAATGGAAAATCATTAATGGAAATGGAAAAACAAAAAGTGAATTTTGTACTTTCCATAAATTTCTACCATTGAATTGGGTTACAAGTAGGTTAAGGATGTAGAAACTGATACTAAAAATAGATTTTCCAACTTCCATAGAACATAGAAACTGATACTAAAAATAGATTTTCCAACTTCCATAGAACATAGAAACTGATGCTTAAAATAGATTTTCCTACTTTCATTCATGTTTGTAACTTTGTCAATGCAACATCAGTGAGAATCCTTCGATTTTCTTTCTCTTTCTGTAGTAACTATAACAATGTCATTATCCACACCACTATATTTTTCTCTGTATGTGTGTAGAAAATCATGCTTAACACCTTCAAAAACACGTGTTTGAAATACTTTGCTTTTTTGTTGCTGACTTCAATTCACCAGTGTGATATTCCTATATTGTTAAGCTTATTCTATCTGGTCATTTTCATTATCATAGTATGTTATACTACCATTGACAACACTGGAATCAAGGAAAAATAGTTGACGAAAGTGAAATGTATATATACACAATATAATATGACATGAACAGTTGTTATGTTACATTCTTTCATATATTTCTAAGCTGAGAATGCCTAGCATTGCAAATGTTTTGTGTATTTTTATCTGAATATGGGATGGGTGTGGGAAATTTTTCTTTTTGAATTTGGAATGCTCTCTCCTGCGAGCTTTTTGCAGAAAAAATGCTTGACTGTATACAAACAGAATAATATTCAGTATACAACACTCTATGGTTTGAAAAAATATTTGATTGTAATTTATTGGAAACATTTTGTTGGAAACAAAACTGTTCTGTTGCTTAAAAGGTTGGTGGTTCTACTATGATGTCAACTTGTACAATAATGTACAGAAGAGAAGAATGGAAGTGTTTCCATCATTAATGAATCTGGAAAGTAGCCAGATGACCTTTAGGGTGTTATTGTCATTTGATAGTTGTAATAATTTTACTATTTAACCTCTAAAGAATGGCCCCCTTGTTGAGCAGTAACCTTTCTTTAAAATAGGAATAATGGTATAAATCAGTTCTTCCAAAAGTATGGTGTTGCTCTGCAAATTAAGTAAAAAATAATAAATAAAAAAACACCCAAAAATAAAGAATGTTTTATATAATTTAAGTTATAAGCCCATTTATAATCATGTATATACCTATTTTCTTCACTAGAGCTAAAGCTTCACAATTTTGTTGGTATGTTAGTTTTTTTTTTATCATAGTTTATGTTTTATTACGTTGGTAGTAGGTGGTAGCAGGAATGTGTAGACTATTATAATTACAAATTATGAATCTTGTCAGCCTTGCTTCTATATGTTTGTGTTGTCCCGTGTTGTTATAGTTTAACTGTGTAAAAAAATGTTGTCTCTGTATAAGGTACAGGGCATACAAGTTGTATAAACTATATGTCTAGTATTGAATGATGTCTCTCTTTCCAGTATTCTTGTACAGAATATCCCTTTAGTGCCATTTTAAATGTTAGTAGTTTGACTATTCAAATAAAAGGGAAAGCTATTGTTATGGCCCCAGCGTCAGCGTCACATTTTGGTTAAGTTTTTGCATGCAAGTTGGTATTTCCAAAACTACATGAAGGAATAGGTTGAAACTTCACTCACTTATTTGAGAACATAATAGGAGGTCACTGTCCAAGGCCCATGACTCGAACATCGATCTTGATCGATCTTGACAGAATTATGACCCTTTTTGAACTTAGAAAATTCTACACTATCCATACACTTGTTTTACTGACAAGCATTAAGAATAATTGAGCATGGTGTCCTGCCGACAGCTCTTGAGTTTATTATTTTTTAATTCATTCATGTGAGGAAGCTATCTGTGGTACTACTCAGAAGCCCATTCAGGTGCATGGAGGGGCACCTGAGGTCATCCCACACCAATAAAGCTGGAAAGTTGCCATATGACCTTTACTATGTTTGGTGCAACAAAAACCCAAGTAAAAAAAAAATGTTTTTATTTGTTTATGAATATAGTGAAACAGCATCACTGTCAGTTTAAAGTAATTTTAAAAAGAAATAAATAAAAGAGAGAAATAAAAGATAATTATCAAAGTTATCCATAAATTATTGGGGGACAAATGTGTCACAAATCTTTACTTCAACCACAAACTGTTTTCTTTATATTATTATTAAAAAACAACTTATGTGCACTTTTTTACCTCTGTTAAAAGTTTGATATTGGTTGAATCATATCAAATACCTTTACATAATTACACTCTTGCTATCATGGTCAATATTTCTGGGCTCAATTTTTGTTTTTATTATTTTGAATTCTTTCGTGTGAGGAAGCTATCCAGCTAGCTTACCAAATGTCAGGGGTTCTACTCATACCTAAAATAATGCATGGAGGGGCACCTGAAGTCATCCCCCACCAATAAAGCTGGAAAGTTGTCATATGACCTTTACTGTGTTGGTGCAGCGTGAAACCCAAGCAAAAAAAAAGTTTTTATTTGTTTATGAATATTTACAAAACTTTTATATATAAACCACAGAGAAATAGATTTTCATTTCACCTATCGTACACCAGTATTTGATATCTACATTAAGCACATTTTCCTAAACACATGTAATTCTCTTTTCTTTTCCTTAACCCCTTTCAGAGATGTATTATTATATATTGTATCATAATAATGTCAATATATACTGTCATAGTTTCCTTATTTATCTTTTTTTATGAAAGTGCTTGTCAAAGAATACTTCTAAACTTATAGTTAAACCTCCTTTTGTACGAAATAATACACTAGATTTGTAATAGAATGGTTTATAAATGAATGGATCACCTGTAATGGAATGTAATGATTGATGTATAATATGTTATTATATTACAACACTTTGATCTTTGTTGTTTTTATATATCACAGCATGGTTTTTGTACACCATTTGTTGTTGTCAGTGCATGATAAGTAGTTATTCACACACTAGGGTATTTTATATTCTATGTATTTGCTTGCTTTTGTTGAAGATAGTTAAGATGTTTATACCCCCAATTGTTAAGCTGAATGATGTGGGAATTTGGTGTCAAATCTTGGAATAGTTGTCTCAAATTCTTTTCACAAATATTTGTTTCAGTGATAATCTGTTGAATTGGTCTCATCGTGGAGCATCGTGGATGAGTGGGTTAAGGTCTTTGACTTCAAACCACTTGCCTATCACCTCTGTAGGTTCTAGCATCTCAGGATTCTTCATATGAGAAAGCTATCAAGCTATCTTACGGAACATTTAAAAAAAGGCCGAAAACATTGAGTTCGCTATTACACTCCATTAGGTGAATTCCCCAGAGCTATGTACAGAAAGTACCGGAAAACGGCATTTAGCTAGGTTTTCGAATTCGTGAATTGGTGGTTCTACTCAGATGCCTGTTTGCGACAGAAATAATGTACAGAGGGGCACCTGAAGTCTTCCTCCATCAGAAAAGCTAAAGTTGCCATATGACCTATACTGCTTTGGTGCAATGTTAAATCTAAAGAGAGAAAAATTGGTCAAATAATCATGTAAACAGTTGAGAATTTCGTGGTTTTATTTATCTATTCATGTTTTGTGGAGAACAGAAAACAATAAACTGACATGTCACTTCTGGTACTCACTTTCATTTCAATTTTACATGTTTGAATACCTCACTTAAAAGTATTAAAATGTATAAAATTTGGTGTTAAGAGACCACCTGTTAACAAAGCCCAGTCTTAGATTTGTTGTAGTAACCAGGTGTAACTAAAAATTGGTTTGCATAAATATTCATTTTCATTAAATGATTATGAACTGTACCTTTTAGCTACCAGAGTTGTAATTATAACCTGAGGGTCTTGGGTTCATGCCCTTCTGGGGTCATGACCTTACAGAATATTTCATCATTATATGTATTTGTCTGGGACATTTTTAAGAATTCTAGAAATACACAATAGAAGATAAATGTTTATTTGTCATTTGATGATTAAAGAATACTTGCATATAAAACCTACAATTGAATATGGAAGTACTTCTTTACCCAACCTAAAACAAAAACGATAAAAATGCCAAAGAAAAGGAAAAAAATAAGTCAGTTATTCAGATTTCAACCTTCATATCCCAGAGACTTGTGCATAATTGTCTTGTAGGCACTATGTGTGTGACAGGCTTACTATCTTATTGGCAGTGAAATGTCATTTAATAATTATAAAATTATATGCATTTCTTATCAATTATTAGGGCTGTTAAATATAGTGGAAATATATTATTTAAAAAAATGATGCTCTGTTATGAATATCAGCTGTAGAGTAGGTTTTAATTTACTTTTAGTGTAATTCCAGTCTTTTATTTTGTTTCATTACTATTGATTTATAAGCAAAACTTGTATATTGCTATGTATCATAAACATGTACATATATAATAATGCAAATTATATCATCTCATTTAAATTAATACCATCTCATTACATTGTATTAATAATTTATTGTCCTAATATTTACATTATTGTGTCTTGCCTTTTAGAAATGATACTTATAAAACTTACTTTTCTCATATATTTTGTTGTATGTTTTTAGATGCTGCCTACGGTCTGCTGCATAAGAGATCTCAGATTTTTAGTTTCAGTTCTACCAATTCACTTCTACAGTTTATAGCTGAGGTAAGCCTTTTTTATCTCCATTTTTATTTAGAGAATAGATAGCCTCCCTTTCATCCTGGTCTTGGTTCAAGCCCTACTCAGATTACGACCTTGTTTCAACATTACACATTAAGTGCATCGTACTCTAAGAGTTCTATTTGACCTGCAGCTATTAGTATTACAAGAATTTATATCACCAACAAATCTGTATAAAACAGTCAAATTGTTTTGAATATGCCTAGATCAACATTGAACCTAAAATATGCTCTTTTTAGATCCAAGCCTTTTAATACTTTCTGTTACAATTCAAAAACATTTTAATTGTTTATAAGATAATGCTTGGCATTTCGTTCTAGAATAGTAATTTATGTAGATATATAATCTGGTCTATTTCAGGGTACCCCACAGGTGATGGAGAATTTTGTCGACTCTAAGAGAGATGTTGATGGTCAGTTGAAGAGAACATGTGAGGAATTTATTCACTCAGTCTCTGATATGATGACAGAACCTCTCAAATCATTCCTCTCCAGGGTAACTTTACAGTGCTTCCATTTTTAGCTCACCTGTCACAAAGTGACAGGGTGAGCTTTTGTGATCGCTTTTCGTCCGGCGTCCGTCCGTCCGTCGTCCGTCCGTCCGTAAACTTTTACTTTAAATGACATCTCCTCATAAACCACTGAGCCAATTTCATCCAAACTTCACAGGAATGTTCCTTTGGTGGTCACCTTTAAAAATTGTTCAAAGAATTTAATTCCATGCAAAACTCTGGTTGCCATGGCAACCGAAAGAAAAAACTTTAAATATCTTCTTTTAAAAAATCATAAGAGCTAGAGCTTAGATATTTGGCATGAAACATCTTCTAGTGAGTGTCTACCAAGTTTGTTCAAATAAAAGCCCTGGGGTCAAAATTGGCCCCGCCCCGGGGGGTCATTGATTTTCCCTATATGCATATAGTAAAAACTTAAAAAATCTTCTTTTAAAGAACCCAAAGAGCTAGAGCTAAGTTATTTAGCATGAAACATGTTCTAATGGGTGTCTACCAAGTTTGTTCAAATAAAAGCCCTGGGGTGAAAATTGGCCCTGCCCCGGGGGGTCATTGATTTTCCCTATATGCATATAGTAAAAACTTAAAAAATCTTCTTTTAAAGAACTCAAAGAGCTACCTGTCACAAAGTGACAGGGTGAGCTTTTGTGATCGCTTTTCGTCCGGCGTCCGTCCGGCGTCCGTCCGTCGTCCGTCCGTCGTCCGTCCGTCCGTCCGTAAACTTTTACTTTAAATGACATCTCCTCATAAACCACTGAGCCAATTTCATCCAAACTTCACAGGAATGTTCCTTTGGTGGTCACCTTTAAAAATTGTTCAAAGAATTTAATTCCATGCAAAACTCTGGTTGCCATGGCAACCGAAAGAAAAAACTTTAAATATCTTCTTTTAAAAAACCATAAGAGCTAGAGCTTAGATATTTGGCATGAAACATCTTCTAGTGAGTGTCTACCAAGTTTGTTCAAATAAAAGCCCTGGGGTCAAAATTGGCCCCGCCCCGGGGGGTCATTGATTTTCCCTATATGCATATAGTAAAAACTTAAAAAATCTTCTTTTAAAGAACCCAAAGAGCTAGAGCTAAGTTATTTAGCATGAAACATGTTCTAATGGGTGTCTACCAAGTTTGTTCAAATAAAAGCCCTGGGGTGAAAATTGGCCCCGCCCCGGGGGTCATTGATTTTCCCTATATGCATATAGTAAAAAACTTAAAAAATCTTCTTTTAAAGAACTCAAAGAGCTAGAGCTTAGATATTTGGCATGAAACATCTTCTAGTGAGTGTCTACCAAGTTTGTTCAAATAAAAGCCCTGGGGTCAAAATTGGCCCGCGCCCGGGGGGTCATTGATTTTCCCTATATGCATATAGTAAAAACTTAAAAAATCTTCTTTTAAAGAACCCAAAGAGCTAGAGCTAAGATATTTAGCATGAAACATGTTCTAATGGGTGTCTACCAAGTTTGTTCAAATAAAAGCCCTAGGGTGAAAATTGGCCCCGCCCCGGGGGTCATTGATTTTCCCTATATGCATATAGTAAAAACTTAAAAATCTTCTTTTAAAGAACTCAAAGAGCTAGAGCTGAGATATTTGGCATGAAACATCTTCTAGTGTGTGTCTACCAAGTTTGTTCAAATAAAAGCCCTGGGGTCAAAATTGGCCCCGCCCCTGGGGGTCATTGATTTTCCCTATATGCATATAGTAAAAACTTAAAAATCTTCTTTTAAAGAACCCAAAGAGCTAGAGCTAAGATATTTAGCATGAAACATGTTCTAATGGGTGTCTACCAAGTTTGTTCAAATAAAAGCCCTGGGGTGAAAATTGGCCCCGCCCCGGGGGGTCATTGATTTTCCCTATATGCATATAGTAAAAACTTAAAAAATCTTCTTTTAAAAAACTCAAAGAGCTATGGCCAAGATATTGAGCATCAAACATGTTCTAATAGGTGTCTACCAAGTTTGTTCAAATACAAGCCCAGGGGTCAAAATTGGCCCCGCCCCGGGGTCATTGATTTTCTTTATATGTGTTTAGCAAAAACTTTAAATCTTCTTTGAAAAAACCCAAATAGCTAGAGTTGAAATAAAATAAAAGCCCTGGGGTCAAAACTTGCCCGGCCCCAGGGGTGTCATTGTTTTTAACTATATGTGTATAGTAAAAACTTTAAAAAAATCTTCTTTTAAAAAGCCCAATGAGCTAGAGCTTAAATGTTTAGCATGAAACATCTTCTTATGGGTGTCTACCAAGTTTGTGCAAATAAAAGCCCTTGGGTTAAATTGGCTCTGCAACGTTGGGGGGGGGGGTTGGGGGGCCTATATACAGGTGAGCGACCTCAGGGCCATCATGGCCCTCTTGTTCTGTCTTGTTTTATATTTTTAGTTTTGATCCTGATGAAGAACCATATAGGTTTGAACCGGTAGATCTTAATTAACATATTGTTTATATTTTTCTAGTGTTGACTTGTGTGTGTTTTTTTTGTATTGTTCCTTTTAAACAAGTTTGTTTATATTTTGTTTAACATATTGGCGACAGTATTGTCATCATGTCTATGTCTAGGTTGGTAAATTGTGGCGAATGTAACCTGTCCAGGGTTTGTAACAGTATTTTATTCTTGTAAAATGAACTTGCAACCCTATGTTTTAGTTTTTTGAAGCATTGAACAATTCTTTTTACCCAGGATAAGTCACATGTATTGTGTGGTCCTTAATAAAAAGTGAGAAGAATATTGAATTGGTGCACTGAAGAACACCTGTGTCATTGCACTTTTACCTCTTACTCTCATACAAGTTTTTAAGGTCATATTATATGGTTTTCAATTTTAACTTGTTGAAAAAGAACTGCGAATTGGACACCTGAGTAGAACCACTGATGTTCAATAACATAGCTAGATAACTTACATACACAAAAGAAACCAAAAGGTTCAATGTGGAAATTGGAGCCACATCTGTGGTGGGGTAGTGCATAACTTTTTGGTCACCTTACCCTTTCAATGATGGAGGCCGCATAGAAAAAAAAAATTGTTTAAGTTGGAAAGTATGTTACAAATTAGAATTTGATCATGTAATTGAAAAAAGCATTGGCAGCCACATATATCTGTTATCACATAAACCACAGCGCTGGAGTGTAATAAAGCCATTGAATAAAATTGATATTACACTAGTGTAATAACACTTTGATGTTACAGCTGTGTCATTTGTTAGCTTTACACTAATGGTAAGTTAATAGAAAACAAAACTCTTTTTAACTGTAAACCATTTTTATTTTTGATATGTGATAAATAGAATATTATATTCATATAGATTCAAAACTAAATTCATTTCATTTGTAGAATAAAAATAGTATCCTCGCCAGACAATCGCATAATTTGATTTTATTCAACTTGTTCAATAAATTAAATATTAAATCTACACTCATTCAATATCCTTTATGTATATATAACGATAAGCTTATATTTTCAGGCCTCCATCATAATCAATATTGGTCATGATGACAATTTAAAACAAGTTAGTCTTCGTACACAACCGTTTGCTGCGCCGGAGAAATTACACGATGTTGTTGCCGAGACATACAAGCTTGTGAAGAAATCGGTTCCCAATGTGCACAGAAGCATGGCTCTATATCTAGCAAACCGGGAAACAGAAATTATCCTGTTTAAACCTATAAAGGTGAATAGCACAATAGTAGATTTTGTTTTCATAGTGATACTGTTGAAAGAAGTTTTTTTACTTGACCATATAGTCTACATTTTTAGGTCCATTTATTCTGTATGTAACAGTAAAAAAAATTTTAACTGACTTTTTTTATGCCCCCACAGAGTGGGAGCATATAGCGTTGCACTTGTCCGTCCGAGTGTCCCTCCGTCCGTACGTCTGTCCGTACGTCCCAAAATCTCGTGAACGCAACTCCTCTTAAACCGGATGGCAGATTTTGCTTAAACTTCCAGGGATGAACAACCTTAATGTGTAGATGGTAGTAAAGGAAGGAATTTTTGCTGCGACCAAATTTAACAGAATTTTGGCCCTTTGTTGATTTTTTCACTATATTCTGTGTAGAAATTTTGTGAACGCAACTCCTCTTAAACCGGATGGCAGATTTTGCTTAAACTTCCAGGGATGAACAACCTTAATGTGTAGATGGTAGTTAAGGAAGGAATTTTTGCTGCGACCAAATTTAACAGAATTATGGCCCTTTATTGATTTTTTCACTATATACTATGTAGAAATTTTGTGAACGCAACTCCTCTTAAACCGGATGGCAGATTTTGCTTAAACTTCCAGGGATGAACAACCTTAATGTGTAGATGGTAGTAAAGGAAGGAATTTTTGCTGCGACCAAATTTAACAGAATTATGGCCCTTTGTTGATTTTTTCACTATATACTATGTAGAAATTTTGTGAACGCAACTCCTCTTAAACTGGATGGCAGATTTTGCTTAAACTTCCAGGGATGAACAACCTTAATGTGTAGATGGCAGTAAAGGAAGGAATTTTTGCTGCGACCAAATTTAACAGAATTATGGCCCTTTGTTGATTTTTTCACTATATACTATGTAGAAATTTTGTGAACGCAACTACTCTTAAACCGGATGGCAGATTTTGCTTAAACTTCCAGGGATGAACAACCTTAATTTGTAGATGGTAGTAAAGGAAGGAATTTTTGCTGCAACCAAATTTAACAGAATTATGGCCCTTTGTTGATTTTTTCACTATATACTATGTAGAAATTTTGTGAACGCAACTCCTCTTAAACTGGATGGCAGATTTTGCTTAAACTTCCAGGGATGAACAACCTTAATGTGTAGATGGTAGTAAAGGAAGGATTTTTTGCTGTGACCAAATTTAACAGAATAATTGCCCTTTGTTGATTTTAAGTTTTCAACTTGTGGCACATGTAGTCCAAAAAATATTTGACCTAGAGTCATAAGATTGACAGAACAGTGGCGTGTGGGGGCATCCGTGTCCTATGGACACATTTCTAGTTTTATTTGAGTTTTAACGCCTAAAAGTAGTTGATATACATGTATCTTGTTTTATATGTAATAATTTGTAAAGAAAGTCAGACGCAAAGTTTTTGAAGTTAAATGCATGAGTTTTATTTACTGAAAAATGACAATAATACATTTATACAAACATAGTGGCAAGATTTTCAGAAATCTCAGCCTTCATTAAAAAAACATACATTTGTATTTAAATGAAAATTTATCTACTTTTAAGGTGAACGTTCAGCAGAGGTTTCAGAAGTTAAATGAAATACTGACGGAACATTTTACAGAGGAAGACCGACAGATTGTAGCTTGCCCGAGGTCCGAACAGGTAATGCATATTATTTTTATAACATAATAAACAAACCATATTCAAACATGGTTTGTGGTCCTAAATGAATGAATTTGTTGGTTTTGTTTTGTTTGGTTAAAGGTTAATGCAAGTTTAACAGTCTTTTAGTGTTTTCCATGGCAAAAAGGTTACCTGACTAGTTTTCCTGATTTTTGCACCAGTATTAACCTCGTATGTAAATTGATTAAAGTTGAAATTACTAAAGGGCAAAAAGCATTACACATCTTGTTGGCAAGTAAACAGTTACATTCATCAACATCCAGCTCATGTTAGATCTTGTGAGTTATGCAAACAAGCTGTATATCCTTCAATACATGCATTACTTAAGGTAGAAAGGTTCTTTGATGCTGTTTTTTGTGGGTTTTTTTTTTTTGGGGGGGGGGGGGGCAGGGATTGTTAAGGGGATTTCATGACTCATCTACACAGTAGAGGTCATATGGTGACTTACCAGCATATAGTAATTTTGTAGTCTATGTTTTCAGGAGTAACTGCCCTTTGACTAAATTTTGAATATGCACTGTACAATAATTAATCATACCTGTTCGTGAAGTACAATGGTATTCAACATATAAACTCTGAAGAGAATTTTACCAAATGAATTGATTTTATTTATGTTTTTAAGCAGTCATGTGTCATTATGTTAGAGAGTCAAAAATAACAAATTTAATTGGTTAATAATTACTGTTTGTAACCTATTATCTTTTTAGACTAATTGTCATTTTTAAATGTTTTCATTCCAGATTAATTTACTACTAGTTTCAAGCAAGACATAGTGGCTATACATCTGTGCCAAGTTCATGTTGAACATCAGGGACTTTATCTTTATCAACTGGTGGACTGACTCAAGTTTTTACATTAAAAATGCATAGATTTTTCATGCCATCGAAGAAAGAAGCAATGTGGGTATCATAAGGACGTACTACATGTATACAGACTGTTCCAAGTTTAGGAAAATCATTACACAAATTTGTGAGTGAAAAAAATGATGAAACAAGCTTAAGAGAAGGGACTTGAGTTTATTTTACAATTAGTAGTAAAATGTACATGTACCATTATTTAGGGCAGCTACATACGTGTTTTATTAATAGAATATATACTTAGAAACTCAATGCAATGAAATATTTACCGACACACAAAGTGTTAACTTCTAACTTAACTTTCAATATGAATTTAATTACCCCAGATATTAAGATTTGAGGGGAAGACTTTCTATTTTATAATCATCATCTCCAACAGTGTTGCATAAATGTTACAAGAGAAGAACTTGTATACTGGTATTTATTTATCCTCAAGTTTGTACATTTATTCACAAATACTGCTGTGTAGCAGTGTCTTGAAATGCTAAGCTTTTCTTGATATATTTTGTTTTACAGTAGAGTGCTATTCTACATATATGTATATAGGAGGGTACAAAAAGATATGATAAAATATTATTGCAATATATAATTTATATAAAAACAACATACACATATTCTAGCAAGTATGAATATAAATTTATATGATGCATTATATATAATACATGTATCTTGTCAAATTAATTCAATACAAAGTATGAAGTTTACACCTATGAAGTTTTGCTAGACAGTGGTAATTTATTTAGCATTATTTTTAAAGTTGAATGTCCTTTTATTTTCAATGATGATATACAATTTTGTGTATACACATATTATTGCATGTATATGCTTTACCCTGTCTTGTCATTTATCATGTGTATGTTTATCCTTGTGAACCATTTGGTCCGCTTGACTTATAATTAAAATAGTTACAGAGTTGCTGTTATGAAAACAGAATGTCCATTTGTTAAGACTGTTTTGCTTTTAGATTTATAATTTATATTATACAAGGTATAATAAAATTTATTTATAGAATTTTAATATACTCATGTTTCATTTTAAATGAGGGAACAATAAATTAAATAAAATGGAAAATTGTGTATGTTTTTTTCTTTGAAGGTTCATAAACATTCTGAAAATATTACAACTGCCTGGTGCTAGGAATTGGATAGAAATTTAAGTGCATGTATATGTAAATAGTTATGTAGCACTTCTTGAAAATAGCTGTTGTCAGGATTTTTATGGTTTAGAGCTGTTTTGCTTTTGGTTTAAAACTAAACAACATTATTTGTTAAAATGGCATGCCAATCCATGTGTAATTTGCGAGTGTACTGGTAAAGATGAAAGTATAATAACTTTACATTTTGCCATAATTGTTTTCAGTATTGTATTATAATAAATAACACAACCAAAAGAAATTTCTATAAATAGCCTCCGGAATTTGTTGATAAGGAGTGGACAGTCTTATTTTTTAGGTAGTTTTGTGTATTTGTCAATCATTATCAATAATTGGTCAATACAGTAACCATTAATAGTCAATCCTTTGAAATATAAAGGTAATTTACATCAACTTGATAACAATAAAATGAGCATAATGTTACAACATGTAAAGTCAATCACGTGATTCAACAGCTAGTGCGAGTCTTGGAAATATCTCGTCTCTACTGGGCTCTATTATGTTTTAGTGAATTACGTACATATTTGTCACAAGGACACTTTATTGTATCCCCCCGTCTTTAATGCGTCATCAGACACCCCCTCCACCATGTGGAAATTATTTCAGAAATGTAAGTCGTGTTGCACACTTTCATAAATGAAAAAATCAAAACAAATAAGATGACACATTTATTCCAAAACAAGATTTAAGTATATACATAATAAAATATATTTGTTAAAAAGAACGTCAATATATTTGTTGGTACAGATATTTAATGTCCATAATAAAACTTCATTTATAATCAATTTTAACACTGTTGAATTCCAACTAATGATATTGGTGCATTATTTTGAATTCGTCAATTTCAGTCTTATTAAATTGTTATTGTTTTTCCTTTATTAATAGTAAGCTGTTAGCGATGTTCAAATGTCAAGAATGTTTTTTTCCGAAGTTTGCGTACTGTTTCGTATTTACATATAATCTGCAATATTTCTTGGCATCTCCTGAACTTCCGTGTTGTAGAACTGTTCAATGTCTTTCAAGACCCTTTCGTCATTGAACGTGATAAAATTGATGGCTACGCCCTTTCTGCCGAATCTCCCACTCCGTCCGATCCTGAAATATACAAATTTAAATTCACACTAATTTACCACACTGTTATTTGGTATAAATTGCTACATAATGTATTATTATTATTAAAGCATTCGTTTTTGACTATTTCTACATGATAATTCGATGTTCATACACGCAAATATAACCACGTTCAAGCTGACTGGTAAAAATTAACTGTACTAAATATGTGAGCTTGTTTAAATATTCTTATTCCCTATCCATGCTTATTATCTTATGAGGAAATTGCAAAAGTTTGTAATAGCCATAATATTTGTATTTTATATCTTTGGCTTTATTTTATCTGGGTTTTTGTCCCAGGTTTTATACAGTAAAGTTTAATATAGGGAACGGAAATTTTTTAAATGTTTTTCCTTAAAATTTTTCTTTATGCAATCTTTCGACATTAAGTTAATTTTACTGATATGACCACACGGGTGAGTGATTTCCATTGTATTTCCAAGCTTCGGGGGTATCAAAAGGGGACTAAATAATGCGCTTTGATATTGAACTATCCTGTCAAAATTACAGAAAGTAACAATTTATGACGTAACATCTGTCAAAATATGTACTGACATAACAAATGGTGTCTGTTTTACGGGAGCTGACAGTTCGAAAGGCTCTTGTCTATGATATTTATGAGATCCGTATGAAAAATAGCGATAAAATATGAGCTAAGTGTCAGAAAATGTGAAAAACAAGATAAATACATCTGTGCTGCTTAAGATTTATATTTATTACAACTCGAAACATATTTCCTCCAGCTATGTACTAATTTTATTCAGTTTGCGTGTAACGTTGATGATTTTAAGTTTACCAACTTTTGACAATACGCCATTCATTGAGCAAAGTACAAAAAATGGTTAACCACAATCCTATTCTTCTCAGAAAGGAAGTTTAAGATTTACCTGTGAATGTAGTTTTCTCTTACGAATGGTAGATCATAATTAATAACAAGAGATACTTGTTGGACGTCAATTCCTCGTGCAAGTAGGTCAGTTGTTATAAGCACGCGACTGGAACCCGTGCGGAACTCTCGCATGATAGTTTCACGTTCGTCTTGGTCAATATCCCCATGCTGAAAGTACATTTACAATGCCTGTTATATATTTCTTTATATTATTAAATTATATGTTAAAAAAACAACAACAAAAAAAAAAACAAAAAAAAAAAAAAACGTGTGCTTTCATTGTCAGGATATGATATGGTGTGGAGAATTATATTTTTCTTTTTATGACTTCATAGACTTCTATAAAGATTTCTATTTTCTATGCAAGATTAATTTTTATAGAAGATGAAGAATCCTTTATTTGCTAGTTTACTCTCAAAAGAGTCATGTACAAACTTTCATGACGTATACAATTATATCATGTATGCATAATTAAATTACTAATTACATAGCAAAATGACGTGACTGCAAGTAATGATTTTCTTTTATGGTAATCGTGCATTTACTATTCAATTTACAATTTTCAAGTTATTAAAATTACATTAGCTTATTTTAGAGATTCTACATTCAAATATATAATAGTAAAAAATTAGTAATGTATAAATGAATTGCACTCTCTTTTATAGGTATGATATATACATGTATACCTGCTTATTTCAAGCGTTTTTATCATATACATGTATATATAACATTACTTACTATGGCAGATACGGTGAAATCTCGGTCGTTCATCTGTCGGGTTAATGTTTCAACCTTCCTACGACTGTTACAGAAAATCACAGCCTGGTTCACACACACACTGTTGTAAAGATCACATAAGGTCTCGAACTTCCATTCCTGTATAATAAACAAAATAGTCGTGAAGTGTGATATATGATTATAGTAATTAGTCAAATACCGTCACAGGAAACAGTCCTTTTTCTACTTACTCACTTTATATTTGACAAATGCAAGTTTTCTTTATATCTGCACAGGCAAATTTCTGTATATCATAAAATATCAATTATATGAGGAAACAAAGTCTGGTACAGGGATGGATTTTTGGTTGTTTAATGTGTGTGTGCGTGCGTGTGTGTGTGTGTTTGTTTTTTGTATGTTTGTTTTTTCATTTACAAGAACTATTTGTAGTGATTAAGCTTGTTTAGAACCATTATATATATTGAGACGTCCCTCATCTGTGAAATCTGGATATTTTTTATATGACTTCATTTTTTTTTTGCTCGTATGATATAAGCCTTAATATATAGAAAGAAAAAAAATAGAATCTACCTCACGTTCGACGTTAACGTAAAACTGGCGTATGCCGTCTAATGTTAATTCCTCTTTATTGACCAAGATTCGGACAGGATTCCTCATAAACCTCGAAGTTACATCCAGAACTTCCGTCGGCATGGTGGCTGATACTAGAATCACCTGCAAGTTAAAAGGAGACAATGTCGTCTGCTATTTTAAAAAAAAATACATTTACATACATCAAAATGTTTATGGAAACAGGCCGCGTGTTCACTAAGATTGCAGTATCAGAATTGTTTGTGTACTCGGGGCCTGGTGATAAATTCCACCTCTAGAAACAAACCGTATAAATCGATGGCCGCCATTCTACTTTTATTGTATTTCTCCATTTAAACATTTCAAGGCAGCATTACCAAAAGTTTCGAGAAGCATTTAATACGAAACACCTTATTTGATCTTTAAACATAAAGCCGAAATTTATGTATGCATTACTCCTGTATTACTTTAAACTCAAAGTATGCAACAAGAGGAACTAAGATTACGATCCTGTATATAAGAACATTTTGTCGTTTTTTTTCTGTCTCTCACCTGGACGTCTTCTGGGGTGTGCCTGAAAACATCATAAATCTGGTCTTTGAAACCACGTGACAACATCTCGTCTGCTTCATCAAGAACGAACATCTTCAGACAGCGCATTTCTATTAAAAAGAATTATCAATGCAAGAACATTAGCGTAGTTTACATTTGCATATACATCAATTATTTGTTCAAGGAAATAAAACAATCTTACACTCGCGTTTGTCTTCGTTATCAGGTCACTATGTCTCAAGAATCTCTTTTTATGACCACTTTTAATAGCATAAGAAGTTCATTAAATAATTTAAATAGCTGCAAAAATAAAAGCCTTAAAGTAGGTTATCTTTAAAAGTAACGTGCAAAACATTTAAGTTACCCTCCTAAAACTGATTTGGTCAGTGTAAGTCCCCGTGTGTGTTTCAATTAGTAATGTTTTTGCTGTGCAAGTTAAGCTGGCAACTCGCGTTTTCCGTTTTTGGTATTCTTTGAGGTTCTGATTTCTATTCTGATCGTACACATAAGATTCCATGTAAATATTTAGAAAGACGAGCCTGTATTTTTGTTTGGGAATAGTGGTAACTTTCTACATAATATATTGATAGCCAAAGATGAGTTTAATATACCAAGTGCTCGCTCCTTGATAAGGTGCATAATGCGACCAGGAGTCCCGACAACTACGTGCACCTTGCCGCTTCTTAAGCGTCTGACGTCATCACTGACACGCCGCCCACCAACAAATGCCACCACCTCGACGTCCATGTAATCTCCCAGGGCAATGAGATGCCGATACGACTGTAAAATTGAAGAACTAATTACATACTTCATTTCACTAGAGGAATAAAAGCAGAGACTCGCAATTATATCTCAATAAATGGCATGATTAATTCAGTGATACACGCAAATAAGTACTTATATCTTAATTACATATATGCAAACTGTCTACGCCATCTCGAACTATATATATTTTTGTCGCTATATTACATGTATTCTAGAATAGGTCGTATCTTTTCTATGGTGTCACGTTAGGGCCATCGCGACATACATAAAACACGAAAGTAGGATTGTGAAAAGTCGATATTTATTATAACGAAACCTAAATGCCGAAAACTTGATATGATTTCGTGTTTTCTCCAATCTTACTTTCGACCTTTCACCATCGTGGTTTCGTTATGTCGACTTTTCACCATCCTACTTATCGTATTTTCCCCGTCCTACTGAATGACAATCTATATCGTGTTTTCGTTGTTTCGAGATTTTGGCCTTTCTTTCAAGTTTTAATTATGGCAGTAGCAGATAAATATCATCTTGTAATTTTAGCTAGGTTACCTGTTGGGCTAGCTCTCTAGTTGGTGAGAGAATTAGTGCCTGGCATTCCGACATGTCTGTATCGATCCTCTGCAACACCGCCGTTGAAAACGTTGCAGTCTTTCCTGTACCTGACTGAGCCTGGGCAATGACGTCATATCCTGAAAACAGTAAAGTGTAAATGCAATATAATAGCTATTTACTTCTGTAAAGCTGAATTGATATAATATATAATGTATCATCAAACTGTATGTGATAAATTGATTACGTCTTAACATTAGCTACACGGTCTGAGCCAACTTCCATGAGTACTAATCAAGACATTTTATATTTCTTAATTGGATACCCTTTTTACAAAAAAAAAATAAATAAATAAAAATAAATAAATAAATAAAAAGTTTTGGAAGAGTTTTGTAGGATAGAGAACTGCATGACTTGTTTACCTCTAATGCATGGTAAAATTGCCTTCTGCTGGATTGTTGAAGGTTTTTCAAAACCATAGCCGTAAAGCCCTCTGAGTAGATCATCCTTCAAATTCATGTCGTCAAAGTTGTCACATAACTCTGGTACAGCATCCTGAAAATATTATGTAACATTGCTTTTCATTTTAGCCTACTAAAGTGATTCACCACAAGTTTTAGCGCCAGACCAGCCTATACTGTTGGTAGCTCAGTTATTGTATTTTGATATTGAAGTCTCTTGAACTGTCCCAAATTTCAAATTATGTCAGATCCAACGCATGAATTTAACACTTAAATGGTGAAAAATTATGGATGTAAGAGAAGAAATATTTTTCACGATATCTAAGTCAGTTATTTTGTCAGGTGTTAAACAACCGACGTCATTCACCAGTGTTTAAATCATAATACTATAGTATACTAACGGGACCAGAACCCCCCCCCCCCCCCTCTCTCTCTTCTCCGCTAGTAGATGGCAACTTCTCCACAATAAGTTTTTTTTAATGAGTGTATAGTTTAAACACGTGGTTGCCAAAAGAAAACAAGTAAAATGCATGTTTTTTTTTTAAGTTTGATCTTTTAAAAAAAAAAAAAAAAAAAAAAGGATACTGAAACGATAGATATGGCGGTCATATTTATATAACTACACAAAATGGTGAAAAAATTCAGAAACATGTAATGTCAGTTCAAGAAATAAAGATATTTGATAATAATTGTGTTACCTCCCCTCCCTGGTCACCTCTCTCCACCTCAGTGTACTTTGTCCTGTAACAGAAATGACGATAAATAAAATATCTTTACTATGATGTGTATTAAAGTCAAGCCTATTAAGTTTTGTCAACTTGCCCATATTTCTGTATTTCGCAATGCAGTACATGTATATATTTATACTTTAGTGTAAAGTACATTAGAATAATATTAATAATACAAGTTTTTTTTCCGCAATATATCATCATCATAGGCAGAAGCAGAATTATCATCATTATCTTTTTTATGCTTGATTATTTATAATAATAATAATAATAATTATCAACATTGACAAACATAATTATCATCTTAATCAATATCATCATAATTGTCACCATCATCATCATTATCATCTTCATCAGCAGCAGTACTAGCAGCAGCAGCAGCACTAGTGCCATTAGCAAATAAATCTTAATATATTTAGTCTTAATATCTTTGTTTTAAGTTAATATAGTTATAAGGTCGGTAGAAATTTTAGTTAACTTACCCTTGGTCGTCATCGTCGCCCCAGTTAGATCCGACACTATCCGGATTTTCAAACGGGTCTGTAGTTTGACACGGAGTGTTCCTTTCTTTTGAAGGTCTCTCGTCGTCCCTCCCTCGGGCGCTAACCCTCGGGTCGTACTTCTCCTCCTCGTGCGCACGTGCAGTCGTGAATTCTACGCTTCTTTCAGTTGATTGTTGTACACTTGTCATTGGACACAGTACAATCAAAATTATACATTTAGGTTTGAATTTTTTCAAATAGTTTGAGCTGATATGGAAGCGGAAAAGAACGCCGTGGGCTTATATACTATTAGGTTGCTATCCAATTTCATTTCGAAATATCTGTTAGTCGTCATTTTTCTATTTTTAGAAATACGCTGTATAATCTCTATATTTATAAAACTACGTAAATGCATATCGATTATCACGCTTAAATAAGTATATAAATATAAAATTTTATAATTTCAAATAACACATTTAAGTACAACTAAAATAAGAATTTTCAATCATGGGTTATGCAATTAATATAAGACTACGGCTGTTAAATAATAGGGAAATTATGATGAAATAGATTAACAGGTTTCCTTTTTTCAGGGAGTCGTATTGGTAAAATCAATTTAAGCCATTAAATTATTGACAATGATTGTTTAGTGTACCAGCGTACGATTTTTCAGGCACGAGCGGGCACCTGAGTGGAACCACCCGCTCCACAAACTAACTCGTGAGAGAATCCAACGTGTCTGGTGGAATAGATACAATATTAATAAAATAAAAGTACTTTTTTGCTGAGTATATCCACAAGTTAATAAATATATTTTTGAGAGTTTATCTTTTCATTTTAGAACTAATAAATGCATCATCATCATCATCATCGTCGTCATCGTCATCATCATCATCATCATCATCATCATCATCATCATTTATTATTATTATTATTATTATTATTATTATTATTTTTATTTTTATTATGTATTTGTTATTTTCATGAATGAATTTCCTCTCCTTTATGTACGAGTGAATACTGCAGGTGATGATCCCCACAATGAACTGTATGGCATAATGTTAATTAAACATGTATAGGAGTATTGATATTCTTTAACAAGGTATCATATAACTAAAATCAAAGAATGAATTTTAATACACAATAATACATACAATTATACATTAAAGGCATATTATGCCTCGGAAAAATAATAGGTTTTTCATATTTAAGACAGGGAAAAACATGATTTTTATAAAGTTTTAATAAAGAATGTAGAGTATATTAGATGCATATCATCACATGAATAATGTAAATTTATTTGTGTCATTAATTTACAAGTACTTTGACTAATACAAAATCACTATAATTGTACTAATTGTCAAGAAAAATATAATTCAGGTAATTACAGCATGCATTGGCCATTGAGTTTTTTTTTAAATTAGATCTATACCAGAACACCAAAAACAGCATTTCTGGGGCATAATATGGGCCTCAGTCCAAACCAAAGGTCGTTAACCAAATAATGTTCCTTGTGTATTATTTCATCACATTTTATCACACTGCACTTATGATTACAGTTCATACCAAAAGGTGTATCTCACTTTATCATGCATGCTTTTGTTTCACCTTGATCATATACACACGTGTTACATTCGTGCTAGCTACGGTCCGTCTGTTTCATACGACCTGCGATGTATGTAAATGAGATAGGAAGACGTTAATCTTGTCTGGCAAGCTTCCCGTTAAATTCTAAAATACTCGAGCATTTTATCCCATTTTCACAGTCAAACTTCAGTATAATTTAACATCCTATCTAGTTTTTAGCTCACCTGTCACAAAGTGACAGGGTGAGCTTTTGTGGTCACTTTTCGTCCGGCGTCCGTCCGTCCGTCCCTCCGTAAACTTTTACTTTAAATGACATCTCTTCATCTCCTGTCTAGGAGTACACAAATGATAGGTCTTACTGTTCACATGTACTTTAAAAAACCGCTACCGCCATTAAAACAGAAATGATTAAAGCATTTTTTCACACAATTAAACGCATACAAAGGCTGTTTGAACACTCGGCTGTGTAATTAACACATGTCACTAAAGTTGATCGAAAATCGTCTTCGCGGCCAGAAAAGGTGTGAAAATGTCTCGAGATCGAAAGTGTCAAAATAACAGAAGAACTTCGACTTATTTGTTGTAAATTGTACTAGATTTATTCTATACGGACCACGAAAAAACTTCGACACATCGAAAAACTCGACACATAAAATCTCGACTCATAAATAGCTTTTTATAAGGAATATATAAGGGAAAAAATCGGGACTATCATTTTACTTCGACACATCGAGAAAATCGACTAATCGAAGTTCGACTCATGGAAGTTCTACTGTATACAGCGTTCTCCTATATTAATCTATTGGATGAAAACCTAATGTTTGATGGAGAAACATCCTTATGCAAATGTCCTCCATGAACAATGTTTATTCTTGCTCGATGTCGCATCATGCAACTTTCTGTTCGGTCAGCTGTTCTTATTCCGGGTGACATCAAATCCTCTGAAGTTAGAGGCCCAAACCCGACTGTGTTTTTTAAGTGTTGACTACACTCCCCCAATCTTTTTTTAAGTCTGTCATAGAGTTTTGTTTTACGATCTTTGAAATTTAAGTCAAGGTTCAGCCGTGTAAAAGCGCGAAGTCTTTTATCTAAAATTTCAGAAGTCTCAACTGGAATATAATTAATAATAATTATCTGTCGTTCTGTGTCCATCGAAAAATATTTCCAAATTGTCTCAAATTCATGACACGAGCCGCAGTCTTGTAGATACTTGTTACAGAGCACAACAACAAAATTGAGACTTTCTTTGATCGCAACTTCGGTCTCTCTATCACGAATGTCCCCAAACATGATATCGAATGCCGGAATATAACAAGAATATTCTTTGCATAAACGAGGATGAAGGAATTTTTTAACCCATTCAGAAACCTCACTGTTATCTTCGGACATTGAAATAAAAACGTCATACATGTACTTATTTGTGTTTAACGCATTTTCATGACGTTTGTACATAGCTCTCCGTTTGAGCAACAAAATTTCATACTGGAAGTGGTAAACGCCAACGCCTATAATGAACAAGGTAGCAATCATCGCAACCATGCTCCAAATAATCGGCATCAGATCGGGTGTCGTCTGCTGACAGTCAAGAAAACCGGCTGTTACCAAAGATGCGTCGACAATACCATTCTTTGTCGAGCAGGTTAAGTAAGTTTTTGACGCATTTGTACTTTTCAATCGAATCCAGTCACCAATCCACAAGTTGTCACACTCGCACTGCACTGAGTTATTTCCAAAGTTAATTCTGTCAGGTCTTAGGTTGTAAAATGTAATAGGGAGACGTTGAAGTTTTTGGTCCGTTATATCAACAACGACTTCTTTCTTCATTTTATCGATAGCTCTCTCATGTAGATGAGTAAGGACGTTCCCTTTCAGTTTTAACACCGACACCCTTGAGAAATAATCACGATCGGGTAGCTCAGTAATGTCGTTATCTTCAATATCAAGTTCTATATCAGTATTTCCCCAGTATCCAATTGGCATGTAATCAGGAAATTTAGTCAAACCTCGACAACGAACTGTTACCTTTTGTATAAATTGCTCATCGGTGCACGTGCAACCGTCCGGACAATCTTGAAGGTTGCAGGTGAGGTTAGTATAGTCTTCACTATGATATATGTCCGTTAAGCTTGCGCCTCTCATTTTTTCAGGAGAAATGCAAATGAAATCAGAATCTTCGAGACGTGGCCAGTATTTAGAAGCTGACTTTCCAAGATCTCTCAGGAAAGGCACGATATTACAATCACAGTGAACGGAGCTGTTGTCCCACAAGAGTGCAAGATCAAAATGTTTACCGAATTCGGAAATATGTTCCAAACCCAAACTCGAGAAATTTAGCCACGTCTCTCCTTTACTGCCAGTGAAGTCAATTTTGCCAGGACCGTACTTTTTGTCCGTAACTGTATAATTGTCTGTATTTGTTTGATTCTCAATTTCAGATCCCACATATTTAAGTTGACAAAATTCGCCCGTTCTTAAAATATTCGTTACATCAACTTTGTCGAATAAGTTATAAGAAAGGTCTACGGTGAAAATGTTACCTTTTTTAAGTGCAATGGCATTTGCTTGTAGATTTAAAAAATTGTTGCTTTTCATAGAAAGATACCGTAAGTTTACCATCATAGTAAACGTATCGTTGGGTATACTCACAATTTTATTTTGATCGAGCTTAAGGGAGTCCAGAATTTTCAAACATTTTATTTCCCCAATGTCTGTAATGTAATTGTTGCTTAAGTCCACTTCCACAAGAGACTCATCAAAGCTGCATATGTTTTGCGGGAAATATCTGAGCTTACCATAAGTGTGAGTTAATGTATACAGAGTGGTGTTATTGGGCTTTTCTTTTGCAATAAGGGTTGAGTCGCCTAAGACATTTTTGTACTCGACATATAATTCCTGAACTTTTACACCACACGCGTCGGCGTTGAGTTTCCAGCAAGGCATGGCGTAACAAGAACAACATTCTGACGGTTTTGGATTGGTGGTACAATCATTCGGACAAAACAAATCGTCCTCTCGGAGACTGTCACCTGGTTTCCACGTGTAATATCCTTGAAAATTTGCATTTTCAAACTTAATACTTCCGGTTGATTGAAATAAAACGATGCAGGAAATAAAAACAAAAGCGATTTTCACCATTTTCGTGGTCATGATTCCTTCAAATAACGTTTTAAATTTGGATACTGAAATACACAGATATAGTTTTGCAAAATTACTTCAAATAACAATACAAAGGGGTAATATATCCAATCCAAGTGAGAATATTGGCATTACTTGTATTATGGCATTTCACAATTGTTCTGTCTTTTTATTTTACTTGATAAGGAAGTACAGGTAGAATAACCTGTAATTGTTTTCAGCTAATTAACCAATAAATCAATAGATTGTTTAATGATTGTTAGATAATTAAGTGATTATTTTAACCAAATATAATATATGACATATCTAATCAAATCTAGTATGCTAGGGATTTTTTTCCGAAATGACATGAATACAAATTTATCAACATAATCCGAATAAGGAAGTAACAAGGGGCCAACGACCGCTCGCCTGAGATTCATTGCTTAACGTTTTATACAATTTTACTTTAAAAAAAAAGATATAAGAACATGAATATGCTTCTCGCTAACTCTAAGGCCATGGTCCAATGTTGATCATGGTCTATGAAGTATAAATGTGACCTTGCATTGAGGGCGGGAGACATTAGTGTTCTTGTGAGAAACATATCTAAAACTGCATCACATTTATACAAACTAACACTGCATCACATTTATACAAAGTGTTTAAACTCCCCTGTGAATGGCATTGTTGATTGAACATGGTCATCAATACATTTTAGCGCGGAGGAAGGTAGTCTAGTACTGATGTAACTCTCCAGGAACGATGGTTAGGAAACTACCCGCCTATATGACTGAAATACTGTTGGGAACAGGCGTAAAATAATGAAACAAACAAACAAAACATTTTAATTAACTTGCAATAAACTGCAGTTATTTAAAAATCCATCCAGGAATTACTTAACTGTTGAGCGAAAACGCATTTTGATGAGAGATTACAATGACTTTCGACTGGAGAACAAATCTTCGCGACATATCTCCAACGAATATAGGCCAATTATGCCCAAGAAATGCTTTTATTTCATTCCTTAAAAACCTTTCATCTTTGGTGCACTTTTATATATTTCTAAACGCTTAAATCATCTTTTCCTTCTGTTGCTATTTTGGCACTTAGTTCAGTGATAGTGATTAAGTATTTTGTATGGAAGTCAAAAATACTACTTGTTTACATTTTGCTACTTTTTTGACAAATATTTTCACATTTAGCGCTACTCCTCTCAGGTAACAAGGATCTAAAATTATTATTTTAACGTTATAATACTCATTCTTTAAGGAAGGTGAAATTTATTCGCATCAGAGGCTTAATGTGCCTTTAATTTCAAGTGAATTACCAAACATGTGTCACCAAAAGAGGACACAACATTTCATATTATATTCAATACTTTTAGTAACAACTGTAAGAAATAGATAACAAAAATTGATAATATTGTGTTCTAGTCAATCTTTATTGCAGATAAAAACATCTTGTTAATTATATTACATAAAGTTTACATTCATACATTTTTATTTAGTTTCAATGCCTATATGCTAGTACAATTTGTGCATTGTTCATCTCTTACCATTACATCAAAGATATAATAATATAAAATCTCACTCAGTTTTATTATTGGTTATATTTTTCCACTTCAAACAATTCCCCGAGGCCCCTTTACTATGTTTTCCCCCACCCAAATTACACTCTCTACCACAAAATATCTCCCGTTTTACACATGAAATGTTAAAAAGTTCTGTTGTTTTTTATGAGATTCATAATAACATATTGAATACTTGGCCACCATCTGACATAACTAGGTAAAAAATACAAATTGTCACAACATTCAGATGAATTTACACTAATGTTAATCATTGTACATATTAGGAATATAACGTTCCAACAGTGTAACGATTATAACATTCTGATTATCACTTTAAATGTTTATCAATTAATTAAACTGGCAAAACAATTTTTTGTATTATCAAATGTAAATTTCTATTTCATTTCAGTTTAATTTTGCTAAAACATCTTTCTCCATGTAACCCGAGCATAAAATACAGTGTACATATTTCCACATAAGTTTATTTTTCTGTGCTTTTTTTTTTTTAAATCTTGAACAAGTTTTAGTACAAATTATAACAGGAAACCAGTCATTATACATACTTTGCAGAAGCTTAAAATGGGAACAGTACTTGCAGTATCTGTTAAATGTTTCAAATTCTTTCCCGAAAATAAAAATATTAGCCATTAAGTATACATTGTCAGCTAAAAGCAGGTTAAAATCTCTAAAGCCTAGGCCACATCACAAAAATAACACACTCTGGTATATAGAACGGAGGGATGCATGCATATAGGGAGGTTTTTCTAATCTACTTGGGAGTAAAAACAATAAAAAAGACCCGACACCAACTTTTGACTATGATTCAACTGTGCTTAATTTAAACTAATATAATAAGGATTGTGAAAAACGGTGAGAGAGAAAAAAGAACAACAGATTATATATCACCTCTACCAGTTTACAACACCTAGGGTACAATATTTAAAGGTCACAACGCCTCAAGTTTTGCATTCAAGTTTTCCTAACCGAAAAAAATAAGTTATTTCCTTCTTAATTTCTGACTTAACAGAAGAAATCTCTTGAAGCAGATGAAATTTGTATCAAAACATAAAAGACATTTCCTCAACACAGAGAAAAAAGTCTTAATATGGTGGGGATACAAAAAGGTCAACTGCTCCACATGTCAAGCACAAGTTATAAAAAGAAGCTCATTTAAACGAGGAAGTAGAGTGTTATTGTTTATATCTGTGAGTCCATGTGTCTATAAATAACCACCAACTCTGTCGTTTACCAAGCGTCTTCCATGTCATGTGACTTGAACCATTTCTACTCTTTATTTTTAAATATTTTTAATGGTAAAATTTAATTGTTCATATAAAGAAAATCAGATAAAACATATGTGCTTAATAATGTAATAATAAAAAGGCTATTTGCTAAGTGAATAACATCAACAATGAGTATCTAAGAAAGGCATGCAGCCAGACAGATATAGTGCAGTTAATCTTGACGTTCAAATTTCAGGTAACCTTTACAGTGGAGTGTTAGAACAGGATTTTAATTGCCAATTTTTTTTAAAATGAAATTTGACCCCCCCCCCCCCCCCCCCCCCAATAAAAAAAAAAACCAACAAGAATTAACAAAATCTTGAGTATACTAAACTACAAACTGGTTACATTTTAACTACAAATTACTACAAACACATATATATATGTCCCTATATATAATTCAACATTGTTCAGTACTGCAAGTCTAGATCCCATTTTATCACAGCTTTGTTAATTCATATCTAGAAACTGGTTTACTTCTGCATTTCTTTATTGTATTCATATCTAAAACTTGTTCATATTTCAACTCGAACCACTTTCATTAGTACACATATGGAGAAATGAAAATCTTTTGATATAATCTTGTATTGTTTTGAACACAAGGGAAAATTGAGAAAAATTAATTTTCTGCTTATCATAATTTAAAAACAGTAAATATATTATATTCAAAATGATGCATGATAAAAAAAAGGAAAATAATTGTGTAATATATTAATTTAGTGATTTTTACATGTGACCATAGAAAATCGACAGATGAGAATTCACGTTAGGAACCGGAACAATTACCAATATGACCATTTCTCGATAATTTTACTTCTCAGACAAAACAACTATGTAAAACAAATACGTATAGATTGCAAAATTAAGTCAATTGTGAAAAGTTTTTTCTCCACAGCCACTGCTAGACAGCTTAAATTTTTCTTTTGCCTCCTGCAGTAAAATCCTCTCATTTTTTTGCTGAATGCAAATGTGAACAAACTTATTTTTTTATATTACAATTAAAATATAACATAAAAATGTACTGATAAAAATTAACTTCTACTGATTAACAAGATATAAAATGCATAATTACAATCGTAAACACACTACTACTTATAACATGAGGTGCTGTTTAATCTAAAGAAAAAGTTTCATCGCTATATATGAACTGTATATACAGAAGCATTGCATTCCTTAAATGACTGAAATGTGGTGTAAGTGATTTAAAAACTTGGTATAGATTGGAAAATATTACTGAATGAATATAACATTACAGTCCTTTTGGAAAACTTTCTTTTACTTGAGTTGAGTTTTAAGTTGAGTACATGCATGAGAATCAGTAATGAAATACAGTAATATACGACAATCTTTGGCTTAAAATGTGAACTGTATTACTTGACATTTCTGTTATACAAAAACAACAACACAATGCACATTTTAAACTAAATTTTGTAATATATCAAATGGTTATAAAATTCAACGGTTTATCTACAAAGGAATGTACAAGGACGTTTACTAACAATGAAAAAATCACAAAAATGTCCACCATATCTTACACAGACACTGAGAAATATAATCCTAGACGGCAAAGTCTAGGAATATACACACTCCCTTCATCCATCAGAATTAAAGAAAAAGTAAAGAACCTGGAAACAGCCTTGTAAAGCTTTATGTAAGCTCATTATTTTTCGAAACCAGTCTGATAATGAAAATGGGAACCAGTCCTTTGTTTCTTACTTTATCATTGAGTCTGATGCACAAACACCCAGGGAACCAGTCCTCATATCACCCGTATAAAATGTTTTAACGAAAAAAATCAACGCACTCCTTTGAAGATTGACATGTACATTTCACATAACATTAAATATTATTTTATCCAAAAAAAATCTTTTCTTCTTCCTGTATTAAATAAACATAATTACAAAATAAATCAAAACTCGTACAACCAAAAACTGTAACTTCCTTAAAAAGTTCAAAATCAATTTTTCTACTTAGCCGCCAACCTTTTTTGTTTTTTGTCATTCATATTAAAAGAAACAGAAGCAGTGCTGTGTCTTAAATTCTAAAAATTTAAAGTCCGAAAAGCGAAATCGCAAATATACAAAAGCTCTAAAAAACGTGTTCATCTGAAAAAAACTTTTTAAAAAGACGAAACACTACCCATTCATTCTTTTCTCTCTCTACCACCCTGATCGGAATTTAACTTTAAAAACACAAGTGCATAGAAAAACAACAGTAACCAGTGTCTAAAAATAGACACAGCAACTACACATACAGGACAATTATTTTCAAAATATATGAAAAATCAAGCCTTGTGAGGGCGGCAACAAATTCCATATACATCTTCATTGAACTATTAATGCACTATTTTATTTTTTTTCTCAAAAACCCACACAAAATTTCACATTTCCACAATCACAATATGAGAATTATATGAATGACTTTAGCTACCACAAAAATGCCTCATAAACAAAAAGTCACAACAAAAGATGTGATGGTATTTCTGTATCGAAAGCTGTGTCGTTATAATTTAAATGATAAATTTTTTTTAAAGTTCTCTTAAATCTAATTATTCAGATATAAATTTACTTTCTCTTAAGCTATACTTAAAAAGATATGCAAAAGATACTGTGGACGGAAATGAACATCTATTTCAATATTTCACTTTTATTCAAATAAAAGCCCTTTTTTGTTTTCCTTTAAATTCCTTTTATTAAAAATCAATGAAAATTACTATCAACTTCAAAAGAATGCAAAGACATCTTTCTGTTTGTTTTTGTTTTAAAAAATATACAAAGTTAAAAAAAAAAGTAAAATGGAAATGAGCAACATAAAAACACTCTTTGTGATGATAAATGGAAACAATACATTTATAATTTGGACAACTACGACACACGTTCGAGGTTATGGAATAAAGAGTCAACATAAAGCAAAAGAGATTCGTCTCCCCTTATAGGAATAACGGAGAATAACCTCCCTTGATTTTCTGCTTCTTCAAATAATTTGAAATTCATTTCCTAGTTTTTATTTTCTAAAAAGTCAATGTATTGATTAATCTATCATTAACTCGAAGTGAACCATGCCCGATCGTTCCATTGAGTCGTGTTGGATGTTTTTGGCATACACTTTGCAAGTGACCATGTAAAGCTGGGCTGGGTTTGGATCATCAAAACGCACAAATACAAGGGGGGACCTGTATCCCTGCTGGTTCCTGTATGGGAAGTATTTGAAGTGGAAACCAGATGGTGGTGAGTACACTATGTTTCCAATATTGTCCTTGTCTGATGGATTCTAGAAAAAGAAAGAAAAAGAAACACAATTATATAATAATATGATCAAATGGTAAGTATTCAGTTTGCTTTAACCCATATTATATTTTTCTGGTTGCTTTCTAGTGAAACAGACCCTGTTTAAGGCATTAAGCACCTATCAAGCTTTTCTGGAAGAGGCACATAAAGACCTTTAGAAGCCATATTCACATGATTTTTTTTTTTAACATTACTTTTAGTATATTACACTATACTTATTACACTATACTGCCCACAAAAACCAGACTCCTGGTAAGCAACTGTTACAACAAAAGGCATAAAGACCTTAGAAAGAATGGATCATTTTTCAAGATTTGTATACAAAGTTGTGCCTCACCTCTCCGTAACAGTGTACAGCAATTGAATATTCCTCCCAATAGTCGGCAATTTCTCCTGGAACAGTATCATTGGTGTAGGGTTCTGGCATCCAGTCAAAGATCTGAAGAACAAAAATGAAGACAGTGAAACTATCACACTACTATCACACCATTTTTACAAGTGCTTCGACAATTTATACAAGTGTTTCATCACAGATTTACATAACAGAACCAGGTGCAAAGTTTACTAAATCTGCCTAGCACTGTGCACATTGTCATACCTAACTCTTCTGAATTTGAGAAAAAAGTATACTTTGTGAAGCACAAATGTTCCAAATTTCAAGTTCTCCAAGTTTCACTTTCAGATATGCAAAAGTTCATTACCTATGTAATTTATAAAACTGCATTTTTATAAGTGTCGAAATAGTGTTCATTCGGATTTGCCTGATCTTCTGACACTTATAATTACTACATAATACAGAAAATTGTATTTCCATTTACTTCTGAATACTAAAAAATAGTTCCAACATTGTATCTTGTTTCAAGATAAATTCTTTTTTTTGGGGTCTCAACATGCATTTAGGATCGGGCAATAACTGTGTCAGAATTAAACTGATATGCCATTACATTTCTTACTTATCAAAACAATTATTACTTACCCTGTTCAATTTAAGAAGAACACATGGCTGACCATCTTCATAACCAAATGATTGCTGTTTGACACAGTCTGCCCCGAGAAGTTGGATGTCAAATCGGCAAGCTTTGTCCCAATCCTCACTTGGTCTCAACTTATCGAAGGTAGAACAATCAGTCATGATACCGGTTTCTGTCTGCTGGTATTCATTCTCATAGTCTAAAAACATCAACAACATCACAACTTGACAATTAAATATTATCTTAGCAAGGCACTGTTGTGAATCTTAAACCAATTAAGTATATAAGCAGATTAGAGCACTATGGACCGATGCTATGTTTTAAGATTAAGGGCGGAAAAATCATATCAGCGTAGTAAAGATTGAATTAAAGAAGTCTGTACTATTTATTTTGTTCAGTTTCAGCCCAAACCCTAAGCCCTTACTTACAGGAAGATTAAGGTTAAACATATCTTAATCTTAGTGATGTTGACAAAATCAACTTAAAATCTCAACCTATGATAAGAGGTCCATGAAAGGTACAATCACACTAGTTCTCTAGATCAAACAATATATAAAGTAACTTTTCTTAAAGACATAAAAATTATGAATAATTTACAATAATTTACTTACATTGGAGGAAACTTTCTATATGGTCCACATAGGGTGTGTATGTTGATGCCCTGGCTTTGTTGAATCGGATCAAAGTGGTTTCTACATTTGGTAAGGGTCTAAAAGCCAAACCTGTGCATGAATGAAAGGTTATCACTAAATAAATTGTGAAGAAGAGGCAATTAAAAGGGAATGTAGCTTCCCTAACATAGCGTATACATTCACTTTTTCAAATTAGACACACCGGTATTCATGATGTTACAAGATTTCAATAATTTCAATAAAAGAATTTTACCAAAAGATGAGCATAGTTTAACTATATCTTTAAAATAAACGTATAAAACTTCCTATTTCACTTGTACATTGTCAATGATTGTGTTACTCTGTGATAATGAAACATAAAACTTCCAATGCATATATTCTAAATTAAACATATTGCAAAACCATTACAAACAGAAAGGCTTTTCCACTCTTTTTCGTCTTTATTTTTTATTGATATTATTATAAACTACAGATATGTAATGATGCAATTTCCCAAAATTCAGAATTCATGAAGCATAAATTATTCTGTTTGTAAATGGTATCACCTTGACAACTGAAATACATCAATAGTTTCAACTACATTTGTATGACCCCTATATCACATTTCATACCTACCACTTCTGCAAGCATATAAATAATGTTACATACTTTGAATTAATAACCAAACCATTACTTATTTAAATTAGAAAAAACATCCTATATCAATCATAAGAAGTTTTAAAACAGAATATGTTTAAGATTTCTTATTCCTTCTTACCACAAACATACAGGATGATCAAATCACATTATAGGCTTCAACAACATGAATCAAGTCAACAAAATCATGCATGAATTATGTTAATGGTTTCAACTTTGGATAAATCCTTTTGTTGTGAAATTTGTAATATTTACAGTGTGAATAAAACAAGAAACCATAAAAACAATTATGGGGCTTTATTTATTCATGAATACAGACAATAAAATTCAGTTCATTTCAGACCTGGACCACACTGTTTTTCCTGATAGCTGTCTAAAAGTTCAGAGCCTTTTACTATTTTCCCCTAATTTACCTTTATTATTTCATGACTTTTTCCTTTTAAGATGGCAAGGACCTTTTTCTAACTGAGTGAAAAAGCTACAAAATAATGTGGATGATGTTTAAATTTTATGCTTTTCTTACAAAATTTCAGTCATCAGCAGACTTCACTTTACCAGTAAAACATATTTTGCACCAGTATTAACCGGTTCAGAAAAAAAAAACACTATAAAACCCTGTGAACTTGTACACAAGGGTCACCCTTATCAATGAAGGCAAATAAAAATTGGTTGTCAGAGTACAGGATGCAATGATAACAATTATATCAATAATAATTGTGTCCCCAAAAGTTTGGAAGTTTTATTACTTTAAAATGTTCTTATGTGAGTATTATCAGTTCAATAATGAACTTGACAGCAAGGTCTTGGATGATATCATTTAAGGTATTCACAGCACCAACATTAAAAACACTGCATGACAGCCATTGTAGCTAAGGAATGACGCACAACTGGCCATAAATAAGCAAAAAGTAGGTCAAGTACTCAAATAACAAACAGCTTTAAAAAGTAAACAAACAACTTCAGTAATTTACAAATATATTTGACTTGAAACTCTATACTGAGTAAATCTGATGTTTTGATATTAGTTAAACTTACTATTGCGTAAAGATGCTAACTTAAGTGCACTTAAATTTGCTTTAAATGAAAAAAATTTTCTTCCCTACATGCATAAAATTGGAAGAAAAGAAGTAACTTTTATTATACTTTACCTGTTTCCAGACCATAAATTTTGTAAACTAGATTGTGTCATGTACATACTGTATAAAGATGTGTTTTAAAACACATAATGATGAATACTAATGTGCATTAAGGTAATGGAATGTGCAATAAATAAATAAGAAAGAAGTTTCAATAAAGTCAACAGTGTTTCAATATTGTTTCTACCAATTAACTATTAAACAACAAGAGACAACAGAGCAATTAGAAACTGGTTTTAATGGACTTTTCCATATAGTTGAAAGATTGCTTTATATTTTTGGTTGGGTTTTACATCACATGTATATATATATATATATATGTTGACTTGTAAAGGTCATATGGCGACTTTCAAGCTTTACTGGTGGAGTAAGACCTCAGCTGCCGCTCTGTTCATTATTTCAGGCACAATTCAGCACCCGAGTAGAACCACTGACAGGCAAGTGGTTTAAAGTCGAACCACTGACAGGCAAGTGGTTTAAAGTCAACAATGATGTCTCAACTAAGGATGCCCATGAAAGATTGAATATGCTAATGGACCATCCTTTTAAATAAAGTAATTCCAGCCCCCTATTGTTGAATAAAGCTATCACAAATGTAAACCAAACAAGAAAATCCATGCATTTGGAAACCACCATTAAAGCTTTTCATCTTCATTTATCTCAATTGACACATGACCAAAATTTGCTCTTAAAAATGGTAATTTAAGTCACTTTTATATATCTCGATATTTATTTTGAAAGGATGCAATGAAGAACACAAAATGTTGTATTGCAAGAGGATAGGGAATTATGGTTGATGGTGTGCTTTTGTGTCAGTCAACCCTTTCCTGTAGACCATATGCTTACTAGTTAAAACTGTTTTAGATCCATCACATAATAAATACCCTCCATCTCAAACAGAAACCTGCACATGTCCAGCACTGCAGAACAATATTCCTTATTAATTTTCTCCAATATTTCAGACAAGCATATTACACGGTCCAGAATTATTTTTTCGGTACACATTCCTATTCTGGTTGGATTTCAAGTCACACCAGGCATCGTTACTTTACTATTGCTTTATGATGCATAAGGAAGGCAAAATAGACAAAAAAGGATTTGATCCTTTTACATAGTAATTTTTCTTTGTTTTAAACTGTAGACCTAAAGAATATATATCAGCTTCATCAGTTAAGTGATCCAATAATTAACATATGATATACCACATATGGTCTACAGGGTCATCAATGAATTGCAGTTTTCTTTATGAGCACATCCATCACATACCTGGAATGGCTTTAAGGAGAGAGTCGGTACCTGTCAAGCGGGGGACATCACTGTTAAGGGTCTGGTAGAATACTGTTATCATACCAAGAAAGAACAGTGCCAATACAGAGTAGTAAACTCCAAAGAATAGCCCAAGTCCTCCTGCAAAAATACAGGTAAAAAACACATGCCTAACATGCTTCAAAAAGTACCTGGACTCTGTTTGAGCAATGAGTCCGAGCCCATTAATCGTGGCTCAGTGTAGTCCAACATTGAGAAAAATACGGCCAACATCCCAGAGAAAAATCCCGCAAGGCACACATAGTACACAATGTAGAAAAGTGTAATTTCACCTGCAAAGTAAAAACCTTCACCATTTAGAAACCCTACATCCTTTGTTATATACATAATACATAATAAATACCTGGATTCTGTTTGAGCAATGTATCAGAGCCTTGCAATTTAGGTACATTCCAGTCCAATGTATGGTAAAACACGGCTAACATGCCGGCAAAGAATCCGGATAGGCAGGCATAGTAGATAATGTAGAAAAGTGTAATTTCACCTGAAACAAAATGTAAACATACTCTAATTAATACATGTACAATATGTGGTGAATAATTCGATTTTCTTGGAGTAGAAGATTGGCAGAGAAACTTTCCACACTGCAGTTACTACAACATGAACTTAAACCTTGACCTTTTGACAGTTAAGGAAGAATTGGGGAAGAAGAGAGATCTATGTTGAGAAAACTGTCATCTCACACAAGGCAGCTACAAAGATAGTATAAATGTACATCTAGATTAATTCATCCGTCTCCCAATCCTAGAAACAAGATACATTTGCAAAATAAAGCCATGTCAAACAAAACCATCAACATTCCAAGATCATTTTATCAAAATCACCAAAATACCTAAAGTAAAACAAGAAAAGGTTAGGCAAAGAGCTTATTTAACAAGAAGCCAGGTATGCATTTCAAAAAGAGATTCATGACAGTCATGGAAGTTTCTGACTTAGTGTTGAGACAACAACCAAACATGATATACAGCTTTTATATCAGACAAAATATGTCTCAAACATCACCAAGAACCCTTTATTGGATCACAAGATATGAAAATTAGATCAATAAATATGCCACTGAGACACCTTATCATGAGGAAGTAACCTTTCATCATATAAGCTGCTTAAACGAAGTAAAATCCTCCATAAATGATTTAAATACCCCCCCCCCCCCTTAAGTACATTATGATTAACTAATATGCTATGAATTTCTTTACAAATCAAAATTTTATGGAGTTATTCACATCAAATTTGAGGAAGTTGTTCTATTTTAAAAAGTTATCTATTTTAAAAAGTTATCATTAAATAATTTGATTTGCCAAACAATTTCAGTGAATTTGTTTTTAAATTCTTCAAGCATCTATGGTGAGAGTGACATTTTAATAATTCATTCTCATGTCCTAAATATGTCATGAATGATAATAAAAGTTGACTGTTTTAACATTTAATGACACTGTACACTCTGTTTATTACATTAAGATGCATCAAGCAATGCAGAAAACTTAATGTCATATAAAAATAATGATATATTTAATTTTCTTTATTAAATTAATATGATTCATAAAAATAAAGAAAAATTCTGATTAAATTAAAACATTAATTATGGAAAAAAACAAGATCATTTTCATTAAAAATTAAACTAATAGAAAACTCAAAATCTAGTAATAGAAAACACAAAAACTTTTTATAGAAAATTCAAAATCTTACAGCAACAAGTAAACTTTGGGTACACCTGTAATGGTAGCGGGCGAGATGGGGAAAAAGAACACAATGGAAAAATAAAATAACCATGCTGCAAGTCTAGACAAGGAGATTCATCAGCCCACAATAAAAAATTCTGATGATGCAGTCTTAATTAATCTGTGTACTGCTTGCCTCATTACTGCTCATATACATGTTGCTTTTCATTATCATCAATACTGTTAAAATGCTTCAGCAATGAAAACTGGGTGCAGAGTGAGCAGGTTATAACATGTACATTATTTGTACTGGAGAGTTTCAGTCAATACTCCATAGAAGTGGTACTATGGCATAAAAGTTGCCAATCAATAAAATGCTATTGAATATTAAATACTCTCCTTTAAAAAGGGCAAATAAATTTTAAGTTTGTTATCAGCTTTAGTCTATAAATTATATTAAGAGTGGGGTGTCAAGTGTTTTAACTCAATAAGTAAGTGAACCAGTTTGGGAGAAAATTATACATCAGTACGTATGGACTATCAAAGGTGGAAAAAAACAAACATATCTTGTATTACAAGTATGATAATGCAATAAACATGGAAGCATAATAAATGTTTTACTCTTTTACATACATTTTAAGGAGTAAAAATACTCCTGCCAAATTTCAGATTTCAAGTTTTACTCATTCACAAAAAAATCAATGAGTAAATACTCATTGCCCTAAAAAATTATCTGGAGCCCTGAACAACTTGTAAAACACCATACCTTTTATACAGTGCTTTCTTAGCAAACCAAACATTTACATTTTGAAACAATGAAAAGGCAAAAAATACATACAAAGATAATATATTTTGATTTTTGTATAAACAAGTTTTCTAGATATAAAAATTACCTGTACAATTACTTTAGTCTCAATACAAAGGTCTGAATACTGTCTATTGTCTACATTTATTTTAAGCCTAAGGTGTGTAAATACTTAACCAGGATTATTTACAGCTTTCCTTTTTAGTAATTTTATGGCTTTTTGTTACTATATATAGCTTAAATATCAAAATGCATATAAAATTAGAGGAAATGGCAGGGTTGTGTTCTGTTTTAATGAAAGGCAAATTTTGTCATTAATAGCAGGGATACTTGTCAGAACATAGTTCAACCATAAATTTTTCAACTTTGCAACAGATTTAGCAAGTACCAAATTTAGAATCCTTAAAATAAAGTGCCATAAACAAACAAGACAGTTAAGAAAATAATATTGAACTTATCATGATTTTTTTTATTTATTTAAATATTACATTAATCTAGGTCAAAATTGAGAATCAGTCATCTTACAAAGTTACAAGGGCATGACCAATGTTCATAATGGCAAACTGACATGATAGTACACAACCTGATGTCAATTTATAATTCATGACACAAATCTAGCTAACAACTGTGAAAGTACATGAAAGTGTTGATCTACACTATATGTATGTAAGCCAACCTATATATGTTTCGTTTAAATTTTCTCCACTTAAATGTTTCCTTTTATGTGTTCTACCAAAGCAAATAGGCTTGAACCAAATTTAATTCAGCTGAACTGTAACATCATTGGAAAGTTTGTATACAGTCAAACAGCTATTGAATAATTGTTTGTACCTCTTTCATAACTATTTTCAATCATAAATACACACAATACAAGAAAGCAGACAATGTAACTGCAGTTTATGTTACATCATCAAATGAAAAGCTGTTATTGTATATGACAGGACTCCTTTGTTATCAGGGCAGTTTTGACATAAATTCCCCATGGAGAACCTTACACTATTTACTACACAGCCAGTCAAGCATATCTTGCCTTATCTAGATATTGACCCAAGGGGGACACTCAAACAGAGCAGGTAAATAGTGTCAAGTGTGCCTAGAGGCAAGGCTTTGTACTCTGGATGAATACTTTATTTGAAGGCCCTTTAAAATCACACTGGTCTAGAAAAAAATTAAGGACAAAGAAAAGGTGAAATATATTCATAAATGCTTGCCAAACTATTCATTAAAAAAACTTGAGACTTGCCAAACTATTCATTAAAAAAAACTTGAGAGTTAACCACAATTTTCACTACAAGTTAATTTCTTATTTACAAAATAACAATGACTTTAACATTATACATCATTATGTAGGCCTATTGTGTTACAACTTAGATAATGATTTAAATACACTGATAATATGTGTTTTCAAAAATCACTGGAGTACGACATTTTTACAAGGTATATCTGCTTACTAAAAAGCTTTAATATAAGTTATAAACATAAACAAAATTATGTGTCATCTTTATTTACTTGAAAGTAATACATTCCACCTTTGGAATCTTTGAAATAAATCAAAGACACTCGGTCAATTCCACAGACGCTTAAAGTAATACATTCCACCTTTGGAATCTTTGAAATAAATCAAAGACACTCGGTCAATTCTACATGGTTTAACACTATTATATAATTTTTTCACATTTCAGGCCATAATTTTGTTATAAACTGGTTAATCTCTAACACTATTAAGATAATAATATTTGTTTTCTTATGTTAAGTTTCTTATCAATGTTACATAAGCATTCATGACTGAATAATTATGATAAGAAGCCAACACTAAATATTAGATAATGAAAAAAAAGTTATCAGTGATGTCATATAAAAGGTTTATTTTTGCTAGCTTGCAGAGACTGGGACCTATGATGAACCCCATCATTTTAATGTCACTTTAAACATCACCCAAATAAAAATCATAAATCTAAAATATATGTGAGACTAGTATATAATAAAGATCTGGGACACAGGTTATAAATAATTTAAACTGTTAATTTGAATGGTCTATATTTTGTTTTTTCAATTCTGAATGCGGATACATTTTCTCTGTATTTTGGTGTTTTTTTCTTTAAATATATTAGAATCTTTAGTATTGGAAATCATATGAGAAATTTGCCAAATAAATAATCAACTGAATGGACTCGATTTGCAAAAACTTATCTGGCTTAAGTAAGATTAGACGGGCAGCACGAAATACCCAAATATACCCAAATACACCCAAATATACCCACATTTTGCCCAAATATACCCAAATATTGCCTAAATATACCCAAATATTGCCCATTTATACTTAAAATAAATGTTTAATACTAAAAAAGTGCTGTTTTAATCATGAATACAATATACACTTTCACTAAGATATAATGAAACATACCCAAATATACATTTTCCTATCATTGTGTTTTGAACCAAAATACAGTATATGTACTCTATTAAAGCTATTTTTTTAATAACATGGACATTCTTCTTCTATATGATATGAAAGTTCAACAAAATTGCACCTTAAAAATGTAAGTGTAGACAACAAATTTCATATCTTGAATTAAAATTTCAAGTACATTCATAATAGATAAGCAAATGTCACAACTTTATTTTCTTACAACATCTTAACTGTCCATTTCAACGGAATGAATGAAAGTTATAGCAGGCTAAGTCATATTATTTTATAAATATTTATTTATTTCTCATTATTATCTATATTTTATACAAACAAAAATAAATATTGCTATATTTGGGTATATTTGGCTATATTTGGGTATTTCGTGCCGCCGGATTAGACATGTCATTCTGACTCGAGGTTTCCGATAAACTGTTAACACAGCAAAGTAATGAACCTTTAAACAAAAAAAAACTAAATTAATTCATCAGGCAAGTTAACCTAGTTTTATAAATTACATGCAAAAATCGTTCTACTACAGTAAAGTAATTAACTACATCCCTCATGTGAAACAATGTTTCCTTAATTGTAATTCATGAAATTCAGTGGTAATTTTGTATGATAAAGCTAGACATTATGCACCAAGACCATCAAGACATACACTGTCAAGTATGACAATAAAGACAAGTTGTCTTGAAACATAACCAGCCCTCAGGGCATCTTTCAATCCAAGGTGACCTCTCAAAACTACTAACGCAGGTAAAATGAAACTGAATCCATTTTCTTCATGCCTTATATAGCTAAAATTGTTCCTGACACATATAGTGCAATAGAAAGCAAATATCAATATGAAAATACTTGAAGAAAACAAAAAAACGACCACCACAATTAATAAATGATAATAAAATGACTGTAAAATACTCAAAAATCCTAGCCGAGCAAACGAAAAAGTGGTGGGGTATTGATAAAGTTTATACGACTGCAGTGCGGAAATAAAAACAAAGATAACAAAACAGAACAAGGCAGAGACAAAAAACACACAGTTACAGAACATCAAATATCAATTTCATTTTATAAAAGCATTTCAATATCAAATCAATCCAAGCGTGGAAAAACATTGACCGGCGAAAAGGTTAAATTAATTATTGTCGCGTTTTCGTTGTTAAACTTACCCCAGCTTTTTGCAGTGCGGCCAAGAACTTTACCCTCTTCGGAATTGTAAAGAAAATTTCCAAAATCCTGAAATCTTTGAGTAATTCCTCCACTCTGTGGTCCTGAAACCGTGGTATCAACGGCCGTGCTGCCTGCTGTGGACGCCATCTTTCTAGCAAAGAATGAAATGCCCGTATGTATAAACTATGACCTCGTACCTAATCCATAAATAAAATGAAATGTGCGCTTGACGTCACACCAAGTCAACCGCATCGGGGAACCGAAAGGGTGACACGAAATAAGATAGCCATGTCTAAGTGTTTGACAGCTTTATTTATGTTAGTTTTTTTACATGCTTATGATATTCTCATTTTCTTTATTGATCTACAGTTTGATAACGTTTATTCCAAGGTCGTAAATATAGCTTGTCCCCACATTGGACCTCATCATTGTATGTCCTGTGTTCAGCTATATATGAGCTCTTATTTCGAAATAATCGTTTTGTGGTTTGCGAAATGCAATGTTTTACAATTAAAACAATTAAATACGGTGTTCTTATTTGAACTTATATAAATTTCACGAGGAACAATACAACTGACTATCGGCGTTACCCGATCGTTGAGTTTTTGTTAAATCGATCTACTCTATATTAATTAACTAATTAATATACTATTTAATTAATTTATATCTTAATTTCAGTGGCGTAGCTTCCTTTAGGCACTGTAGGCACGTGCCTACACTTTTTCCGCAGAAATGAAAAATGAAATGATTACAAAAATGCAATAATAATTTAAGGGTAAGGGCGGTAGATGTGTAGGTCCTAATTTTAGAAAAAGAACTGTCACCTTATTTGAAAATATATCGAGTTTTATTTCATAACGAAAGTGTTGCCGTGCTATAAAGTTGTTATGTGGTAAAACCTATCAGAGACGCCACGGATAAAGTTTTTAACAATATAAAAGTTTTTGAGCGCTTCGATTCAAAATATAAATATTACAAGTATGCACGACCAGGATAATTATTCCATATCTAGATATCGGTAGTGCTAGCTTTATACAACTGATGAGGAAACTAAGTGATATCTTTCGAATGAAGCCTTGACATCTTGTCTTTTATATTCTCTTCCATTCTTAAGATATTCATGATTAAATTATGTGTACGTTATTCTGTTCAAACTGCATCTCCGTCAAATCTTGAGCACAAAACACAAAGTAGAATTGAAACCTGGCAAGTTCATAAAGTCGCTTTGAAGTAAACGTGAAACATAATCTGTGTTACGATAAGTTTTTTAAAATGTATTTTAATGATATATACAAGTTTTGTGTTCGAATACACATCAAATTCTGCATTAATTAGCGTAGTGGTGGAGAGTTTGCTATTAAAGCTAGCGATGTAATTCTTTTTTTTAAATTTATACTTAGTTGAAACTTTATTTATTCATTAAATTGCACATAAAGTAACATTTACAAATATTTCTCAACAATGTTATCCAGACAAGTAAAACAATACCTCTCCAGCTAAAGTAGATACAAAAATGTTGCGGATAGATGTAAGCTCTTTGAAATAGAGAAAATAAAACTCCTCAAAGAAAGCCTAACACGGCAAAATTGAAAATGTTGCAGGCTCTGTTTGATGAAAGTACAATTAAAAATAAGAGAATAATTGGTTGTTGAATTATCACTATATAGAGAGACTTAGGTAACTTATGGAGAAATATTAGAAGAAATGAAGCATGTAAGGAAAAACATGATTGAAAATATCCGATTTTTTAGTTCTTAAAATAAACATGTAAATGAATATGAGCGTTCTGACATGCCAAGTTCATTTACACTGATAGTAATTCTTTTTCTTTCATTACTGTTGGTAACGTACTTATTGAATTACACTGTAAATTTTGGGAACACTACACGTGTTTTACCAGTGTTTTAAACAAAAACACTGACGTTTTCATATAAAATGCTTATGTTTTGTATACGTTTCAGTGAAAACACATATGTTTTATTCATGTTTTCCGCTCGATGCCCAGAAAACGGTGGTGTTTTCACAGGACAACCTAGAATCTGGAACATCCCAGCTAGAATATATAATTAAATAATTTTACATTATTGAATGAGTTGAAGTCACGCAAGTGTTGTGAATAGGCCACATGTAAAAAAATAATGAGACAAAAACATCATTTGTGTCGGAAAATTCGTATATACTTGTCATCCGGAAATCTGAAAACACGTGTTTCGGCCGAAAACACGTGTTTCGGCCGAAAACACTAAGGTTTAATCTGACAGCGGTTACTTCCCCTTAGCACAAAAAACATGAATTGATTATTTTTTTTTTTATAATTAGAATTATTTTTGTACAATCCCCATATTAAAATATCTAGATCCAGAAACAAATTATGATGAATTCAATTACATAAAATATTTTATAATAAATAAATTCGAATCATAGCAGCCAGATGCTTGCGTGTAAAGAGTACGCTTCGATTGATATCTCCGTAAAGCGTCTGGCGATGTAGCACATTGTAGATCAGACGACAAAAACCGCCAGAAATTGTTTGCCTCATTTTTGTTGTTTCTTCCATAACAGATATGTACAATAGTTGCTTAAACAGATTTGTTAATATTTTTAACGTTTTTACAGGTGAATGGTTAGGTTTTATGTACTATATAGTCCATTTTCGCTTCGATAGACGAATTGAAACAGGTGGGTGGGGAATGCTGTTTACGTTACGTGATTAGATTGGTCAGTTATTTCTGTTTGTGCAAAAATTACTAAAACTGTTGGTGTTCTTTTTCACGGATTTGTATTCAAATCACTTTGGGGTAGTTTTAAGTTGTATCGTTTGTTTCCTTGTTAAGGATTAAAATAATTTAAATTTGTCTTTCAACTGGTCCACCAGGGCAGGAGTATTTCTGTCCACACACACTTTCTAACAACAAATTGAAGTAAAATCTTATTTACATTTAGTGATGTAGGAAATGGCGCATGATGTCCAATGATCAGCTATGGGATTGACTATATGTTTATACCTGTCTGATAATGCAGGTATATAAATTAACAATTTTTATCTAGGGGCCCAGACTATTTTACATTTATAGTTAGAGCAACTTCGGGTAATGTCGACACTGGTGTAATTTCGACACCTTCTTTCATTTTCCTATTATATTAACAATATAGCACCATTTTTTACTTTATTTAAATCAATTGTACGATGTCAGAACTATGTGACGTCATCACTTGCTCTTGGTCTCTTAGGCATTCTTCCTTTTCTAGAAATTTCCGGTCTATGGATGCCATTGCTCGTAACTTTTTCCGAAAAAACGACATTTACAGAATCTTATAAGAAGGGTCGATAACTCAGGCACATAACTTTGTCATCATTTCGTATTTTTGTATTAGTTTCAATGCAAATAAACCTTAAATATGAATGTTATGAACATTTAACCTTGAGTTCATTCTCAATTATAAGACGCATAACAATTGTACAGGGGTGTCGAAATTGAACGATACTTATCTTCTCTGTCGGCCAATTTCGACACATAGTCATAGAAATATTAAAACTTTAAATTCACAACAGTAACTAGCTCTACATGCATAAATAATGAATTCAAATACGTTAATTAGAAAAAAAACAACAACAAAAAAACATTATGTTTTCTTTTTTAATTTCAAGTTGCCAAACTGCAGAATGTTATTCATAATTTCCAAGTCGCTGTATTGACATTGCAAACTTACTTCATCAAATATGCATTTTAACCAACATAAAGATTTAGCATCACCAAGTCCTTTCATAAATTGCTGTCTATTCAGCCTTTGCAGTCTGCTAACCCTGTATTTTCTTCTTGCACAGACATCTCTGTACACTGTCATAAACACTGAGTCATCTGCTCAGTCCTATGCTGTTTCCTTATCCTGTCTCGTTTACTGACAAAGGACTACCGACTACTGTCATGAGCATTAAATCTTCTGCTCGCTATATGTCCTCCGATAGTCCTCTATTGTCTTTGGACAAAAGTTCAGTGTACTTTCATAATCAATGTGTCGTCTCCTTGTCTTGTATTGCATGTCTACAGAGAACGTCAGAATCAAATTCTGAAATTCCCACTTATGCTGACACTGACGACGACTTTGGTCAACGTAGCCAGTGTTCTGGATGCACAAATAATGAATGAAAAGGATGGTGGCACTGACAAATGGGTTATGTGTACTTTATGTCCAAATAGATGGCATTTTTTCATGTACAGTTGAACCTATGAATTTTAAGTTGAGTAAGTGATAAAATACACTTTTGTTTGCCAGCTAGTTTTGTGTCCAGTTTGATAATTAATTGTCAATGGATATGCGTATATATATGTACTTAATACGCAATATATATACTTCAAATCATCGTATCAAAAGCAATGAACAGGTAACGTTCTTATCAATCAAATATATCCTTGCATGAACTGTATAATTATGAACCTTTTCAGAACTTAAAAGAAACGTGTTTTTTACTTCGAAAATGAATTGTTTTATTTATTATATTTGAACATCGGTCCTCGAATTATTTCATTAGTTGAATGTCATTTTATTGTCTTATACTGAAAATTGGAATTATATTTAATGATTGAATATGGTTTATAAAATCTTTATCTAGTTGCACAGTAAAAAATAAAGTTTATGTTCCTTTTCATCAAATTTTGGAGCATGTCAAAAATTAGACGAAACATTCAAAATTTATACAAATATCTATGTTCGTAAGAGAACATTGCGATCAAAAGCATTTTGTTCTTTCATATCAAGAAGTTCCCAAAATTTTATTTTCAATTGGGGGGTTTAAAATCGGACGTTAATATCGAACCTCTTTTTAGAAAAATTTTTTCCTTTGTGTCAAATTACCCAATTTTTACTCTATTTTGCATTTCTTCTGGGAAAACTCCCTACCCAAATTTAAATTTGCGACGGATCCCTTTATTTTATACCCCTGTAAGGGAAGCCCGATGGGCACACTGACAAAGTCTGCACTCTTACCCTATGCTACGACTGGATGTAAACAATACGTTCGCACAGGGCATGCGCGATTGTTAAATCCCACCCATTTTATTCGATTAAATTCTAGAACAACCTCTACTTTCGGTTTCAATTTTGCTGACAAGGAACAGTTTGATTCAACGTAAGTGTTAATAATAGTAGCAATGTCCAAAACTTTGCACTACACGGCGTAATTTTCATTACATATCGGGTATTATTACCGTCATGGTAGTTTTTATTCCAGTCGGTCAAAATGACGGTACACATTTACATGTAAACAAACAGATTTAACTTCTCAGACAATTTAAATAAGGAATGGACACACGGTAAACTCTGTTGCAACGTAAAGTATATTCATAAACCTACTGTTTGTGAAAAATTGTCTCCGTGTTCAAATAAATTTCAAAAACGGGGAAAAAAGCAGTCTTTTACCGATACCCTGCAACTAAGGCTCCCACGTTTACAATTTTTTGTAAACGTTTACACGATTGCTAAGAACCGAAACGATACCGTTTAAACGGTGGTACCTCTATGTACTATACACACCATGTATTTGAGTCGCCAAATGATGTCTTTCTTTCTATTTTTAATGCATGTACAAATAAAGAATTTTCAGGGCTCATCACGATTGAGTCAGCACACATTTTTTGCATTGTAACCCCATTTTTTACCAAAAATGTATTATGTCAATCATGAGCAATTTTGCACGGTAATGCTGTGTGGAGGGTTGTAAACACCCATTTTCCGTTTGTTTACTTTGGAATAAACCACTAGAATTGATAAAATCCATGATTACAGGCAATGATTAAGAAATTTTGTAAGACAATATGGTCATTTCGATTAAACGGTAAACAATATCGTAAACGTTTATGAATGAAAATCGAAACGAATCCATTTAAACGTGTAATCGTGGGGGCCTTACCTGCAACTGAACCTTATTATTCTGACGAATTAAATTGACTTTATAACGCTCGTATACAATTATTTATTGATCGATTTTCATTATATTTATTTTGTAATACCTATCATTCAATATGCAATCACACAAAACCAAGTTTTCCTACATTCAATGAAATTGTAAGTTAGGACGAGCTTTCAAAACGAACAGATAGCAATTTCCAACACGCTTAACGAAACTCCAACATGGCGGCTCAACCTGGCTCATTTGCATAATTTATTCATAAACGCAGGAGCATAGAACTTTCAGTTTGTTAGTGGGGCAGGTATTAATAATTGTCATTTAACAGTAACTGTATAAACCTTTTGATTGAAATTTCCTATAAACCCCCACCCCCCTAAATTTCTTTATTTTCAATATTTTATAAACTTTAGAATGAAAAGACAAATAAACATATATAGTTCTATATTATTATCACACATTTATAATAAATGTTCCTTTGTAAGGGTGCAACTATTCAGCTTTCTCTGGATTTGATTCTTAATTCCATTAATTTCGATTTGATTATTGAGGCTAAGTTAACATTAATTTTATATAGGGAATACTTTAAAAATAATTTTTAACTACACTTAAACTTTATTTAGGACAGCAAAGAAAAACATACTGAATAAAACTTTTAAACAACATAGCTAGAAAACAGAAACCATATCATGTTACATTCAACGTGTTTTGATTTGGATAAGCAAGAACACGTTGTCAAGTAAAGAAACGCTTATATTATATATAATATTCAAATATAAAACATTCAATTAATATCAGAAAGTCAAAGTGTTTTTCCCCTACTTTGAGAATGGTGCTGGTACAATTAACGGTACCGGACAGATTGGGAAAAAATCCATCGGTTTGACTTAAATTGGGAATTTTATTTTAGATGCAAAATATTTATTGGGAATTTCTTTTATCCAGGGAGGTGATGAAAATTTTGCATAATTATACACTTTAAAATCATGTATTATTAACTTTAAAGCTTATTTTTGCTGCTTGAGGTTGAAAAAAAAATTGATAATCATAACAATTGTACATAAATAATGTTTAGTAGGTGTGAAACGTAAAGGGGAGCGGTGGCCTAGTGGTTAAGGTGTCTGCCTCTCAAACCAGAGATCATGGGTTCGAGCCCTATACGGGTCACGACCATATTTCTTCATATGACACCAGTACTGGTTGGTTCCAGGAAGCGGACTCGAAAGTGATTGATATAAGTTGCAAGAACTTGTTTCGCAATCGAGCTAAAATAAATATGTTTAAAACCTTAAACATAAAGTACGAAATGAACTGGGTACGAATATCACTCATGTGGTTTTACTTGGTTTTTATCGTATATCACTTATCAATACGGAAGGCTCCGAGGCATGCATTACTGTTTTTAGAGGTAATTTTCAGTGTTAAATTTGGAATTTATCAGTCATGAATTGGAAAATTTGCTGTCTATTTTCTATTGGGAACGGTGCCGTTTTCCGGTATCTGAGTTATATAAGGAAAAATACTGGGTTGTTGTTAAGATTTTAGTCATTGACTAGATTTCTACCAGAATTTTTTTGTTTTTACTCTTCTTGTGCAAGTTGTGGTTATAGAGTGTGATGAACATATTGACTCTTTGTAAAACGCTTAAATACAAAGACAGTTGCTAAAAAATATCAAGATCTCAAGTTTGTTTTGCCCCTGTCTTGCATATCTGTAATGGAAGAACAGTTATTATGGATAAATACAGGTACTTCAATAAAATGTAATTTTGGGTACTGTCAGATCTACATGTTACGCTACAAGTTTCTTCTCATAATTACATATTTAACAACTAGTATGGCTAATCAGTACAAAATTTTGGAGGTGTTACACTACAAGGCAGAAGAGAATATCTGTCCTTGCAAGCAGTCTTGAAGACCTTCTGAAGAAAGGTAAGTATTTTTACACACTACAGCACAATTACAACACAGTGTTAGGTTGTGTGCTCAAAAGAGGAATCTCAGAATTATTTAGAATATAAAGCCTTGTCATAAGAAAATCTGTACAGGTGTGACTACTGTACAGCCACAGTTGTTGGCGTAAAACACTTTGTGAAAGTCTGGTGATCCAGATGCCAAGTAAAACCGTTTAATATATGAATAGAAAAAAATAGACATTTCACAATATCATAGCTTTATTTACATTTGAATTGATTTTTTAAAAAAAGAAATGTGATTCTACCTTTCTGTGTTTAATTTTTATGCCCCCATTTCGAAGAAAAGGGGGTATATTGCTTTGCACTTGTCGGTCCGTCGGTCCGTAGACCAAATGGTTTCCGAGTGATAACTAAAGAACCCTTAGGCCTAGGAACTTCAAACTTGGTATGGTGATTGGTCATGACCAGTAGATGACCCCTATTGATTTTGGGGTCAAAGGGTCAAAGGTCAAGGTCACATTGACCTTGTAAGCAAAAACGGTTTCCGATCAATAACTAAAGAACCTGAAGGCCTGGGAACTTCAAACTTGGGATGGTGATTGGTCATGATCAGTAGATGACCCCTATTGATTTTGGGGTCAAGGGGTCAAAGGTGAAGGTCACATTGACCTTGTAAGCAAAAACGGTTTCTGATCAATAACTAAAGAACTTTAAGGCCTAGGAACTTCAAACTTGGTATGGTGATTGGTCATGATCAGTAGATGACCCTATTGATTTTGGGGTCAAGGGGTCAAAGGTCAAGGTCACATTAACCTCTTGGGTAAAAACGGTTTCTGACCAATAACAAAAGAACCCTTAGGCCTAGGAACTTCAAACTTGGTATGGTGATTGGTTATGACCAGCAGATGACCTCTATTGATTTTGGGGTTAAGGGGTCAAAGGTCAAGGTCACATTGAATTTGTAGGTAAAAACGGTTTCCGATCAATAACGAAAGAACCCTTAGGCCTAGGAACTTCAAACTTGATATGGTGATTGGTCATGATCAGTAGATGACCCCTATTGATTTTGGGGTCAAGGGGTCAAAGGTCAAGGTCACATTGACCTCTTAGGTTAAAACGGTTTCCGATCAATAACTAAAGAACCCTTAGGCCAAGGGACTTCAAACTTGGTATGGTGATTGGTCATGACCAGCAGATGACCCCTATTGATATTGGGGTTAAGGGGTCAATGGGCAAGGTCACATTGACCTTGTAGGTAAAAATGCTTTACAATCAATAACTTAAGAACCCTTAGGCTTAGGAACTTCAAACTTGGTATGGTGATTGGTCATGACCAGCAGATGACCTATTGATTTTGGGGTCAAGGGGTCAATGGTCAAGGTCACATTGACCTTGTAGGTAAAAATGGTTTCGGATCAATTAACTAAAAACGCTTAGGCCTAGGAACTTCAAACTTTGTATGATGATTGGTCATGACCAGCAGATGACCCCTATTGCGTTTTGGGTCAAGGGGTCAAAGGTCAAGGTCACATTGACCTTGTAAGTAAAAACAGTTTCAGATCAAAAACTTAAGAATGCTTAGGCCTAGGAACTTCAAACTTGGTATGGTGATTTGTCATGACCAGCAGATGACCCCTATTGATTTTGGGGTCAAAGGTCAAGGTAACATTGACCTTGTATGTTAAAACGGTTTCTGATCAATAACTAAAGAACGCTTCGGCCTAGGAACTTCAAACTTGGCATGGTGATTGGTCATGACCAGCAGATGACCCCTATTGATTTTGGGGTCAAAGGTCAAGGTCACATTGACCTTGTATGTTAAAACGGTTTCCGATCAATAACTAAAGAACCCTTAGGCCTAGGAACTTCAAACTTGGTATGGTGATTGTTCATGACCAGCAGATGACCTATTGATTTTGGGTCAAGGGGTCAAAGGTCAAGGTCACATTGACCTTGTAGGTAAAAACGGTTTCCGATCAATTAACTAAAAACGCTTAGGCCTAGGAACTTCAAACTTTGTATGATGATTGGTCGTGACCAGCAGATGACCCCTATTGAGTTTTGGGTCAAGGGGTCAAAGGTTAAGGTCATGACCAGTAGATACTTGATAACCCTTATTAATTGTTTGATCACTGGGTCAAAAGTCATGCATAATAACCTTATCACATGACTAATTGGCTGCAGATAGGGGGCATACATGTTTTACAAACATATCTTGTTACTACATTTGCAAATTCAATAAATTATCATCATGTAAGTATTACCTAATTGCAATAACTATTGTCCTCCACTTTGATTTTCACAAACATTTAACATGGTGAACCCTAAATGTTAATCATATTATTCACAAAATTTTAGCCTTGCAAAAATATCTGATTTCACAGTATAAAGAAAATTCAAACAAGTAGACTCAAAACACAAACTTTTCACAAAATATAATAATCATGTTAACAGTAAAACAAACCCTACTTGATGATGTTATTTAGAATGGAACAGTTGTCAAAATTTAATTTGAGTTCTATTATGCTGTTGAGATCCATTTGTGATGGCAGAAATCATATTCATGAATATAACTACAGATCTCATCTATATAGTATTTGATAGCTACAATACATAATTGTTATGTTAGAATGACTGTCTTATGTTTTACAGAAAAGATCTGTAGTTTGATAAATAATTCAAACAGTTTGATACTTCGATCTAGTTGGTATTGATGGCTATTTCTCAGAAACACTAACTCAAGTTTTATTCAATATTTTAGCTGGTGACAAGCAACAGTTGCAAGGAGGAAGTTTGATTGTTGTGCTGGAAAAAGATGTGACAGAAATGGAAGAAAACGCCATCCTTGACATATTCAAAACTAAGTATTGATGCTTCTAGAAGACCAACAATTATGAGAACCAGATATTCCAAAAGACACTGTTGTAATGTTTGGGCAGACACCCAAGATGCCAACATGTCAAAGACTGAGACAGAGTCCACAACTGTTACCATAGCGACAGAAATTGTAACACCATCTTGTAAGTTGCATGAAAAAATAGTAGATTTGAATTTTCTGTCTTATCAGTTGACTATTAAAATCTGATATATAGTATAATATTTCTTGGCAAAAATGTCTGCAATATAACTGAAATACTATTGAAACAGGTGTTAAACTCCAACAATATTTCTGAGAACGGAACAATTAAGCTGATAACAGAACTTAAATTTGAACATTGGAAAATGCAATATTGTGATCTACGCTGTTTTGCTACATTTCCTTTTTTAATTATCATATGATTATCAAATAAGCTAATTATAATAATTGTTTTTCTTTTTTTTTCAGATGTTGTTGGAAATTAAATTAATTCTTGCAGTAGGCCACATCCAACCATTTGTTGACAATCTAGAGATATTGTTTGAAGCAGTAGCTACACTTAAACCTGGAGGAAAAGAGGTATGAGTTAAGATTACTGTTAGGGCAGGCAACCTTATGGAAAAAGGAAAAAGAATTTAAAAGATATCATTGCAATCTTACTATGCATACAGCACAGCCTTGTTATAATGCGGCTTAAGATATAATAATGTTTAAAAGAGGGTAAAAATTGTATTCACAAAAGGTATAGAATAGAAAGAAAAATTCCATATTTTTTTTAAATATATAATAAATACTTTTTTGTTTGGATATAATGTGGTTAACTAACATGGTCTATATAAAGGATTCAAACTACCATGTTATAACAAGGTTGTGTTGAACCTAGGAGACCCAGTCAGAAGTTGATTATGCTTCTGCACCTGTACATTAATCAAATAGTTCTGACAATGATTATTTGTTGTTGTTGTTTTTTTTTTAGATATAAAATATCTGATTTTTAATACAAAATATGTAATTTTTAATTTTAATGTGCTTTGAAATACATTGTCTGACTGGACTTAAAAAAATTGCGACTTTATCCTGAGATATATTGCAGGAAATCCAACATGGCATAATCTTGTTTTGTGGCTGATGTTTGTTTTTACAGTGCTTTTGTCACTTTTAATGCAAATATGGTTAAAATTGTTAAAAATTGTGTTCATTTTGTCATATTCATAATTGAAAGCTGTGTTTAGGATCTGATTGTGTGCGTTTCTGTTTACTTAGAATTACTGATTTCTGTTGCAGTGCAAAGATGATTTGGACGTTATAAGAGCCATAGAAAGTAATACAGGATTCAAACATGGAAAGGGGTGCAAGACTAGATAAATTGTAGTTCTACATAAGGTATAGTAAATTTACCGGAATTTTTTTTGTCAGTTTTGTATAATACCACTGAATTTAATTTTAACTTGAATACTTGCAGCCGCTAATCATGACAAGACACATTTGTAACTGACAAGGGACAAAATTCTGAAATTTATTAAATGAATTAATGTCAAAACTATCAAAGGTATCAGCACAAGACTTTGATAAATTCATTTTATATTTGCTTTACATTACAAGACACACTGTTCAGACAAGGGGAGTTATTCTTAAAACTATATTTTGGAGTTATGCCCCTTTTCAACTTACAATTTTGTCAAAATAGCATATTAAATGGATTGACTTGTAAACTTATTTAAGTATATGATAAGTATCTCTATAGATAGGCCTCTTTGTCAAACATGGTATCTCATTTTTTGCCTGTCTTGTCACTATATAAAATAGACGAATGTTGGCCCTGCTCAGCATGGCATGGCAGAAGATCGAATTTCTGACCTACTGCTCCAGAAGCAGACATTAACTAACACTTTATTATGTGCTGGTTGGAAATGCTTAAGGTAGAAGATTTCCCTGATCCTGTTATGAAGGATGGTACTCATTCATTGTTTTGTTCCATGTTCATTTTGCAGGATATTGAAGAAGCTAATCTGTTAAAGGTCCTGTCATCACAGCCTAATACTCCTCCAAGTGAAGCCTTGTTTTTATTTTTAACAACATAGAACTGGACAAACAGTATATTGTTGGAGACCAGTGCAAGATACCACTTGAGACAGATAGCCTCATGGAAGGGCTATTCTTATTGATAAGCTGGTATTATATAATGGATCTAGAAAATCCCACTGCTTTTCACAACTCCTTGGATTCATGCAACAAACATTATTTAAACAAGCCTTTCTTAGTCACAAGTCGGCTGGGTATTTACACTTTGTGGAACAATTGGAAAAACTAATGAACAAATAGAACCAACATTTTAAATAAAATTCAACCTTCTGTGTCATGGACATATTATTGACTTCTTAACAGCTTACATTTTACCATGAAAAAACCTGCTTTTTTTGCACTTACAAAAACAAAGGTGCAGAATAGCTGTGTGGTAACCATCAGCTGATCAGTGCCTTTATTTTTGCTGCATAGATGGTGCAATCCCTCCCCTTCCAGGCTTCCTTAATCAGACATTGAAATCCTCTTGATGTCTGAACATGAAGCTGTATATTTTGGCTCTATTTCAAATAGCAAATGTCAAGTGTCAATATTTTTCAAAACAGCTAAGACTATGCTTCTTTTTAGGAACTTTTAAATCCAGTGATTTATCAAATTATTATTCACTAGCAGAAAAGATTGACTTAATAATGCAGTGTTTAAACACTAATTTTATTATTTATGACATCAGTTTGTTATTGCAGACTGTGACATTTTTATGTCAATGAAGCATTAAAATGCCATATTTTATAAATTGTTTATTACAGTTAAGAAGTATTAGTGCTATTTGTTGTTTGCAAATGTTAATATGCTCTTATTTTGTACATGCTATAGTAAGTTTAATATATTGCATTGATGTCTTAAATAAGTTTGTATTTTGTTGATGTATTACTGTCTAACTTTAACACATGCTCACTTCATTATCATATCAGATATCAGATTTATTAAATTTTCATTTACTGATTTCAAGTGGTAAGCAGAATTATTTACAGAGATCACTAGTTTTCACTGATCAGGCACCTTTGTTGTGCATTTAAATTTTGGTGTTTTCGGAGTCAAAGAAATGATTTATCAAAATATTGTATAAAGTTGCATTGTAACATTTTAGAGTGCTAAAGTGTACCATTTTTTTGTCTAAGCCTTAAGCGCACCACAACAAAAGATATTTATGAACCATCAGGATATATACTGTTACTGGATGAAAATAGAGCACTAGTGCACAGACTTTTGACTCCCCCCCCCCCCCCGGACAGTCAACATTGAATGACCGATTTTTTTGACACTGTCTGAAAATACTGTTTGTTTTTTTCCAACCCAAATATGATACATATATGTGCTAAAAACCGGGTTTTTTACATTTTACAGGGAGGTAGGCTTTACTGTGTAAAAATTTAAAATCCATTTTATATATGTTTTCATTTTACCTGAAATTCTACTGATATCCATATATCAATTTGCTTTTGTTGTTTAATTGTCTATCTATTTATTTACTTAATTGTTTGCCTAAATATAACTGTAATCTGTTTTATGTATTTATTTTATACATTCATTTTTAATCCCCTTCTGCATAGAGGGAGGGGATTACAGGAATGGCCTCAGTCTGTCTTCCATGTCCACTCCATAACTTTTTTTAAACTGTGAAAAAATTTTTTTGAAATAACTTGGCACAAATGGTCAGTATGAGACGATGTGCAGAGCGCAATAATCGGGTCGCTACCCCTAAGGTCACAACTTAAGGTCATAGGTTAAAAAGTCTACCTTTTGTGTCCGCTCCATAACTTCAACTGATGAAAAAAGTTTTTAACATAACTTGGCACAAATTATCACCTTTATATCATGATGAGCAAAGCACAACAACAAGGTCACTACCTCCAAGGTCAAGGTCACACTTAAAAGTCAAATGTTAATGGTCCACTTTTGTGTCCCCTAAATTTAACTTAATCTGCTGAAAAGTTTTTAAAATAACTTTGGCACAAATGATCACCATTATAATAGGATGTGCAGAGCGCAACAATCAGGTCACTGCCCCAAAGGTCACAGGTAGAGGTCAAATATTCTCTTTTATAACTTTTTGACATGGAAGATTTTAAATATTTTAGCATAAATAATTCACGACCATGGCACAACAGCCAGGTTTTTCTCTAAAAGACATGGTTTTTGTTAAAGATCAAGAAGTACAGATTCCTGTCCACTGCGAAGGGGATATAGATGTCCTTCAGACTGCCTTGTTTTTAATTGTTTGAAGTTTGAAAATGAAAATGCTCTTTTTAATTTTGTGATTGGTAACACCAGAATTTCGGGTATATTGCATTGGATTGTAACATGGCTGACAAGGTGACAGTAAAATTGCCACCTGTAGAAAATGCTACCTCAGTTTGTTTTTCCAAAAGTTGTTAACTTTACTGTCACTCTGTCAGGCATGCAATATTAATTTTAGTATATAAAAATACTATTATGATAATGGTAGGGTGTCTTGATCTATTTAACATTTATGTGCAGTAATGAAGAACAATTAGTATTTAACCTAAATTTCAAAATGTTATTTAAATGTGTATAATATGTTTATGTGTCATTGTTCACATTTTTTGGTTTGATCGTGTTTTTGAAATAAAACATGGAAACTATTAAAACGTGTAAACGTGTTTTAAATCTGTTACAGTCCCAAAACACGTGTTAGGTGTTTTCAGACAAAAACCTAAACACGTTTTCTAGGAAAAAACACCCGTGTTTTAGTGTGAAACATCAGTGTTTTGTGAAAACACCGCAACATGTTTTAAAACTGTTACAGATAGGTGTTTTCACATGTGTTTGGAATCAAAACACTGAGATTTAGAGTGTACTGGAGGTGTAAGTTTGCGTTGTCTCTACTTTCTTTATATGTTTTACTCACGTAAACAGTCATATTCTATGTTCTATATATGTTTCACCATAAACAATAAAAAGAGACTTTCATTTATGAATTATGGGAGCATAAAATCTTATTGAGAAAATGTATCCGATGCTGTTTGTGTGACATTAGATATTTCATCATCAATTGGTATTTAAATACCGATTTTCCGGTATAAGGGGTGCTTTGGCATTCGATCTTCTTGATCATTGTTTTATTATTTTCTAATTATATAAATTTAGACAACCTTATTTTGAATTTTTAAATTTTGATATTTGCTTCAAAATTTGCATAAATTTGTTCTTTTTAAATGTATAGTTCTGGATTCGTATTACCCAAAGGTATTTACGGAAAAAAGCTCTTTTTGCCAAAATGTCACAGTGGCTTTGCGTTGAGTTAGTGATATAAGTATTGTCATCTTTATATTGATGTATCGAAAATGCAGCAAAATTATGAATACTCTTCCTTCAGAACATGCCTTAACATACCCCAGAATGCAGCTATGGCAATGTAGATTTTCAAAAATTTTCGGGGGAGCATGCCCCCGGACCCCCCTAACACAAGTGCCTACACATTGGTTTCTTTCAAGCTACGCCCCTGAATTTGCTATACAAGATATCACAAAATTACGTGTCCGAGTTCCTAACCATTGCGACTGAGTATGTAGATCTATATATATGTACGTATGTAGTCTATAGTTAATGTGGGCCCATCCTCCCTTAATTAATAAGTGAAGCACTTAAAACACAGGCGTCCGGCCCATTGGCCATGCCAACAATTAAGGGTCAAATTATCAAAATAAACACCCCTTAACACAAAGTGTTAAGTGCGGAGTGCTAATTTTGAGATAAAAGTACGTCACTAATGAGGACATCGAAATGTACAGTATCTGAGACAACACGAAAAGGAGGTGGCCCTGAAAATGTCTTTTATGCCAACAAAGGGCGCCGCCGTTCAGGCCGTCTAACCGCACTAGGGGCTTACACACCATAGTAACCTTCTTCGCCGTCTCTGTCTACATTGAAGGGCACTTCCCTCGGCTTCAGTCAGGGCACCGGCAGCCTTGGTCATCTTAAACGGTGCAGTCTGCCGATGCCCTGACGGGTAAAGGGAAGCAAAAGGTGACGAATTCTTTATAAATGTTTCACAAATTTTATGCTCATTATAAGCCATACGGCGACACGAAATGGCGGAGTGGATAGTTGACGGCGGGCAGGAATTTTTTAACGCCGGGGCGAGTTTTTTAACGGCGGATTTCCGTCAGTAGAAATTTCATTTGAGTTACATTATAACGGCGGAATCTTTCGGCCGGACAAGTATTACGGCGGAGTGGATAGCTTATGGCGGAGCGGGTATTTCTAACGGCGGATTTCCGTCATTAGAAATTTACATTGAATTATATAGTAACGGCGGAAGGGTCCCATACCGCTTTCCATAGGAATTACATTTCAGTTGAGTTAGTCGAGTTAATGACTGACAGTTATAACGGCGGAGTGGATAGTTGACGGCGGGGCAGGAATTTTTTAACGCCGGGCGGGTTTTTTAACGGCGGATTTCCGTCAGTAGAAATTTCATACATTATAACGGCGGAATCTTTCGGCCGGACAAGTATTACGGCGGAGTGGATAGCTTATGGCGGAGCGGGTATTTCTAACGGCGGAAATCCGTCATTAGAAATTTGTATTGAATTATATAGTAACGGCGGAAGGGTCCCATACCGCTTTCCATAAAATATAACCAAATATATAGCAATATTCATTTTTCTTTGTATAAAATACAGATTATAATGTGAAAATGAATTAATATTTATGAAATACATGACTTAGCCGGCGTTAACTTTCATTTATTCTGTTGAAATAGGCAGTTCAGATGTTGTAAAAAATAAACTTATCTTGGTTCATTAGAATTGCAATTCAAGATAAAGATATGATAATATTTTTAGGGTAAAACTTTGTTGAAATTAAAATTACATACAAGTGTCCACTTTCCATCGTATTATTTATATAAAAACTAATATAGCTTTAATGGAGTAAACTGTATTTGGGTATATTTTGGTTCAAAACGCAATGCTATTTGGGTATGTATGATCAATCTTAGTGAAAGTGTATATTGTAATTCATAATTAAAACAGCACTTTTTTAGTATAAAACATTTATTCTTAGTATATTTTGGCAATATTTGGGTATATTCGGGCAATATTTGGGTATTTCATGCTGCCCCTAGACCCATACGGTTTTTAGATTATAATTGTATTCGTATGTGAACTGGGAAGTTATCTTGCATGGTTATAGTTATAAACTACGCGTGCACGAAATACACACGCACCATGGGATATCCGGGTCTTCTTCAAAACCAGTACAACTGGAGCCACCAGTGCTGTCAATTGCAACTGGAGTTAACAGTGCTGTCAATTGCAACTGGAGTTAACAGTGCTGTCAATTGTTAATCAACAGTGCTGTCAATTTATTATTGTTAATTAACAGAGCTGTCAATTGTTACAGACCTGTTAGATGTGACTTATTATCGAACGGACTGCAGATGTTGTAAATCTCCTGGCCAAATCCATTTGTATTATGTCTTTTCTACATTGTTTATATGGACAGACCCACAAAGCTATACTTGTAGCATATAAGTCTCTGGTAGATCTGATCAAATATTATTGAATTAAAAAAGACCATATGACCTTAAAATAAGAGCACAGCTTACCTTACCGGCAATGATTTTTAATTTGTTTTAAAATTACTGTATTATAATGGACTGTTGATAGACTGATTTGGTTAAATATAAATGTATAACTTTACAATTCATATCGTATCACAAGAAGATAAACTTGTATGTTTGCACAACTAAATAGCACAATACAGAAATTTTGAAATTTGAGGAAGTTTGAGGTCAAATTTTACCAGATTTATTTCCTTGAATTTGTGCATTTATTTCTACAATACATATCACATCACCATTTTCTTACAAAATATTAATTGTTTATACAGGAATTTATTAATTGTTAACTAAATGTTGATTAGATTACAAATGATTTGATATTACACAATGTATGTATGTTTCGTAATTTGAAAGACATGTTCTGTTCTGTTCTGTTTTGTTCTGTAACGTGACTGGACAATGTGTTCAAGTGAATATCTAGGCATTACATTTCAATAAACAGTTAGTTAAAACATGGAGCTAAAATCTGTGGTTAAAATCGCAAGCTCGAAAATTCACACACATGTACATTCTGCCTGAGAAACAAATATTTAATTCCTTCTTTAAGAAGTTTAAACCTGAGTTCTATAACGTTTAAATAATGGTTTAAGAGCTTAACAAATGTTAATTACAGGAAGAAAT